AGTCTAAAGCTGTATTTCCTGGGTGCTTGACAGGTGCTGGTTGATGAGTTCAACGCCAGTGTCTTCCCTTTGACAGCCAAGGTTTGGTTTTCTTACGCATCTTCGGAGTTTGGGAGATTCTGGGGGAAGCGCCCCCTTCAACTTAGGCCCCTCATCGATTTCTTTGGCCAAGGCGGCTCGTGGAAGTCACTTGTAAGCCAGCCTTTTGACCTGTTGGTGTCCTTTGGCCTGTTTGAAGTCAGCGCCCCAATAGGTTGACCTTTGTGTGTTCAGGTCCTTTGGGCAAGGGACTCAGTTTTTCATCTCTCGGAGCTGAAGACTGGAGCTGGCGTTTGGTCATCTCTGTGTTCCAAACTTTTCAGGTTCGTTCCGCGGCTTCTTGGCTGTGCCAGCCCCTCAGTCCCCATCGATTAGAAGGTTGGCAGCTCAAGGGCCTGAAAAGCAGTCAAGCAGCTTGCTGTGGGCGTGAAATTGGCACTGCTCAACGGTTGACGTTGTTTTTTTCCGCGCTGGATGGAGGACTTGAGTGAATTGCACGACAAGCAAGATGCGGAGTACAGTATCAGACAAGCCCTTACATGAAAGTAAACAGGCTTTTTGTATGAACGGAATCATATGCGTCGTTTCCCCGGTTTAACGCCCTGTCGACAACGGACGGTTTCACCTTGGCAAAAGAAGGATGCTTGGGCGCTGGCGAGCCGCGACCTGCCATGAGAATGGCTCGGGCAATTGCTTCACCTTGTTAGACTCAAGTACTGCGTTAGCATTTCTATACCAAAAAATGTTCTAAACTTGAAGTCTGGTTGAACTACTGATAGTACCAAGACTTGGTTGCTCACTTGCACTCGCCTGTTTGTGTGAAGCCCCTGGTTTTTCTTCGGGCAGTCATCTTGGGTAACGAGCAGGATCTTTCTTTGCAGCCAAGTGATATTTGTTTGGCTTGACTTCTGCACTTCCTTCTTTTTTTTCAAAGCGTGGACTGACTGTGAGTAGGGGAGGGACATCTTGCTTCAACCAGGATGGCTTGGTTGTTTGTTGTTCAGCATTTCCCTCAAAGTTTGTGCTGACAAAGGGCCGAGGGTATTTTCGAATTCTAACATAATCAAGGATGCTTTAATGTCCCGGCCCCAAGTTCTTGCACAGCCAGACTCCTTGGGCAGTTGAAAGGATGGCCGCAGGTGGGCCGGCTCAAATTCTCAGAGAATCACAGGAAAACCTTTTGCCAACTGGGGTTGTAGCGTCAGGTGCTGTGGACTTCGTTTTTTTGGTAGATCCTGCGGTGCCGTCCCTGGCAGTTTTTGGCATTGAGCCCGTGACACGCCATGGTCATCGAAGGCCGGGGAGGGCAAAATGGCTGGGCCTTGGTATCTGGCGTAATGCATCGCCGTTGTGTATCGCCGCCCATCTTAGGACAAGAGACTTAGCTGAGATCAGCTTAAAGCGGGCATAGACCGAAGTCTGAAGTGTCAGGCACCCGAGCCCTTGTTGACTAATCTAGTTTACTATTCTGGCTTCCCGGGTTTAAAGATCCAAGTTCAGCTTCCAGGTGTCAAGCAACTTTCCACAGGTCACATAGGCCAGATTCGACCTTTCCGGGGCAAGTTTATTGTGAAGATGGGACACTGACAGGCGCCAAGGAAAACATGGAGTGCACTTCCCCGGATCAGATCCTTGGCCTGAATTTGAGAGGAACGCGATAGGGGAATGGATCGGTGTTGCTGGGTGTTGCTGTCATGTAGAAAAATACGATCAACATGAATCAAATAGACCAACTGATGAGTGTATACCTTATACATGAATGCTAGATCAAGCCTGCATGTTTACTATGCACAGCAGAGCATGTCTTCAACATGACAATGCGTTTGGCCAAATCAATCAAGCTTCATGCGCCAGACACTTGCTAAACCAACACACCCCGATTTCTCGTATTTGCAGCGTGCAGGGCAGTGTTTTGCTTGCGGTGAGCAACCTCTCTGGGCAACCAGAAAAACCACCATTAATGTTGCACCCGCTTAAATGATAGGGGCCTCTATTGTGTCAAGTGGTTTTCGTAATTCAGGATCCTGTGACTGTTTTGGGGTCCTCTATTGTGGCAAGTCAAATGCCAGCAACAAATGAGGGGGACAACTCCAGGCATTAAATGGCTAAGCAAGTACTAAAAACGGGCAAACAAATACCGGCAAACACTAGATGATTGTTTTTGAAGTGGCTCCCAAACTATCAAATTTCAGATAATGTTTTTACACAAAAGTAGGAGTACACAGTCACGCAAAGGGGGTTGCCCACAAGAGGCCCTGATCCTCGTTATTGTGACTGTTTTGGGGTCCTCTTTTGTGTCCAACTATTTTAGGGAGTTGATGGAATTCTCAAATTAAAGCCTTAGCCTTTTACATTGCAAGGGTGGTTCACCTAACCAGGCTCTTCCCAGCTCAACCGGTAAAGGCCTTGGATCAAGGAAGTCCATTTTGCCAGTGGTCCCCAAACCATCAAAATTAAGATAACTTCCTTACAAAAAAGTAAGGGCAGACATTCGCACAAAGGGGGTTGCCCACAAGAGGCCTCCTCCTCTTTAATGTTTTTTTTTGGGTCCTCTTTAGTCGGGGTTGCTGAAAAACGGGCCTGGGCAAAACTAAAGTGAACTTGGCAGTACTAAAGTAAGTACTGGGAATATGAGGGTCAGCCTTGGCAATACTACAGTAGAATTGGCAACGCTAAAGTAAGTACTGTCCCTCCCAGACCCCCGGGATTTTCCCTAAAGAGGGTCCAGCTGACTGGTTCCACGGTTCAGGGGAAGGAGTTCACATTAAAGCAGATCCAACATCACATACACATAGGTAGCTGCTCGCCTGGAGTCGCTGTTTTCTTTCCATTTTCCCGAGACCTCCAACCCCGTCTCGGCACGGGAAGTCTTTGGCCGTGCACGTGGCGGTCCGCTGCCGCCCACCCCGCGCCACCTCCTTGACGGCGCAGATCTGCGCGGAAGCGGCGGGGGACAAAACGGCGCTGAAGATCGGTCCACCCGAGGCGACGGAGGATAGCGATGGGACCACACGACTCTCTACCCCTTCCAGCCGTGGCTGGCAACGTGAGCCGGGACAGGGCCCCGTAATATTTTTTTGGCGGTGTTTTAGGTGGTTTGAAGGTGCTTCCTGGGGAGGTGGTGCAGGCTGTGGCTTGATGGGGTGAGTTTGGACCAAACCTGTGCCCCCAGAACTAGGTCATTACGCTACCTTTAGGGGAAACCGCAAGGGGCTTGAATTAGTTGCCACGTCGCGCTACACCCACGGGGTTTGTCCCAGAATGGTGCAGCAAACAAGTGCGTCCAGGATTTCGTCCATCCACAGTATGTGCCTTTTCCCTTAACACTAGGGGTTTGCGACCAACCCGACGGGTGCGCGCGCAGGGCTCCGGCCGCAGCTTTCGGTGCAACACCTACCTGAGCCCCGCGGCTTCGCTGGCTGAGCTGGGCGAATTGGCCGCGCCCCTGGTGCAGCACACCATGGAGGGAGGGCGCCTTGGCACTCGCTCGCGCCCGGGGAAATGTTTCTTTTTCTGAGAGACATGGCGGAATCCCTGGTGGTTTTTTGCCGCTCAGCGTGGGTTTCTGGGATCTCCCTTGAAAGGGTCGGATTTGGGAATGAATGGGAAGTGCATCGTGGCTGCGTGTTGTGTTTTTGTGTGTCTCGTTCAGTTTTCTTCGAGGCATGGCCTCTAGTCTACGATCTAATTTTTAAGTTTCGATGTTGGACATTGCCTTCACAACCTGCGCTTTGACAAGCTGTCGCTGTTGCTTTTCCAAGGCTGTTGGAGGCGTATGCATAGAAGCATGCAGAAAAGCATCTCAGGGTCTTCGAGCTGAGGTTTGGTAGCATTCTTTGCCACGGCATCACGGGCAGCGGCAAGACCTACTGCATGTCCGGCACGGAGGATACTGCAAGTCCCTCCCTGGGTTTGGTGCACGGGGTCGGCCAGCGGATCTTTGAGCACATCCGCGATCAAGCTGCTGCTGGTAAGGCTCCTCGGTTGTCCAAGAATCTGAAAGCAGCTTGGGAATTACTTGGGTCAGTGTGTTGTGTTGTTGTATCCTTTTTGGCGTTGGACTAGGGAAAGCCAACGAGAAACTACCCAATTTTGGGCCCGCCCATTTCCTTGTCGTTTTGTCATGCCCTAACCCTCCATCCCAACTGCCGAAAGTAAGATACAGCTGGTGAACAAATGAGAAAGTTAAGCAAGAGTTGTGTCATGAGTGGATTCAGTGGGCATAGGCGTTTGTGGGGGACACATGCTGCGAAAGCGCGATATGCGCTGCTTTGTGTCTAGCATGCAATTGTTTCATACGTGTGCCTAGGAGTTTTTGAAGCTGGCTTGCGTTGTTTCAACCAACTCGAGTTTGAGATGTTGGAGTCCATATGGGGTCCAGGGGCGCGAGAAGGCAGGCGTAGGCGCGGGTTTGCGAAGACTTGCCTGCATGCAGAAAGGAGCCCGCATAGGCAAATCTTGTGTGGAAACCCTCAACACGCATGTGCAAGAAAAGACTGTAAGGTTGCGTAAGCGCACACGAAAGAGCTTTCATTACAGAGACGAATGGCACGTCTTCAGAGCAGTTTGGGCACCCAATGTGTTTCCCGGAATGCCCGGAAGCATTTGCCCTTCCTGGCATAAACTGATTGACATCCCCAACCATTGGCGTCTTTGCCATTTGGGGGTACATTCTGGGGTGACACCACTTGGTTTGTTGTTCAGCTGACTGCAATGTACGTTCGTCCACTTCAGCTGATTCATCCAGCACATTTGTCTAAGAGGACAGCTTCTACCCGCAGCTGAGGTATATCTGGTGGAAGCTTCCTACGCCCAGATCTATTCCCAGGACAGAACAAGTGGCGAAGGTCGGTGAATTCTGCTGTACCAGATCGCTTCGGTTTGGCCAAGGTGGGCATCGTTTCCCAAGCCAGAATCCCCTGTAGCAGTGCCAGACTTAGCTACAGTTTGCCCATTTGCCTTTTGGAGCTTTCCTTCATGTCCTCTTTTGCCGCCACAGAAAAGAACAAACACAACAAGAGCAAGTTTTTGCAGCTGGTAGAAATCCGACCGAGAAATAATGGGGGCAATTTGGTTGGTTTGTGTATTTGCCACGTTGATTGCCATGTTCGAGCACATCCACTAGTGTCCGTAGTGATCAAAAGAAAAACAGCCAGGGGCTAGCCAGACAAATCCCGGGGGGCCTGCCCGAGTCACCTTCCAGTGGGTACTGTCTATAGTTTTTGCCTCAGAAGTTACTATTTGTCTAGTAGTACGTCTGTTCTGCTTGTCTTTTTCAGGTCGGGGACAAAATGCGAGTTTGACATCAATGGAGTTATGTTTCTGGCTTCTTACGCGGTGTTTGTAGCATGCAAAAGCAGAACTGTTTGATGTAGACTACTGTACTAGATGGGGAGAATGCACTTGCCGCCTGAAGGTGTGGCCTATTCGCAGCGTGCAAAGCGTGTCGAGAAGAAGGTGATTGAACGTTCACATTCGGGCCTCGAGGAATGCCATTTTAGATTGGAACAGTTGCGTCCTAACCGATGCGCCGATCGAGAACAATTACGCGAGAACAATTACGCGAGACTTGCCCGCGAGACTTTGCAGTGCTTGAGAATGCGGCCAGTTTGGAGCTCTTTTCTTGATGCACAAACTGTGTGCGAACATTTTCGCAGGGACCTCTTGTGTAAGGGCTTAAACACATGCCTTTGGCTGGTACCCCTGGCAACTCCCTGGTAAATATGATCATAGACCATTCATAGACCTTTTCTGTCCTCATTACATTTTCGCATGCCCCGTTGGCATGCAGGGACTCTGCATGAGATTGATCAGAAGTTCGGAAGGTATGACCAGAGGGAGCGGTTGCGAGAAAGAGCCCAACCTTGTTTTCTGTTCGTCGGTGCTACATTCCAAGTACTTGTTGATTTCCCTAAATCAACATGTACCGTACCTGTAGCTGTCATGTTGTCGAAAGCCTGATAAGAATAAAAAGACCCAGTTCAAACGTCTGGGTGTCGATGGCAGGATGGCACTTCCGAGAAGATCATGGACTTATTGGCGGATGCTGATGATCTGGAGGTGCAGCCAGACCCCCAGAACCCCCAGTCCTTCATGTGCGCGGGCCTGCAGCGGGTTCCTATCAGCGACCCGGCATTGGACAGCGGCTTGTTGCTTCAAGACAGGGGCTTCTCATCTCATATTTTGTTGGTGTCTGGTTGGGCATGGTTCCCAAGTCCAAGAGTTGCAACCCCCTTTGTGCAGAAAGCGGAAGGCCTGCGTAACAAAGCAGTTTCGGAATGATTTGCGGCAGCTCCCAGAAAAGCTTTTCTGCCTGTCTGAAGATGGGCAGCAGACATCGTCAATTGATGAAAACACCGAGTGGGACAAGTCATTGGGCGCATATGGTTTCGAGAGTTTGACGCGTAACTCAGCATCCCCTGTGTACAAGCCCTTGTGAATGACCAAGTTGGAGGCAGATCCTCAAAAGTGAATTCCACTTTCGAAGAAGAGGTGCTTGCATGCGCATCGCTTTGATTGCCAAATGGTACATGACTTACTTACACCTGCAATCAGTCATCAAGACCTCTTTGGCAGCCCTGCGAGCGACTAACACGTCTAATACTGGAGATTTTCCCAAGCAAACGCAGCGGCATGTACAGCCAAGTGTCAGAGCACCCTCGATTTATCAACTTCGATTTTGCAACCTATCAGCCTGCGTAGTGGTTATCAACATCACAAGTCCAAACCGACGGAACCTGGGAAGAAGCAAAATAGAGCGCTAATGCGCGCTGCTTGGTGTTGCATGCTGAATGCCATTTCCAGCTCACTGAACGCAGTACGGCCCAGCAAGGCCCAATGTCAGATAGGAACCTCGCACGTCAAGGCCACGCTGTGCCGTAAATCAAAATTTGCCCTCGCTACTCTTGCTTTCCACAACATGGAACCTAAAGGCATCTTGGTAAGATCCCTTCACGGAAGCATGTAGCGGTGGTCATGCGTTTTCTGCCAACTCGACGAAAAAAACCGGGTTAAAATCTAGCAAGGCGTCTGCAAAACCTATGGATATTCCAAAGGGCCGCACTTGGTGCTAAACAGCCCACAGTGTTTGATTTCCGCAAAGGGAAACCCAAGGGAGACCCCCGATTTAGCACCCAGCTTGTCTCCTAGGATCCTTGGATGACATGCAGCAGCTGGTCACCCAGGGCCAGCGTCGGCTGGCGGCTTCCGGCGTGGAAGCCGGCAGGCGGCGTTTGGGTTTTGGAAACCTCAAAGGCAGCAACTTCCCTGAGCACTGCACTGGTTGTTGGCACCTGAGTCACAATCAAAACCCGGTATTAAAATGGTCCACCCAGAACCATGTAAAGAATTAAGAAGGCGGCCGCAGCTATTTATGGCTGGGATTGTCCCTTACGAACCTTCATTTGCCCGGGTTTTGATTGTGGCTCACCTGATGTTTTAGTGTTGTGATGACTTACACGAGAACATTGGTAAAACTCAGGGGCTCCCTATAGGCGCGGGTACACATGCAATACCACAAGTAAAGGAACTAACCGGTTCACCACTGTTCTTTGGTTTTCACAAAATGGGTGTCGGACTATAGTTTCCACAGACGGATGGCAGCAACAGTGGGGTGCCCATTTGCCATTCTTGGCGAGGTGTTGCATTTGCGTGTGGCTGCCCAGAGCATTTGAATCTGGCTGAGAGCTTGCCTCCCACAACTTCTAGGTCCCCCACTAGTGCCCTTTTACCCTTTTTGGGGGAGGGTCCCCTACTAAAATAGGCTACAGAAAAATGGGCACCCTCATTCTGTCCTCTCTACGGGAGGACCTAGACTTGGACTCAGATTGCAGGTCTCACTGCGTCCTCACCTTAACAGTGGAGAGCCTCCTCGAGCGGCTCGGTGGAATGGGGTGGGCGAATTGAGGATGGCAGAGCAGCCGGAGTGGATTGAGCTCTTTACAAGTGAGCCACTTGCTAAAACAGATTTGGGTAGATGAAGGTTTGTAAGGGACAATCAACCATAAATAGCTGCGGATATCCGCCTTGTTAACTCTTTACATGGTTCTGAGAAGACCATTTTATTTGGTTTAATTTCGGGGTTTGATTGTGACTCAAGTGGCTCTATGGGAGATTTATGTGCAAATGTGCCTCTGCCAAGACCCCCCCTATGCCAGGACCCCCTCAATGGCTGTGACAAGGCCCACAAGTTTGCCCAAACAGGATCGCTTTAGAAATCAATTGAAAGCCATTGGGGGTCCTTAGGTGAGGGTTTTGGGAAGAAACTGGCGTTTCTGAAGCTCCAGTTCATGGGCCGCAAGTCTTTGCATGCCATGCTCGTCGTAATGCCAAATCACTTGAAAACCGGGCCGGGGGGGGGGGGGGGGAAAAACACATTTAAGCACTTTCACAACCATATTTTATGTTGAGATGTGAAAAAATCCCTTAATTTTAATCCAAGTTCTTTCCTTTCAACCCCTCCGTTTTGCTCCGAGGTCGGCGCAGCAAACGGAGCTGGCCAAGGGCAAGCTGATGCTGGCGGACCTCGCGGGCTCGGAGGCGCCGGCTGCGGAGTCCTCCGCGCCTTGTCCATCAGCGCCGCAGTGGTCTCCTCCAATTGCTGGGGTTTTGGGAATGAGCCAGAAAGGGGTCCCCAAAAAAAACACACCAGGAATGGCTCAGTTCAAAGTCATTCTCTCCTAGGTTCCCCAGCTAGGTGCCCTTCTTATGTTTTTATTTGGGAGGATTCCCCTACTAAAATCCAACCACTAAGCCAGGAAAGTCTCCCATATCACGGTTGTTGTTGGGAAACATGTTTTCCATGTTTGTTTATTGCGGTTTAGTGGTTGAAATCCAACCACTGAACTGCTAAAATTTGAATTTTTGCTCCCCTTCCAACGTCAACCAAGAAAACCTGAGGTCGTCTAGCTTTAGTCTTCGGAGGTTCCTCGTGTTTGCACGGCTCACGGTGTTCATACACCTCACAGCTGAAAGCTTAGGCTCTGGGGTGAGTTGGAGCAGCTTTCAGGGGTTCAAAAGGAGGATTGCAGGGGGCTGTTGGGGATATCACCTGAGCTTTTTGTTTCAGGAAAGCATTTTTGGGGTGGGCCAAATTTTGAAGCAGAATCTGTACAGATGTGGGCCATGGTGTCAACATTACCATCTACGATTTTGCTCCAGCAGGATTTTAGATTCTTCGGCATCTGAAGAGAGTTTTGTTGTGCCCCAGACCCGGGCCACGCATCAAACAGCGCTAGAACGGATAGAAACCGGAATCGGAGTCTTTGAGGTGGTGTGCTTGGGCGGTGGTAGGAGCATTTTATGATACTTGTTGGCTGCCCTGTATCCAAATTTGTCCTCTGCTTGACTTCTTGGATTTACAAGGGGCCAAGTAATTCGACTTCTGGATCTACAAGGGGCCTTTGCCTGAGCACAGGAAGTGGCACGGAGGCAGGCGCTGAGCATCAACCGCACGCTGGCATCTTTGAGCTTGGCGCCTTGGTTGTGGGTAGCTAGAAAGTGTGTGTGTGTGTGTTGTATCTTCTTGGTAGAATGTCTTGGTATTTACATGGAAACAGGGGTTGGCTCAGTTTGATTCCCTTGTTCGCTTTTTGCTTGGTGGATTTCCCGTGAGATAGCGAGCCCAAAAAGGTGTCCCTTTTCCGACTAGGTTCGCTTGGCAATGGGGCTCGCTAAAGTTGAACAGCAGCCCTCCTGACCTTGCTGGGAATTGCATATTTTGAGACTGGCTTAGACTGGGAAAGCTTCTAGTGCACCGTGTTTCCAAACATGGACTTAAATAGAGGCCATGGTTTGCGTGGGATCGAAAAGGAAATCAAAGGGAAGCCAGCAACTTTTGAGGAGTCTCAGGCTATCTATCTACAGGTTGACCCATTTTCTCACCCCTTGTTCTTTTGGACAATTGCTGAGTTTGGTTCAGGCTGTTTGCACTTCTCTGAAAGCAAGGATCCCTGGAAAGAATTGGGGAAGTAGCGCTGGCACTCATGAAAGTGTCTTTTTAAAATCTTGGGTTTGAAGCCAATTCAACGGGCCCACTCACTTCAGTCAGCTACTCCGCCTCCAACCATCATGCTTGTATTTTCATCAAACAACTCTTGAGAAGACACTCAAAAAGGAGTCCATTGGACATTGAATGATTCATCATGTCCAAGAAGTGCCTGCTCACAGTCACCCGCTCTCCTTTTTGGATGGTCTGGAAGGCAAGGCAAACGGAAACCAGCCGCCCGCGAAGCGCTGAGGCAGTGAACAGCGCTGAAGCGCTGGTGAAAGGGTCCAGCCTCACGCAGCTTCTGCGGGACTGCACCTTGGATTGACAAGAGCAATGGGACAGGGACAGCTTTTGATATGAGTCTTTGAGTGTGTGTGTGTGTGTGTGTGTGTTCATGTGTGTTTGTGTGTCTGTGTGTTTGACTCATTGAATGCGTGTCTATGTGTGTGTGTGTGTGTCCACGTGTATGTGTGCTTGTGTGTGTGTGTTTAGAGGATTCCCTGTTTTGGGTCGGCCTGAAGGGAATCCAACATGAAAGATACATTGCTATTATGATCTTCTTTGGGGGGGTCGCTTTGTTCCGACACAAAATCATGTGCGGACATTAATTGTTGGGTAAGCACGGCGTGTCACGAAATGGGTCAATAGGCCTGGATCTGCTTCAGAATAACTTGCAGCCGAGGGAGGTTGCTGTGATGGGACAATGCGTTTGTTTATGTGTATTGGCAAGTTGGCACCAGGGATCTACGCCTTTAAACAGTCGTGTTTGTTCCCTGAACCGAAAAAGGTTGCAGGTTAAGCTGGCTGGGCGTAGGTTGACCAAAATGGCTGCCCTTTTTGGACTCTGGTGTCGTGCTGACTGAGTTTGACCATCTTGGTCCTACCGCAGCGCTTTGCTTCTCCCCTTGCACACAAACAGTCTCCGAGCGCTGTCTGCACGTGCTTGCAGAAAGTCGTTCAAGGCAATGCGTGCAAGTGGCGTCACGCGGAGTTTCACATGTGCAATCAAGAAGGCATTTGGCAAATCAAACTTGAACCTGATGAAGTTTAATTATAATTATAGTTGACCTCCTGAGCGTCTACGACGTGCTAATACCAACTTAACCAGATAGGACATTTGATCATATTATGTCAGGTTATCAACTGGTGATCACCGTATTCTTCTTCAGTTGGTTCCCCAGTGGACACGAACAACCGCGCGCGCGCGCGTGTGGGTGTGTGTGTGTGTGTGTGTGTGTGTGTGTGTGTGTGTGTGTGTGTGTGTGTGTGTGTGTGTGTGTGTGTGTGTGTGTCTGTGTGTGCGTGTGTGTGCGTGTGTGTTACACGGTCTCTGGACTCTGGACAAGTAACATGTTCTTTGATGCGGAAAGCTGTCACGTATGCGCATGTGCTTAGCAAAGAAACTTGAGTCTGTTGGCCTGCTTTTCGACAGAGACGAGCACGGAAGCCACAACTGCGGGCTCAACACATGAGTATTCCATGCACATTGTTGTGTTTGACCATGGGTGATCTATGCAAGCATTGGCTACTGGCAGTAGCTTTTTGGGGGGGGAGTGGATTCTTAGCGCGGTAGTCAAGGAGAGCAAGGCTAAACACCATCATTTGCCTCAAGCGGCTGCTGTGACATACTCACAATGCTAGACGGGCCTGCCATCAGCCCTCAAAGTGTCACAGAGGTGTTTTTCAACAACTTTCGGACGGATTTCACCTGGGCGAAATAGGCGGCGTGGGGGGGGGCATTATGTGAAGGTTCCCAGGCACATCAGTCAAGCTTGACCATCCCATGGGAGTCTTGGGCTATTCGTGTGGGACTCGAAGCTCTCCAGGTCGGTTTCCTTTCATTTCATTTTAAGTCATCAAGGGATTTCACATATTTTGAGACACCTTTGCTTTCTGGTGTCTGCATTTCGCCGTGGAGGCTTGTCAAAACGCAGGTAGACCATGTTGGGGACCAAAGAAAGGTCACCATTTCTTAATATGAGCCACTGACAATAGTCTTGGTAGCCTGCCGGGGACAGCACAGGTTTCCATCCCACAAATCCACACGGCCACCGATTTGTGCAGCGCTGGCCGGTGGAACCAGAAATCGACTGGGCGCTCGACTGGCTTGCCACTGAGGCCTGGGGGGCAGTGCCCGGACTTTGCTCATCGCCACCATCGGCCCAGAAATGGAAGACTTGGAAGAGACGGCGCCTTGCGTGAAAGGATCGGGGCCGAACGGACAATAGCAGGGGCCATATGAATTGGGCTATATATGATTTGTATGTTTTCATGGGCTACAGGTTGTACTTGATGCTTGCAGGAGGGTGATCAGGACGGGTACAAATGCCTGCTCTTTTCTGGCACCAGTAAATACCAGATTCGGAAAGACGAGAAGGGGGTACCCGAAATCCCCTGCTTGTTTCAGACATGAACTTTTTGGGACAAATTGAAGGGAGTTCCCCCAAAGGCGAGGTGAACCCTTTGAGGAGAGCAAAGGATCGTTTCTCTTGGCTGCGGGCCTTTGGATTTGGCACAGGTTCACTGCACACCTGCGTGGCAAGCTCGTGGTAACGTGGAATTTCCAAAAAACGGGCAATTTAACATGTACCAATGCAGTGTGACTGCCCTAAGAAGTTTAGAGTTTCTTAAGATGAACTTGCCCCCCCCCCCCCAAAGAGAAGGATATAACAGGATCAGCGACATGTACTTCAGGGGTACCAGAAATTCGCCAGCCCGACCCAAACCACCACCGGTTGATAGGCGCATCGCCGTGCCCAGCCGAGAATGGCCGCTGTATGCTTGTGACTCCGCGACGGTCCTGTATAGCGTCAGATAGACCTCTGACTGACCTAACTGGGACAAGAACTGTTTGCTCGAGCCAGCGTTGCAGAAATCCATGCGAAACAATATGACATTTGATCGAATCATTGGCATGGTCTCTGGCAGGAGACACAAAACATCACCAAGCCAACACAGTGCAAAGCGCGTTCGGAACGAGTACCAGGGTCTAGGCATGTGAGCCGTTGCCCCTTTGCCAAATTCCTCCAAATGTGCATCTCCCTTTTGAGCGCTAGCCTACCTTGCTTCGCGCGAAATCAGATGGTCCCCCTTTGATTGTGTTGGCCCTAGACTCAAACTTAGTCCAAATCGCAATCAAACCATTTTGGACATGGCGGCAAATGCGCAATGTAGCGAGCTGTTCTTGTGGATGTTTCCTAAAGTGATGGACCCCTCGACATAAAAGCACACGTCAACACACAGTTGGACGGGTTCCGCATGAAACCTATCCGACCGTTCTCGGCTCCGACGGAGTCTCGGCCGTAGATTGGAAAGCCGCTAAAGCAACATGAGGTAGGGAGGGGCACGATTCGTTTACAGCACATCCGGCACGTCTAGCGTATTTGAGGAGGGAGGTGATGGTTGAGTGCTGTAGAATTGCAAGAGTGTGCCTTGAATTGTCAGTTTCCGAATCATTGTCAGTTTCCGAATCATTTGGTTTTCTTTTCAAGCGACCCCAAAAGGGCACCCTGAAAAAAGCAAGGTCAAGACCCTGACCTATGCGCAGCAGATGCTGACGAGCCTCACTGTGCGAGCTTCGGGCGCCGGCATGAACCGACGCCGGGCTGCAGTCCGCGGCAGGGTCTTCTGGGAGTTTGGGCTAACGGAGTCTCACTTGCGGGAAAAACGACATTACCTATGACGATTCGTGGAATTTGCCCAGATGGATTGCGATTGGCATGTGAAGCCACACTGAATTGTGCAGCGCTGCAAGTAGATTTCCAAGGTGCTTTCTGCTTTGAGATACTGGCAGCAGGGCGGGGAACCAGTGCGCGACATGCATGCTTGCAGCTCTTGTTGACGTGTTTCAAAGTCAGCCAACCCGGGCAGGGGGTGTTCTCTCACCAGAAACCGGGGTCCGGAATTAGTGCCAAATCTGAATTCAACCTGCCACGATCCATATCTCATTCTCACCTCCTATGTTTCAGTGACTTTCTGCCTGTTTTGCAAACATTTCATTGAACACCCCTGATTTCACTATCGCCGTCGTGCTTCCCGCTCGAGACCCGAGATCTGCATGTCAACAAGATATGAATTTCAATGGGCAACGCTATGATTAGACGATGGCCAGCAAAGGGTCCCGCGTTGAGGTTCATAGCCTGGTGTTTTTTTCTTGGCGCTTTTGCGCCTTGGGCCCAGGCATCGACCAAGACCAGAGCTCCCTGGTGCAGATGAAGGACCGGCACAACGAGTGCATCCGCATGCTCAGGGAGAAGGTGGGGGGATCCCGAGCCGTTGAGTGTGATTCAGTGAGCTTCAGCTCGGTGGGATGATACTTTGATCGAATACAGGGACCATCCATGAGCAAAATACCGTCCATGAGCAGTGCTGAAACATGTCCAAAGATAAGATAAGCGTCACTGAATCTACGGGTAGTCCCTGCAGATGTGCTGGCAGCAGAGTGCTGGCCGCATGGTTTTATAATATGAGAGGGCCAATGCAAGGATGGAACCTAACTACGCAGACAAACTGTCTTGTTTTTGTGGTGGCATTTTGGGCTTCCGTAGATGCACAGGTTCACCGCCGCTGCGCCGTGTCATTTCAAAGTTTAATTGAGAACGGGCACGTTGTCATTAGAGATTTGTGTAGGCTGGCAACTTGTGCGCTTAGGCTGCTACCGGGTAGCTATTTGATTTGGTTTGCAGCATTCCAGCTTGTAAGCTTCTTAAGAAGCTCAGCCACTGAGGCCTGGATTTGTCAAACAATTTGCCTCAATCCGTGCAGTCCTTTGCATAGGCTCTGGCGTGAGCTCGAGGCTCGTTGTGTTGGCTTGCCCCTTGCTGCGCTCATGTTGAATCAAGCTGGAGCGGGCAAAATGCAATGCTGCAAAGCTTGGACTTTTGAGCAGCAAAGTTTGATCTGATTTTACAGCTGAGCTACCAAAGCGCACTTCCCCACGCGTTCGAGCCGGAGTTGCCAGAGAAAGCATTCCGACATGTTTACTGCAAAGCTGCAGCTTTAGGAGCTGCAGGCGAACCTTGCAAACCAATTATATGGACGTCACACGTAAGTTTCGGTGGCATCCCAAGCAACACCGAGTGTTCTGAACCCTTCCAGTTTCCGAGCGTGCTCAGAGCCGCGAACCACTCCGGAGCCTGGGCCTACCAACCCCAAAGCTTTCAGCGGTGATTTGAGGGTTCGCGCAGCCGCTTTTTGCGGTGGCATAGCCCCGAGTTATCATACTACTTCATTCGGTCCTGAAGTAGACCGCGCAACAGTCTCACCAACACCAGGGGGGGCCCTCTGAAGGAGACTTGGATAGATAGGATAGGCGCGTGTTTCATGTCAAAGGCGAGTTTGTGTTCTTGTGAAATCCATGAGGTGAGCGACTCCAGAGAAGAAGAGCAGGAGGAGCGCAGGAGGTGGGCCACGAGATTCAGACGCGGATATATATGGTCCCGTGTTCCGTGTTGCTACCCCCCCCCCCCATATGGTATGGGTCGCCCAGGACCCCCCCCCCCTCGGCCCGAGACCCCGAGCCCCCGGATCCTGGCACCTACCGTCCCACCCCCGACCCCACCCCGACCCCCTGAATCGCACCCCGACACCCCGGCACCCCCACCTGCAGGACAAGCCAATCCGCAACCAACCATAAACCAACCCTAAACAGGCCCTAAACCAAACCCTAAACCGTAGACCTCTAAACCTAAACCAACCCTAAATCAACATATACCAACCCTAAACTAACCCTAAACCAACCCTAAACTACCCCCAAATACACCCTAAACCAATCCCTAAACAATAAAGCCCAACCTGAGCCAACCCTAAACTAACCCTAAACCAAACCCTAAACCAAACCCTAAACCGTACTCTAAACCAAACCCTAAACCGTACTCTAAACCAAACCCTAAACCGTACACCTCCAAACCTAAACCTACCCTAAATCAACATAAACCAACCCTAAACTAACCCTAAAAACACCCTAAATATACCCTAAACCAATTCTAAACCAACCCTAAACCACCACAACCCAACCACAGGACCACAACCACAGGGGGGGGGGGGGTACTTGTCTGACCCATGACCATTGGGGGGGAGGGGGGGGGGGGGGCTGGCAACGCTGTACCATATATATATATATATCTATATATTGGTCATGTCTTTTTTTGTGAGGCTGGTTTTCAAAAGAAACCAGCAGTAAAACGAGATGTTTGTTTAAATGCTTGTTGGGGGGGTCGCCCCTCTTTGACATTGTTTGCTTGTGCCAGGTGCAGTTTAGGCCGTTAGCTTGAGCACGTCTCCGTGTGAATAGCGAGTCTTTGCTTTGGGAGGAGGCATTTTTTCAGGCTGAAGAATCAACAATACTGAGCTGTGCGGATGCATGGCGGCGAGGACGAGGTTGACCTTGGGGTTCATGTTAGTCAAATAGTCATGCATCCTCAGATGCTTCTAGTGCCTTGGGGTTGATGCCCCATGATTTCTTGCTGTTCTTCATAGTTCCCCTGATTGTTGATGGATGTATGGAGCAAAGGATCTCTGGAAGAACCCTTGCGAGTTTGTCAGATTCATCCAGTTGCGGAGAACCAGGCGTTATGATAATTCTTGACTCCACTGACTGGCGGATTCCCATGTAAACTTGGTTTCCCTAGCAGCATCTAAGACGGGGTCGCCTCCATTTTCCGACGATGATGGGGAGCCCATGTTTGTGACATGTTACTATTGTGACATATCATTGCTTGACTCCTCAAATATGGCCTGTTTCAAAACAGACTAATTCGCTCGGTTCCCTTTTGGTTTCACTGTGGAGGTACCCACAAAGCGAGCACTGCTAAGATACTGAAGGCGCATGAGGTTGACGTTTGCGTGGCAGGGCTTGCTCAACTCAACGTGGACAAAGCTGAAAAGCGATGGGAAGATGTGAAATCGACTCAAGTGGGCAACAGGCTGCCACTCCTCACCTGGACCTTGAGCAAGTCGCACCCATTGTCAGACACGCTGCTAACATGGTTGCTGATGCAACAGTTCAACACCAAGCGTGCAACTGAGAAGATGACAAGCTCTTGTTTTGCATGAGAGTGGCGCTTTCAATAGGCTTATTGTGTTTGTGTATGCTTGTATTGTGTTTGTGTATGCTTGTTGCGAACCTATGCTCAGACTTCAGTGAATTAGCAGTGAGGAGGAACTCGAAACTTTGCTTCTACTCGAGATAGAGACAGGCACAGCAACACAATTTGGTCTTGAAGCTGTGGCCAAGTCGTTTTCAGAATGGTTGGACAGGGTGCCTTCGATGTGCCCTTTTTCACTTGCTACCTTATCTAACAGAGTCTAACAGTGAGCCGATTGCGGGTAAGGGGCCGAGACTCAAGCGGTTTCGAGTTGTTGGCCAACTGTATGGCACTTTGGCCCCAGGATTGACAAAGCCCGAGTTGATGAATAGGAGTGTCCCACTTCAGAACTTGTTGGAAGCACACCTGCATTAATTCAGCAATTTGATTATTCCGTTTTCGACGTCTCAAAGTCTTTCCGTGTTTTGCGAAAGACAACCAGGGCGACCAACCGTTTGGGCCTCATAGAAACACCTATACCTTCCAGTTTGAGTTGGGCCTTGCCAGGCTTCAGCAGGAGATGTCCGAGATCAACCAGCGCCTTCTGACCAAGGATTCTGCCGAGAAGACCCTGGAGGAGCCGGCCGAACCATCGCGGTTGCTTTGCTGGTTGCAGCTTTGGCTTTTCTGAAACGGGAGTTGCAACCAACTCAATGTGCACAACACTCCTTTTCACACTCCTTTTTTAAGTGTCTTTTTGATTCTTCACAGGGTTTGAACACAATCCCAGCCTAGCTTTTTGAGCCCATGTTGGGGAGCATAAAGAGACCACCTTCCAAGAGCGGTTCTGCTCTTTTATCGTTGGTAACATGCCACAATGCTAATTTCCCTGTACCCAACAAGTTGGTGATAGAAAAGTCGAACCGATCTATATTTATGCGAGTTGCTGGTAGAACCGGTTTGAACTCCAGGTGTGTGGGTTGAACGTTGACCAACTTTAACGACGCTAACTTGGAGCTGGAAGTTGGACATTGAATTGAGCGGTCGAAGTGAGGGCTTTGGCGCAACAAGGCTTCCTTTTGGTTTCCTTGATTGTACCACCCGAATCATCCTCTTACAGCACGCACACACACACACACACCCACCCACCCACCCACCCACCCACCCACCCACCCACGCACGCACGCACGCACGCACGCACGCACGCACGCACGCACGCACGCACGCACGCACGCACGCGCGCGCGCGCGCGCACGCACGCACGCACGCACGCACGCACGCACGCACGCACGCACACGCGGACATGTTGATACAGGGCCCGGATGCCGTGGGCGCTGTATATCGCGCAAGGTAGCCACGAAGCTGCATACGATGACAGGAGTTGAAGCAGCAGCAGTTCAGCAAGATGAATGAGATGAGCTCCTCGTCAGTCGGGAGACAAGGCTCTGCTTCAGAGCGAATGTTTGCCCACGAGTCATAGTAATTGCCTCATAGGATGGCCTTGGCCAATTTCATTGACGTGCAGGAGACTCACTGCAGACTAACCTTAATTCAAATGATGAGTGTAGCTATAATCCTGAATCAAGCTGAACGCCTGCTGCTTGCGCGTTCTGCAATATCTCCCTCGTTTTAAGTTTGTTTGTTTGCTTGCTCGCGGGCTTGCGGGCTTGTTTGTTTGTGTGTCTCTCTTTGTGTGTGTGTGTATTTCTCTCTCTCTCTCTCTCTCTCTCTCTTTGTAGGCTTTTCCCGGTTGTTTTGTGGCACCTTCTTGCCTTTTGTGTTTGGTGATTTCCCCACCAAAATGATCAACCCCCAAAAAGCGGCTTGCTTTTTCTGCCAGAGTCATTGGCCTGGGTTGCTGAGGGGCTCGGCGCGTGGCGGGCCCCATGTAGACCCCTCTCGCTTAACTTGGCTGCGTCGAGCTTGTGACCGGCGTCTTGGTTGACAACGGGTTTGCCCGCCCATCCGAAAAAGGCAACGAGTGAATCCGACTTTGCCACCGAGCTACACCACCGACATATTGGCAACAGAAGCTCTGTTTTGCTTGACGGTGCTGGAAATATAGGCGTCCTTCAGTGGACGTGAGCTTGCGTTGAGATGAAAGCAAAAGGCAAATGATGAGAGTATTTATTGCACAAATTTCGAGGTGCTACTCTCACTCATCCAGCAACTCAAGCCGGAAAACATCAGAGATTCCATGTTTGATTGGTTGCCCTACCCTTGCTCCCATTCGGTCCAGGTTCCCACTAGGCAGCTGGGTTCTGCCAGTCAGTGAGTGTCTCTGGGACAAGTCCTGCTCAGGAACTGAGATTTCGCAAGCCATGAGCGAGCAGATGGACCAGCTCAGAAAGCAGTCACAGCACCTCTGACTTTGGCAACAGGAGCGAAGGGGGCCAGAGCCGACGACGAGTTTTCTTTGTGTCCGTCAAGCTCAGAAACCATTGATTCACCCGACTTTTGGCCACGGCCAGAAGTGCTCACTAGTTTTATGGGGTTGCATTTCAGGTTTGAGAAAGGCTAGCGTGTGTTCTTTTGTCAGATCATGGAAGCTCTAAGGCAATATGTGATGCTTGCTTTCATGGTGAAACCACAAGGGTAGACAATGTGTACTAGTGCTGTTCTGTCCTTTTCCATGGGCCAGATTTCTGCCCTTGTGACAAGGCATTGGAGCACCCATGCTTGAAGCAATTTCTGGCACAAGTGCCAACATGTAAATGAGATTCTGTCCAGCACTGCAGTGTTACTGCTTATACTGGCAAGGGCAAGGAGCGCGCTGTGCGACACATGTATTGCCTGAGAGATGGCAAGTGGCAAGCCAATGGCTGCTACGATCGATCCCTGAGAAGCATGTGTGTTTCTGTTGCAAAAGGTTGTCGTCAGAAGTGGCACATTTCCACCTGTCACCGAGAAGTTGAGGCCGATGTTGCAGAAGTCTTCGGTTTCCGCCATGACATGCTGGGGCTGATGATTTGCTTTATGGCTTCCAAGCCTTGTTAACTGCAGAATTCAGGATAGCCGCGATCATTTGTTTTTGGATTGTGGCTGGTGTGTGCTTGATACATGCTTGAATGCTTGTTTTTCCTGGGGTGACAGCCTCGCTGTGGACTTTTCCCGTACCAGTAGCAAAGACAGCTGCCATGTGCTCAGCGAGCCTACTGTCACTCGAGGTGTAGTGTGCGTGATTCCAAGTTTGGTGATGCATAGACGATGTCAACTGTAAGCCATGATGTTTGATGCAGCAACTGCATTCAAGAGGCTTGGCAGGAGTATTTATCAACGTGTTTGCAGACTGCTCCAGCTGGTTGGCTTTGGGGGGGTCACTATTCAACAGACCTTGTAATTGTGACCCTTAATTTGAAACATACGCAGCGACATTGGAGATTGTTAAGAATAGGCAAACTGGGCCCTGTTTTGAGACCGAAACACGCAGAAGCGGTGAAGCCTTTTGCAGGTTCCTCAAGAGTAACCTACAAGGCAATCAAAAGAAACTAAGTACAATCAACGAATTTGGACCCGTGTCGCATCTTGAGGCTGGAGCTGGATCAACTGAGAGCCTCCGTGGAGAAGTCTCAGAAGGAACAGGAAACAGCGAATCCTGGATTTGAGAAGGGCTGGCAGCCAACCAGTTGCTACGGATTCCAAGGGGAGTCTAAACCAGGAGGTTTGAACAACGGCGGTTTAGATATGTTTGAACCGGTGAAGCGAGACTGGTTGGCTTTGGGGTGGACTAGCGGGCAGGTCTTGCTCTAGCTTTGCCACTTTTGTGTTGTGCTTCCCATTCTCCAATGTGTCAACACCCAGCATTTGACGCCATAGCAGAAAGAGAGAGAGAGAGAGTGAATGAAACTTGAACCCATAGCAGAGAGAGAGAGAGACAGTGAGAGCGAAGGAGACTTGAACGCATTGGCCAAGTACACCGCTGGCTTTGAAGCATACTTGGAGCCCTCGAAGTATTTTATCTCATTCGTTGTTTTCCCCGTGCCAGCTCCGAAGGGCCCCATGGACATGGCCATGCAAGTCTCTGAGTTTTCTCTAATTTTACGGATGTTTTGTGAGCTTTTGAGTATATCATTGACTTTAAATATACCCTGATGTTAAACAGTAGGTTGTCCAAGTGACCCTGCCAGATCTTTCCAGAATCTCCAGGATTGCGGACGCGCCCATAGAAGGGCACTAAAGATGTCTACATGCAGGCAAGCCATGCTTGCCATATCCGCCGCAATGAATGTTTGTTGTTCCAACGCAAGACGTCCTCTAGCGACTATGTCTATGGATGCAGGATATATTAAGACATATTGTGGAGAGAGAGAGAGGGAGAGAGAGAGAGAGAAAAAAATGTGGTCGTTATTATTAAGGCTACAGATGCATCTCATTGTGCAGATCAGGATTCTAGGCAAAAGTTGATGTGTCATGACTATACATGCACTTGCATGGCTGCTATATATGTAGTAGATACATCTCCCACCTTCATGCATGCATGCAAACGAATATACTCATACACACGCTCACTATAGGTTACCCCCATTGCATTGGAGATTCCTTCGCCGACGTGTTTGTGTCTTGGTCGCGACATGGAAGAGCTTCCAGATGGCATGCCCAGGAAAAGAGAGGCAGAGGCTGGATGCGACAGGGAGTCCATGGCGGATGAAAGGGGGATGGTTCCATTAATGTTAAACCTGGATTAATGAAACCTGGCGGATGAACAAGGAAATGGTGTCCCTTCAAAAGTGATGTTCCGTGAGATATTTTATTAACATCAGCTACGGGTTGATCTCATGGTGATGATATCAATTCAAGCAGATTCCTGAAATTAGATTCCCCCCTATCTATGAATCAATATTTACTTAACGGGCGGGGTTTGTAGCCGTGGGTCAGTTGTTGGCTCATTAGATAGGCAACGCTTTTGCCCGTAAAAAACACGTAGGTTGTCGAAGGAAGCCATCCTTGACTGCAAGCACCGCGTCAAAGTCGCTTCATAATTACAAGGCAGCCTTGTACGAAGGTTCGCAGTGCATTCCGCGCTGAACGAACTCGCTCATGTCACGTCATGAGTCATAATGTTGCCTTGGATTGGAGGACAGCGCCCATTTGCAGCCTGCTTTCGAGCAAATGTGCTGTCTCTGCTGACCCTTTCTACACCTGGGCAGCCCTTGCCTCTCCACGCTGTATACGGCAGGTTCGCCAAGCAAGGCCAGCAGGCTGCCTTGCACCTGAAGGCGTCAAGAGACGAAGTTGTTACGGTTTTCACGCCATTTTTTGACCCCAAGGTCCCTTGAACACGTGGTACATGAGTCGCTTTCCAACAGCTACCTTGTTTGTTTTGCAGCAGGTGAGGCTGACAATTCCAATCAGCGCTCTGGCATGGCTGGCTCAGTGCCAGGCGCATGAGGCGGCGGTCGCGAAGCTGCAGGCCGGGCAGCGTCGAGTTTCCAGGGCTCAAAACGGGACAAACGGGTTCTACTAGACGGGTTCCAGGCGCCACAGGCGCCAAAGGATGCGTGTAGCATCTGAAAGCGTTGGGGGTCAATTGGTGTGTTGCTGTTGTGTTTGTTTTAGCTTTGCCGCTGCAAACAACTTGACCTCTCTTACCGAAGAGACGACCAACTCTTTGTCTAACCAACTCAAAGTAATGCGCTCGACCCAAATGAAACCACCTTTGCCACAACCAGCCAACACTTCGGGGCTAAAGGAGTTTCTGACACACACATGTTGCATGTTCCAGCTTGCAAGACCTGACAATCAAGTTTGCGGCATCCCTGGAACCCATAATTGCCCACAACAGAGCGTGGCAGCCCAAGCATGAGTGCTGCAGAAGTTGACGTTCAGAAGTTGTTGCCCAAACACGTCGTCCCTGAATTTTGAGCTCCATACTCAAAGAAAAAGGGTTGTAGGTCCCAGAGACTAGCCAAGTACGCAAATGGCTCCTTCTCATTCATTGGGTGTTAAGCAACCAAAAAGATGAACTTCCCGAAAAGGAGACCAACTGGGATGGGCATTTGTAAGTTTTGTTCGGACCCGCTATGCAACTAGAAGCAGCTGTTTTCTTGACCCAAAGAGCTTCCTGGACTGCAGTGCGCTCACCCGGTTGGACCCTGTCATGGTCGAAACTGAGACGGCCATCAACTTTCTGCATCTCACTTGCCCGTGCGGAGTCCCATCAAGGAAGCCATGGCCAAAATATATTTCCACCATTGGCTGAACCATTGATGCCAAGCTGTTTCTCCATGCCGAGGAGCGGTTAGTGGCTCATCGCCCCTGAGTTGGAGGTTTGGAGTGCGGCCAAGCGGCTTAGTGTCTAGGCTGCTTTGCTTGGAATCTGTTCGTACAGGGAGTCGGAAAACTACGTAGCATACTCTTACATCCAAACCCAGGTTCGGCACGACACTTGAATCAAAGCAGCCGGGCTGGAAACATTTCAGAGGCCGGTGCGGTGGGAAACTGGTCTCCTTGCGTGCAGCCTGCCTGCATCTGTGGGGTGTGCAGGTGATGCTTCAAGAGGCGCAGCAAGGGAAGGCCGCTGCTGAGCAAGAGGCAAGACTCGCGGCTCAGGGCCATTGGCCAGACTGGGAAGGTGCCCTTTTCAGGTTGGTTGGGAAATCCATTTTGATATTTCGGGTAGTTTGACACACACACACACAGCTTACCTTTGGGCTTTTGGGTAATCCATCACTTTTCCAGCAACTGCACTTTTTTGGCGAATCTAAGTCTCGAGAACCGAGATGGTTTATACTTGAAAAACGCCGCCGCCCCAAAAGTACAGAAGCATGACCCTGTAGCATCAAGTGGCTGCGGTCGAAGGGCATCGTGTTTTGATGCATTGGACTTGTCCGCCCCTTCCCCACCCCATCCCCAATGGCGACGGTCGGGCGGGAGGTTGTCATTCAGGAGTTTGCCTTTGCGTTGCTTCAACAGCGCAAGGGGAAAGCAAGTACGCTGTTCTTATAACATGCTGTTGGGATGCACGCGCAGGATTTTGCCAAACAGAATGGTCAACAGCTTGCAGCAACATTTGTTTTTTGTTTGAAGAGGGTTTTGCAAGAGCTATTTCGAGTGGCCCTCGCACGTGTTCTCCAGACATGAGAAAATGGCCACAAATTCTGGTCCGAAGGGTGTCTTTTGTTCGTGTGAGACGCCTGGATTGGACCCCACACAATCTGAATGTTTTTTTCCGCGAAAAGCAAGGACCTCCCTTTGGGGAGCTTTCGAAAAGGCCTTTGGAGAGTTACCATTCCAGCGCCTTCGTTTCCGTGAGGCGGCGGCGCTGAAAGTGAGCCTCGCCACAGCGGAAGAGCGTGCCAAAGGCCTGCAAGTCCGGCAGGAGGACGGGACGTTGACGACTCAGCTTCGGGGGCCGTTGCCCTATGGGTATCGGAGCAAAAAGGAGCCAATTCTGCTAAAAACCATCAACGGAAGGCTTTGTGAAGTTGTTTGGAGAGCTAAACAAAGATAAGCGCAGATCACACTGAACGCCTGAACTCCCTGAATGTTTGGTTCGAGTCACGCCAATGATGCGAAACGGCTGAACTCGCACTCGGAAGGCTTGCTGTGGCGCAGGCGACTGCCATTTCCAACTTCAATTTGTGCCGTCTATTTGTGTAGTGACAGCAAGGGAAATGTGTTTGAATATAGCGTGCCTGCTGAGATTCGATAGCGCCTCCCAACTGACGGACTCAAACATTGCATGTCTGCAGCCATGTGAAGCAACAACAGACACTCGGCCAGGCAGCAAACGCAGAGGGAAGGCACAATTCAGTACGCCGCCCTGAGCCGGCCCTGAGCTGCAAAGTCTTCAACGTTGATCCACACTAGCGCTTTGTTTTGTAATGTCCAAACTGGATCCAGAAATAAATGCAAGGCAAGGGGGCACTTTTGGTGGGGAAGCAGCACCTGGAGGTTTCTGTGGATGTGAAGCTGCCACATGCCACAAGGCCAGCACCAATTCGCCCGCAATCCACACATTGCACAAGTCGTTAGCTCGTGGTGGGTGTTCTCGTTGATTGCGTATTCCCCATTGATTGATCTGTTGGTTAGCCTTGAAGAATGTTCCACAGGTTACGTTGGACCCGCGCAGTGCACATGCGCACGGGATACTGCTTGATTCCAGTACTGTCGTCGCCAAAGCAAGACTACTGAGCTCAATGCTTTTTGGTGTTTCCGGGGAAGAGCAAAATTAGTATTCGGTTGTTGCCAAAGCTGCTCGGATCGGTTGGCTTGCGCGAACTAGCTGGCAGGCAAGCTTGGCAGCGTCAAACACCACAGGCATTCCTTGCCTCAAATGTTGGTGTTGGAACGCTCCTCAGAAGTGTTGTTTGTTTGTGCGAATCGACCTGTTGGAAGGGAACATGAAGGCGTGGAACCTGTGCATTTGCTCCGTGCAATGGAACCCATGGGAGCTATCAGTCCTGTTCCAATTCGTCTCATCCGTGCACCCGTTTATTTTTTTTGTTCAAAAGTAGGGGGATCCTCGACGTGGTGGTGTTCATGTTGGTTTTCCTTTAGACAGGGCCTGAAAAGGGTACCCTCAACAGCACAGTGGGTGTGTCTTGGAGGCGTGCTGGACCTGGAAGGTGTGGAACTCGATCAGAAGGAAAGAGACCAGGTTTTGTCGGGTACGTTCGGAAACACTTCCAATGTTACCAGAGGGTGGTTCTACACATTTGTTTTTGCGGTGTCCCTTTACATGTCTTTCCCTTTCTGGGTCCATTCACATGTTTCTCTCTCTCTCTCTCTCTTTTTCCTAGCTTGTTCAAACCTAATCCCCAATGGTCAGCGGATTGCGGATTATGCGGTGTATGGATTGGATTATGCGGTTTGCGGATTACTGAAGACTGAGATTGGGTTGCATGGATTTTCCATGCTTTGCAGCGAAAATCACGGATTAAGACCATGACCAACCACAACAAGGAAGCGGATGTCGGATTCTCATTAGGCTCCCAGGATTGCGGACCGGCTAGCTTTCTACGTCCCCAAACCGTTGCCGAAGGGTGCCGCATGAAATTCCGGAGCCATATCTCCAATTTAACCCGCAATTGATTCAGATTCAGATTGAAATAAATTGAATTATTTTAGTTTCATAAACCCATAATTTAAAACATTTCAATTCCCACATTGTTTCAGATTGTGACATACCTCCGGAGCTTCCTCGGGCTTAGAGTTCAGAGGAGCTGAGAAAGGAGCGGGCGGATTTTGATGAGGAGCGCAAGTTGCTGAGGCCCAGCCGACGAGCAGTTTGGAGAGGGGTTGGCTTCAGCCAGTACCCACTGTAGAATGTTGATACATTGGTTTTCTGGGGGGGGGAATGACCCCTATAAACCATCCCTTGTGCATTCCTTCAAGGGAACCCCTGGGTTCATTGCCACATTCCCTACTGAGCACCGGCCAGGTTTGCCTCAGTGTGGTGGCTTTGGGGGTAGTGGACACCAAAAAAAAAACAACGTTTCTGTGTCCCCAGCGCCGGACCCGGGAATTCTTGGATGGGTTTTGACAGATCCGAGTCGCCCCTTAGATCTTTTTGGCCGCTATGTGTTTCCATTGAACACTCGGGACGTGTGACGTCGTGGGATGTGCGGGTTGCTCGTCAGCAATGTCAAGTGGTATGTGTCAGACAAATATGAATATGCGATTTTCGTCAACATAAGAAAACAAACACAAGGGTACTGTTCTGGGACGGGGTCTGCCAAGCCAGCACTGGAGTTTTCCGCTGTCCTCGGCAAATCTTGCCGACATTTGAGCCGACTATTCTCAGGAAGCTCGAGATCGATCAATAATCTTCCATCCAATTCAGAGTGTCCAGGAGAGGACAGGACCGCTGCACAGCACATCACGAAACAGGATGCCTAGAGCCTTTGAAGCCAAAAGAGCTGTTGGTCTCAAGCTATGCTATGCCTTGTATTTCAGGATCATTGACTTGGCAGAATCAGGATCATTGATGTAATGGCTATCTCCAATTAGGTGGCATGCCAGAAGAAGCCTTTAGTTTTCTTGCACTACAATGGTACCATTATTTTGGATATTTTTCAGGGTGAGCACCACCATTTGGAGACACACCCATGGACGCATTCTGAATGGAATCCCTAGGTTGAATTGCCTCTTGCCGGCACAAGAACGCTTAAATGGTAGTTACCAACTTGAACGAATCAATAAGAAAGGGTACCAACTCAAACAAATACAACCAGAAAGTAGATGACGCAATTCCCCCCCCCCCCCCGCCTCTGTGGTTCCGTTATTGCCCTCACTTATTCACAGAACGGAACTCGCGCCGTCAACATTCTTTCTGGTGCAGAACATCCTTAAAACCCACTCGAAGTGTAATTCCGCAAGAATGACCCATCACAATCTAATACTTAACCTACGGCCGGTTTCCCAACCAACTTCATACTTTACCTCTTTTACGATTTACGATTTACTGCACCCTTGCCTGGCTCGAAGGGGTTGCGTCCCAAATCCTGCGAATCTCTTGGTTGTTTTTTTCTTCGATTTTAACGCAAAGGATATGGAAGCAAGGGGTGTTCACCCTGAAACAGTTTCGAGGCAGCAGGGGGAGCAGCAGTGGCAGCGCCTCGCGGCGCTGGAGGCGGAGCTCTCCAAGTTCCGCTCCGAGGCGGAGGCGCGAGAGAGCTGGGGACTGGGCGTCGGTCGGTTTTTGGAGTTGGCACTTTAAGGTACCTCCGGTATTATATTTTTTGGTTTAAAACAAAAAAAAGTGTTTTCGAAGGGAAGACAACAAAGGCAAGCATATAGAACCGATCTATGGACACGTGTTGCTTGTCTTGGAAAGCCGACAGAATCGACCGAAACATGCCCGTCACAAGCAGGAGATTTGGAATCGGTGTGTTGGATCAAAGTCCAGCAATTTTGACGAGGCTTCGATGAACTTGAAATGGCATCTCTGCGTTCGAGGTTCAGTATTGAATAAAGCGTATACTTATTATAACCTGATTCGCCCCTGCAAACTTACAAAAAAGGGCCCCCCAATACGGGATTCCTTTACCTTTTGGGGTTCCCTGTATCTCTTGTTCGCAGTGTGGTCCAGTGTAGCTTATGTTGTTTTTTGCTAGGTTCGTCAGGAAACATAGGCGAGAAGCTATTTCACATTGAGCTTGCCATCCCTGGTTGAAGTTTGACTTTCCCTTAAGACAAGATATGACCGGCCATAGTGCACCCCTTTGGCAGCTGGTCTCGAAGAAAATAAGTCTGAATTAAGGGTTCATTGGCCAACAGGTTCATACTACTGGTACATTCCACCTTTGATTCCCTGCTCGCTTTCATCTCCTTTTGGGGTATCATTTATGTGGCCCGTACGGGAAATGAAGCTTGTGCAAGAGGCTTTACATGGAGGGTGTGGTCAGGTGTGCCTCAAAATGGGGAACCTCCAGAATGGGTGTTTGTTCCTTGATTTCCCTTTCTAGATCTTCAATTTATTCCCACACAAGCAAAGGACCCCAATAGGGAGATATCCTGAAGAAGGCAGCGCAATCGCTTGAAGATCGGCGCAATCGCTTGAAGATCGGCGCAATCGCTTGAAGATCGGTGTTGGTGTTCCCATCTCACCGCAAGGCCCAGAGAAAAGAGATCGAGCGCCTGAATGTAGCCCAGGGAGAGGAGACGGGGCCGCAGGAAAGAGTTGCTGGGTGCTAAATTGCGGCACCGCCATGACTTTCCTCTGGCAGCAATCATTCAAATGGTGTTATTATGATTTGAGGAGGACAGTTTGCTTTACTGAGCACCAGGCGGCTGGAAGTAAGTGCGCTGCGACGGGGATGGGGCAACTGGCTGGGTCACTGGTGCCACACGCCAAGGGCTTGGTGTGTAGACATGGTAGACCAAAAAGCGCCCGGGACACAAGAAGATCTTGGCACTTGAAGTTTGGGGTGTCCAACCAGCGGAAACCGCTGGATTTCCTCACGTTCCCACCGGATTTTGGCTCAGGAGGGTAACATCCTCCGCTCAGAGCGTGAAGCCTGGAGGGCTCGAGAGCGGGAATTGCAGGCAGAGGCAGGAGATTGGGTGGATGCGGACTCCATTGGGCGAAACATGTGTAAGCAGTTTGTAATCAACCGGACTCTGGCCCCTCGATATTTAAAGGTAAGCCTCACTCAAAGAGGTGTTTACATGTTTTAGAGCTGGTCTTAAACATGCTGAAGTGAGGGTGGCTCGAGCCTGCTTGCAGAACTTGGGATATGAAATGGCCAACGATGGGGTCACATCATTTTGGGGTGAACTGAACATGTGAATGACTCGCTCATGTAGAAATGGAGTGACTGTTGCGCCATCCACGGAGACGGCACGCAGAGATGGGATGTTGCCTTCATTTGCGATTCGCCAAAGATTAGAGCAGGCTGAGAGGGGCAGTCGTGGATCGCGTGAAGCTGAAGGCATTGTGAAAGCAACCTGCAACGTTGGACATCATGAGCAGTTGCCCAGAGCAGTGGGTTGTCCAATGTTCCAGGAACAATCACTGACTCAAGCAGGAAGTGGATGTGGCGCCTTCACATCATCCCTCTACCCCATGAGTGTTGCCAGTGCCAGTGACTGCGTTGCGTCCATTCCAACCTCGTCATTTCACTGCATGAACTTAAACCACACGAGCGTAAATGTATCTGTATTTCAAAGGCGCACCCAAAAATTCACAAACATTGGACAACCCACTGCTCTTGGGAGCGTGCAGGTGTCAGACTTTCAGAAGAAGTCTGAGATCCAGGCAGATGAGTTGGGTTTTTGATTTGCAGGGAGGGACGCATCAGTTACTTATGGTATCTTATGGTTGGGTTGACCTCAACATGTTTGTTCACGAATCTGGGACCTTAGCAGAAGTGATCTCTGGCAGTTCGGCAACAGAGGTGATTCAGTGTCTCACCTGGCTGTTGGGATGAAATCGCTTTTGTGGCTGGCTAAGCTTGACTTGTCTGAGGTAGTTGTCGCGACATAGTTTTTTAACCATGACCGACATTACACAAGTACGGTGTCAGGTGACGGAGTTGCTTGTCGTATGGACTTTGCAAGGCACACAGGGCGTGTTTGAGAGGCTGAGAATGGCAGGCGTAGCAAGATCATGGTTGAATCCACTGGCTATGCAGTATTCTGAGTCGTAGCTGCTTGTTTGAAGCCCGCAAGCATGTTTGCCATTTGCAAGAATTGAGAAGAGGCGAGCCTGATGTCGAGCTCCCAGACATCTTTCAAAACAAATACTGCATATACCAGCTGGAGGGGAATCCACAAGAGGGTCGTCATACAGTCGGCGAACACAGGGGTTCCAGCCTGATTCCTGTGGCGTTTCACTTGTCTCTTGAACAGGGCGCCCAAAGATTGGTACCTTTGTACGACGTGTTGGATGCCCCTGCTTTGGCTGCCAATTTCCATTTTGAATATTATTGTACTCTTGCTTTTCAATTTGTAAAAAGAACAGGAAAGAATGGCCAAGTTACCCAGAGGTCAATGGTTGAGCATGACCTCAAGCCGCACTTGCGACTCATTTGAGCGTTAAGCAATAAAGCAACAACAGTGGGATGGGTCACTTGTCAGTTAGATGTTAGACTGTGTGTGTTTGTTGTCGAGAATCTTGGAGCGCTCATGAATGAACCTTTAACCCACTCCATGCAAGCACTGACACCGGCTTGAAAGAGGGACATTCGTGATTCTAACACATTTCCTACTGAGAACAAGCTAGTGTTTTCCAAGCTCATGAAGCTGTCAAAGGGTTGGGCCACTGCTTCTCCATGGCATGATTGCTTTGGCTAGATGGAAACGCCAAGCACCTGAACCCAGCCTGGTCCATGGTCATAGCTGTGCCCAGACGCTAGTACAAACTCCCGGTCCAGGATCCTTTCAGCACTGGGCTCCGTCACATGGCTGTGGGTCAAAACCCTGTACCCCTGGTGAACATCAGAATAGGTGGTACATGGGAGTTCATCCGCCCCAAAATGGAGGCATAGGTTATGACCCATGGCCACATCAGTGGTCAGACATGGAGCCTTTTTTGAACCCTGGCATTTTGCTGTTCAAGCGGGATCGCCAACAAGGGAGCCATGTTAACCCGTCACATCGAGAACATGGATGAGGGTAATTGACTGTAGCAGCGCCCAAGACGCATATTGTTGGTTTTGGCGGAAGCTTGCATCAAAGTCGTTTTTTTTCTCCATCAACAGCCAACCAAAAAGGTGGCTTCTAGTGGTTGAGATGTGCTTAAACGAGGCCTTGCCCGCAAGCGTCCATTTCCGGGGTCTCCTCTTAGAACGATCTTCAAATTTAGGGCAGACCAAGCGAGAATGGGCATGACTTTTACCCAGGAGCCTCTGGTGGATTTTTTTCGAATTTGGTGGGGGATTTGGTTGTCCACCAACCGCTTGCTTTTTGGAGTAGCCGATGTGGGCCATGGGATTTTTGATGCTAGGCCCTAAAGGTGTCGAGGGACCACAACGAGGCAATGTCCAAGCACCTTGGCTAAAAAAAAACGCCGGAAACGGGGGCGCGGGGTTGAAGCCAATTCGGGTGCTTCAGTGTTTCTGAAAAGGGGGGAACCAATGAAACCAAAACACAAAAAAGTATTTTAAGGTTAGTCCCTCATTTTAGATGAACCATTTCGCGTGGAACAGAAACCAAAAGCAAACCAACCATTTCTGCTAGAACCAAGATTGTCGAATAGAATCGATCAAAACCACCGCGTTGCGAACATGAGCACAGCCCCTGCTTGCAAATGCTTGCAAACTGGACTCACTTCGCTGTTTTTGGGCTGGTATCACATGAGAAAGCAAGGTTGTTTTCCTGTAGCCTACCACAGGGATGACTTTCTTGCAGCCTAGGGGGGATGATTTTGAACATGGTAAGATACTGGGGAAACCCTTCACGAAATCGAGGCTGCTCATCATCGCCTTTCGCTTTGTTCTTGTTCTGTTGGGTTAGCCTTAAGTGGGGAACGGGGCTAAGCTCTTTGATAACCCGGGAATGTCTTCAATTGAGCGGCGTCCAAAACCTCCGTATACATGGTTAGTAAGAGTCGTGTCATATCGACCTGCGCGCAAGCAAAACATCCACGTGCGTAAGGTGGCGGAAGCTATTAGCGTAAGCAAGCCCTCCAAATGTGTCGCGTAAGGAAACACTCCACGCGCGTAAGGTGGCGTAAGCTAGTGGCGTAATCAAAATGATACGACTTAGCAAATCATGACACGTTTAGGAAATTGTCTCAAATGAGCCGCAATCAAAACACGGGTAGATGAAGGTTAGTACGGGACAATCTCACCCATAAATAGCTGCGGCCGCCTGCTTAATTCTTTACATGGTTCTGGGTAGACCATTTTAGTACCGGGCTTTGATTATGTCTCAAATGGCCCTCTGCTTTTTGGAAGTTTGAATCATTCTTGTCAAGCGTGGGCATAGGCCATGGGTTCTTCAAGCCTGATGAACACCGAACCGCAAAGGGTAGCGTCTCCATGAGGATTCTCCGGGCTTCAAATGTTCAGGAGAGCTTCCGTGGATTCCCAAGGGCACCGGGGGAACATTGTGTGTTAGTTGGTCATGTTTCATCCTGGATGCGCCATCGTGAAACTGCGGCTAGATGGGGATTCCGTTCGCGTCCTCGGACAGCAACTGCAGGCGCTGGATCTTAAACTGTTGAACACGGTTGCCTTTGAATTCCTTCATCTGCTTGTCCAGGCGCAGTGTATCCATTGTGATGCAGTCGCCTATGAAGTACCGCTACAGTTAAGGGATATTAAGGGGCAATATGTGGCCATGGCTCAAAGTACAAACCGTACCCCCAGTGACCATCCCAATCCCCACTAAAATAGGTTCTAAAATGGGTGGTGAATTCACCTACCCAAAAATGGGTTCCCATTGGTTTTGACACCTGATGTGTGTTTTGTTGTTTTCGGCAAACGCCTGAGGTTGAAGACTCAAGTGGAGCGGCTGGAGGTCGAGGCATGTCCGCATTGCGAGATCAGCACCTTGTGTTGTCATGCCCAGCCAAGAACCAATGTCTCGACTCTGAAACTTGCCAGTCACATGGACTGCACGTAAGTAAGCTTTGCTTCCTAGTGGGCAACATTGCACAAATCATTCTTTGGTGGCCTTGTCACATGAACAGCAGCTTGGCTTCCTCAAGATGGGTGTTCTACTGGCAACTTGTGGGCCGCGGCAACACCAGATGACCGATCCATTCACATGGACTTGCTTGCCCAAGGTCGACCTTTGACCTTTTGCCTTTCCACGTTTCATTCATGACACAAGGTTCATTCATTTCCAGGTGCTGTGTGCAGGTGAGTGTAGGGGCCGGTAGCTTGGCCCGCGGACAGCCATCGTTCGGCAGTCTGATATTTGACTGCTGTGCACCTCATCACTTCCCCAGTTTCTGGAGTTTGTAAATGTTTTGTTGTTTGCCCGGGCTTCAAACAAATGCGATTGATATCAAACATATTATATTTACATATCCGCAAAAACACACAGATGCACAGACAGACAGACAGACAGACAGACAGACAGACAGACAGACAGACAGACAGACAGACAGACAGACAGACAGACAGACAGACAGACAGACAGACAGACAGACAGACAGACAGACAGACAGACAGACAGACAGAGCCACACACTCTTCTCCTTTGAGTCCATTTGGAACTTCAAGGCGACTTTGGAGTGGGAGATTCGGCTTGCCTGGCCTGTCATCAGTTGAGGCGGCTACTCCGGTTTGCTTTTGGGAGGTACCCTCCAGCAAACACGTCGACAGGGAGGCACTTGTTGTCAATAGACAGTCGTTGGAGTTGGAGTTTCTGCAATCAACCATGTTTCAGGTGCCCATTTTGCAAAAGAACTGGCACCCCGTTTCACAGCTGAGACAACCACTGTTTTGAGTTTGTCATATTTGTTTTTCAGATGTGCGCAAACTTGCTGCCATTGTCCCCTTCTCGTAGTCTAGTTTTTGCGGGTTAAACACCCTCCAACAGAAACTGAAACACCCATTTAAGAAACTCAGCCAAGGGGGTCGCTCCAAAAATCCGAAACCCTATGCCCTACACCTTAAAACCGACAACCCTTGGGCCCTACACCTTGAAACCGAGCTTTGGGCCCCCGGTTCAACGCCGCCCTTGGCACTCGGAGGCCTCCGCGCGGGCGGAGCAGCTGTTGGAGGCCCAGAAGAACGTGGCCAGCCTCGAGGCACCGGGGTGCCGCTTTTCTGCGCAAAAGGAGGCAGGGCTTTTGGTATGATTGACTTCCCCCACGTTTTGGAGATACGTTTTGGGAAGACCATGGTGTCAAACAGAAAGTGACTTGTTCAAAGGCAATCCCAGTTGTTTGGTGCACCCGCTGTGGGACATATAGGGCTATAGTGTCCATTAAAGAAGGAAAGACAGAACTTCCTTATGATTCGATATGTCCCTGTTTCCTGGATTTGTTGTTCCAAAAAAATGCAGATCTGCCTTGCCTTTTTGTTAAAAGGTTCAACGCCGATCCACACGATCGTCATTTCCCATCAGGGGTCGTGGTCATCAGATTTGGACCAGTTATCATCGGCATCAGTCATCTTTCCAGAATAGTATACAGCTGTGCCTGTGAAGTAGCGCGGGCTTTTGTTTATGGTGTGGTTGACGCGTATGCAGCATGTTTCCCACCAAGCATGGACGTGCACAGGCATCGTTTCCCAGAGGAGAGTAGCCTTCCAAAAGAGTAAGAGCTTCCAGGAACAACATGTGGGTGACCAAATGCCTCTAACTTTCTCCTCTCACTTCCTGAGTTCCTGGACTTTAATTTGTTTTTCGGTAAAACCATTTTGGTGGCAAATTAAAATCTTTGACCCATCCACTCAGGAAGTGAGTTGTTGCCCTTGAAAAGGAGTGATTTTGTCTCCAAACCTCGGCCGTAGGCAGAGCGAGTCTTGGCACTGCACCGCGAGGATGCCATCAGGCGTGGTCTCAGTTGACTCATGCCCAATGGACATATGGCAAGCGCCTAGTGCAAATCGGCATGCATGTTTGAAAGCCGAACTCAGTCTCAATTATGGGAGTACCTGTCAGTAAGTATCTCGCCCCTGGAATTATACACCCTTCATAGGGTACCTATGTTGTGATTCTCTAGCCCCATGATCCGTCGGGCTGTCCGGGGCGGTGACAATCCTCTTGGAAGGAATTTATGACCTGGGCCGACCAACATCCGTACATCAAGGTTTCGACACCCATGCGAAAGGCTTTGACCACGGCAAATTGGACGTTTTAAGTTGCTTGCTGCCGACAAGCATGCCATGACAAGGGGCTCATGTGTAAGACTCTATTGGACGTCTTCGGCACATGTTCCGCCGAATGTTTTGCAGCTGCATGTGTAGCTGGCCGGTTCTGCATAGTACTACAGTCACACCTCCAACAGATTCAAGCGCGGCCAGCCCAAACGGTCCATCCTAAACAGCCGGTTGGTTGCAAGCGTGCACCCGACTGCATCAGGAGCAGTCGATCTTCTGGAACGTGACGTGCAGCCACACTCAGAAGATTGCTGCTCATTTGTTTCTGGATGCCAAGTAGTCGTAAGTGTTGATTTCCTTCGAAGCCAGAAAGGAAGAAATATGTTCCACTTTCCACGACTTTGGACTTGTCACCTGTTTCTTGGTAGACCTTTAGGCACTACTCAGTTTTTGCAAAGATATTCCACCTGTTGGAAACTGCTTGCTGCTTGGTGCCTTTTAGCCCCGGTATCATTTGAAGCAAACCTTGGCCTTTGGCGGCCCCTTCGGTACTATGGGCGGCCTGTGAGGCAGTCGTCCGCAGCGGAGATCAGGAAGTGGCAGGCCAGCTTGGAGACCCGATCGCCGCGTAAGGGACGTTATGTCAGGAGTTTGAGTTTGATCCCTCGATTTCCCTTGGCCAGTTCAAATGTAATTTTGCCAATGCTGAGCGAATTGATTGGAACTAGCCGAGCGTGAGACATCATACTTCGGGTGCATTTTGGCATCGAGAAAGACACGCACGCCCCCAGATCCAAAACACGCACCATTCACCAGATCCAGATCACGCACGAGTTCTCGCCCCAACTCAGCACGTTTAACCACCAACTCTGTGTTTTCACGCAGCACCTCCGCAAGGAATTTGCTGCCAAGGCGACACCAGAAACACGCACCAAAAGTGACACCAGAGGACGTTCAACTCCACCAGAAGAAATTGAAGGATTTCGCTGAATTCGGGTGCTTATTGGGCAAGCCGGTATTCGCTGGTGGTAATTTCTGGTTGGCCGTCTGCAGACTTAGGTGCTCGGGTCTGGCAATCAGTCTCCACAAGAGGGGCAACCATTTCCAAGGATTCAACTCCCACTTGCCGAAATTACAAGTCCCTGCAAGTGCCCTTATTTCCAACCAAAATGAAGGTGCCAAGCCCCACTATAATGCCCATTCAGCAAACTCCTTCTGCTGCAAGACAAATATTTGGTGTCAGGGGACCTGCGCATGGAAGTCTCAACATGGGCTTCTGAAACGTCCAGTTGTTCAATGGCCATTTTTTGTCCGGTCTTTGGTTTCCACCGTGGACCAAGAGCTTGTGGGACTGGGTTTCTGGGGCTGCGGATCGCCCGGCCCCCGGAGGGTCGGATCGCCCGGCCCGACACCAGGAGGAGCTGGAGGTTTCGAGACAAGGCGAGCAAGAGCTCATGCAGATGCTGTCAGCAGCCGGGTCCACAGCAGAGAATCGTCCTGAGGCGACCTTGGAAGACTGTGTCCATTGTATCCTGAAAAGTGCTGGGTTTTAGTTGGACCTGAATAAGATGGCAAACGGACCCACCCTGGCTGGCAACGTGTCAACAGGGACATTCAGGTCCCTTGGTGGTTTCCGATGTCCATTTGAGGCTTTGCTTTGCACACAGCCTCCATCGTCCCGGTATTGGCTGAGAAAGATGGGCCAGGAAAATCAAGCTTGCCTTTCTTGAAGAGCTCACCTTACCAATTGTACCTGCTGTAGGGGGGGGTTCTCCAGATAGGGGTCCTCTAACATGATTGGCTTCCTTTGGTGTCGATTAAATGCCAACCAAAAGACGGCCCAAATTTGTGAGAAATGTGTTCAGTCGACTTAGGGAATCAATGGAGGCGCGCATGTCTAAAAGGCCATCTCGGTTGGGGGACGGTGTTAGCCTAAGGGAAGCCTTCCCGAATCAAGTCATCCATGTGCAACCGCGTGTGTGTCCCTGTTTCCGTTCTTGGCCATTTTCCCTTGATTGACAGAGACACCACTTTGTATTTGATGAACTCTATTACTTCCGCTTGACCATTTCGTGAAGCCACCTCGTTAGAGGTTTACATTTCTTCAGGCTGTCCACCTGATCCTGGCAGCGTGTGGTCTGTCAGGTTATGGCCTGTCGTGGATGTTGGCGTTCCACAGCCAGGGGCAATCACATTGAGACATGCAAACATTATATGAATGTATTGTGCCGTGGTTAGGCCAGGGCATTCACTGAAGAATGATAGGTTGAAACAGATGTAATATGGGCTACAGTGTCTTTAGGTCCAAGTCTTAAAGTTGTACGAGAGGGATGAGTGGTTTCTTCATGTTCAGATCGCGCCCTGTGCTGTTTTATTTTTCAGCAGCACTGGTTGCTGTCGCAAGAGATGCAACAAATTTGAGCTCTGGTGCGCGGAGGTTCAGGACGGCATCATTGCCTCTGTCCACGCCTCAGCGAGGATCACCGGTGCCCACTTCTCAGACGATGGACGGATCAAAGTTGGCCAGTTCCTCCCGTCCCCAGTGTTTGCTCTGGCAGCGAGTTGCCGCCCTCCTGATTGCTTTTGTTTGCAGCTCCAAAAGTTTGTTGTTGTGGGGTGTTGTAAGTCTGAAGCCTCACAAATCGCAATGGCAGGTTGTCCAGCAACGTTGTGACTGTTCAGCTCACAGCCTCGCAGGATGATCAGTTTGTCTCACGAGGGGTACAGAGAAAGAATTGTCAGGCTGTTTGTAATTGTGCGATGGACTCATTGGGCGGCATACCGTAGCTCACATGTCGAGAGTCATGCCGCGGGTAGCTACTTCGCTGAGGGACCTCGGGCCCCACGAAGGTTCCTTTCAAGGGGAGTTCTCATTTGGGGTTGGTGAAATATTCTAATTCATCCACGGGCGCCCTTGTTTCGTCAAATAAGCAGAGGCAAGTGCGTCGGTCAGGTTTTATGTCCGAGATTCGGGTGTGGGCCGTGACCAGACTTGGAGTCCCGTGTCAGACTGGCCCAAGCTTCAGAAGGCCATTCCAAGTCACTGCAGGCGGCGCATCCTTTTGCCTGTGGGCTTACACTCTGTCTTTGTCTCGAGGCCAACCGATAGCTCGTTGAGCGAATCCTGGAGTTACAGGCCGGGCGACCTCATGTGAATCGTGGATTTGCAGGTGTTCAAATGAACCAGAGTTTATACGTCCTGGGTTCCCTTTACGTGCGAGCAAAAGTGGGGTGCACTGGCTATGATTGTTGATTCCTTCTGCACTCGGTTTCTTTTGGGGAGTGATTTTTGGCTAGCAACCCCTGTCAAAAACCAAGCTGTCCAAATCAGGTGGTTTCAAAAGCGCCAGCGGGGGGCGGGGGTAACCCTTCTTCATGTTCATTTACTTGCAATCCTTGGTTTAGTGTTTTGTCTTCAGCGATGGTGTGTGTGTGTGTGTACAAGTGGACATTTCGGTTCCACATGTTGGCGTTCCAAATAGAGAAGAATGTCGCAATAGCTTCCTTTACCATCTGAAGATACCTGGGGCGGAACTGTGCTTTCTGAATGCCATTGGAGCTGGTGATTGCAAGATGTCAACCGAGGTTTGGGTCCGTGCGTGAGAATCCAGACTCGAAACATGAACCGGGTACTCGATGGCACACCATGCACCGAACTAAGGTGCTAAATGTGCCTTGGCAACGTACTGGTTGTTGGCAACGCAACCCACACACACACACACACAAATGCGCGCGCATCTGCAAAAGGCAAAGAGTAGATTTCCTCACAAGCTAGTTCTCCATACTTGGCTTTCCTTTGGCAGAGGGCTTTGTCCGGTTCTTCGGTATGTGGAGTTCATGAAGCACGATACCATCAACAATTGAGCAGTGCCCAGTAGGTCATAGTAGGTCACAATCTCATGAGGTGCCTGATGGGATCTACGAAATGTGTTTCCAGCTTATGGTCAGGCCGGTTTTGGGCGCTCAATACCTTGCCTTGCACCGCTCGGGGTGTAATTGGGGGGTGTCGTGTTGCAGTCTAGCGGAGAAGGTTTCCTGCGGCCAGGGTTGCTTGGATGCTCATTGCAGCCCTCAAACATGGCACCAAAGGCGAGATTTGTTACCATGTGAAGGCAAATGCAATGCCCATGAAGATCGAGCCTTTGAATCTTTTTCTTTGAATACCCGGCTATCATAGATGTTCTTTGTCTACTTGTTTTCGTTATTTCTTGGGTATGCCCTTTAGGGTGAAAGGAGGGGGATTGCTGTGCAAAAGTTGCCCAATCTCGGAGGTGAGCGCGGCCTTGCCGAAGACCTTCAAAGCGGCTACGGGGAACCGCGGAGCCAAGGCGAGGGGGCAGGAAATGTACGCCTCGTCCATGGGTCAAAACCAATGGGCCATGCCAATTGGATCCCATTTTGGGGTAGGTGCTCCACCCATTTTAGAAGCTATGTTAGCGGGGATTGGGATGTTCACTGGGGGGACGGTTTGGATTTTGACCCATGGCGAATTTGAGTCAAAGGAAGATTGGTCGTTCCTCCAGGCCTCAACAAGGCTTGTTCTGGTCTAATCTTGGGAAACAGGGGAGGAGCAAGGGGGTCAGTGGAGGGGAGGGAGGTTGATTTTTTGTGAACTTTTGCCCTTTCAGTTTTTCTGCGTTTCTTCCCCCCTGTTTAGCTGTTTTATTTATTTTAGTGGATGTCCCTTCAGCATCAAGCAGGAAAAAACCGGGGTGTTCTTTACATGGGGTTGGAGCTCCCATTTCAGGTGGGAAATCAAAGAAGAGGAGCAACTTCTCGGCCCTTGGGAATGGGCAGGCGCCATGTTGGCGCTTCCGCGGAGGCAAGCAGAGCTTTGGTAAAACTGACAATGAAAGTTGTCTTTGCTGGAATGCGTCTTCTATTTTGACAACCCCCATCCTCACAATCGCCCATGCCGTTGAGCTCTGCTCCGCAGGAGTTCGAGCAGGAGCAACAACCTGAATTGCAGGGACAAACTGGGGTGATTTTACGCGACAACACGATGTGCTGCATGCGCTGGCAGCTGCCTGCCAGCGGTGGCTGTCGGCCGAAGGTCGCGCCTGCCGAAACAGCTCTCGACAGAGGAAGCCCGGAACCTGCCTTCACGCCACATATTGGTTGGACTGAATGGGCCCATGTTGCCATGCTTTGAAGCGATGATGCGATGGAGCTGTGTGTTGATCTCCAGGGGATCATCCACCAAATGATCATCATGGAGCTGCGATGATCTCTTTTCTCGTCACAGTCTGTGGATCATTTGGTGGATGAAGGACAGGGGCGGCTTGCAAGCAATCCAAGCAGTACATGAGCAGTGTAGAAGTGTGCCGCCAGATAGTTGGCTGTGACCTCATTGCAGACACTGCCAGATATCTCTGTTCTTGTTCGTGCAGTTGGGTGTCCGTTTCAGTTATGTGGTGGCAAGCTGAGCGATACGAGTGGCATGTTAGCTTCGTCACAGCCACATGGTGACTGTCAAATGGAGGCTGTCGCGTCTCGCGGGTGGCTGGCGAGACTGGAGAAACGGCAACGCGTTGGTTCCGATTGCAAGCTGTAGAGGGCCGCGACATACGCACAAAAGACCTCCCCAGAAGAATGAGGGGCTTTCTTCAAACTGTCTTTGAGGAGTTTGGTAGGGTTCTGGAATGTCTCTGAGAGCAAGATGACAACTACTTTACAGGTGCCACGGCAGTTGTCGAGCGGGTGCTTGATTTCTCGGCTGGTGCTCGTGCAAACTGGGAAGTACCTTCTGACTTCCGGTTAGGACCCAAGAAGTTTAAAGTATTTTAAAGTTCTTTCGGGGCATTTTTCCGCCCCAAGAATTCCATCGACAGGAATACCGCATGTGCAAATCGCCGCCCCTTGCCTCAGCCAATTAGCGGCAGGCGTAGATGTAATTTTAGGCATGGTCCCGCTGAAGCCGTGACGCACAATGGTCATTGAAGGCGCGTGGCGTTGCCGTTACTTGCGACCCACACCATGCGCGTCCGGCCCCAAGTTCATGGCTGTTGAACACCTTTTGTGCGTAATTCCCGACGGCACCTCCATGCTACTAGCTGATTTGTTTGCTCTACAGTACATCGTTTTCTTTCGTTTTTTTTTTGGGGGGGGGGGGGTACACTACGTATTGCCACATTGCGATATCCCCTCATGCAACAGCTGTCCGCAATGAGTGTTCGTAACTCGTGCAATATGATGTGCTCAAAGGCCGCATGAGCAGAAGCCTGGCAGGGGCAAAGCAGGGAGTGATCCGCTTGTGACAAACAAGCTACGGGGTGTCTTCTTTTAGGGCACCCCCTTTTTGTTGATTCTCAAAGGAAACCAAACTGGAAATCCTCATTTCGGTGTATTCAACTTCCACCTTTCCGCATCTGGAGGCAACAAACAAAAGGAAGCCAACAACTTGGGTCCTGGTTTGCATACTCCCCTTCCACTTAACATCGAATCCAAGAAACCTCTGAAAGGAGTTTTCTGTAGAAAGGGCGGCTTTGTGAGTTCATCCGGATCTGAGCAAATGCCCTGCAGGTGCCTTGAAAGAGAAGCTGGAAGCGCTGAAGTTCAAGCCGAACTCACGGCGCACTGGGAAGCCTCTTGTGGGTACTGGCACCGCGGCCAGCGCGGCCAGCGGGGCCAGCACCGCAGCTCTGACTCTCGGCGAGTGGATTTCAGTTTTTCAGCGAGGGCTTGGTGGTTGGAGGGGAGCCAGGGAGCTGGGGCTAGCCAAACTTGACTTTTGAAGGAGCTATGGAACGACCAGGATTTCTGCAAGGACATGGTAGTTGCTTTTCGGATTTGCATGGAGGCCCCTCAAATCCCAAAGGTTGTGACATAATTTCATGTTAGATTAGCAGATGAATTAAGCTACCAAGAAGCATGCCAAGGCTGACTGCGCAGGTGAACATGGAACCAAGCCATTTTGCCTCGAGGCCTGAAAATTTATTGCGGAGTAACAATTCCTTGCTACTCCCCCGCAGACTAGCATGAAACCCACAAAGGCGGTTCCCCAAACGTGTTTGCTCTTAAGGATGCTTTGGGGGAATTCTAGTTGACGACTTCCAGTGGGCTGCTTCCTGTCTACCCATGGCCACTGGAGGTCTGGATAGTTGTTCGGCTGTACGCCCCCTTTTCGAGGAACCATACCCCCTTGGGGAGATGGGGGAGTGGGGTGCTGTTCAGGTGTCCATGATTACTGTTTGCCACCAATCAAAGAAACCCCAAGTGAGCCCAAACAAGCCTAAGCAACTCTAAGCAATACATTACACTACTACTGTTCTCTGAACTATTTCTACACCAATGCTCACCAAGTACAACGGCAACTCTAAACAAGACTGAAATAATACTACTAAGCCAATACTAAACCAAAACTAGCAAGTACTCGTACTTAGTTATACTTAGTTAGGGACCAACAAGGGGGCCTTTGGCCTCAAATCGGTGTTCTGTTTTCCTCTATTGACTCCCCAAAACTTTTATTGTTTGGGCAGGGTCCCCTTTGTTCATCAGTGAGTGCTACATGACAGTCAGCCTTGGTTGGTTTGGACCAGTTTTGTGATTCACTCCGCTAAAGAAGTAAGGTTCAATTTCACGTCCCAGGGAATGCCCCTATGTTTGGATGATTGTCCATTCCCCACTTTACCGGTTTTGAGTCTCCAAGCTCACCAATGATTGCCTGAAACTGCCGGATGGGTGAACTGAATGCGACGGCGCTACTTTGGCTGATCATACTCCCGTTCAAATTCCATTTTATAGGTGTACCTTTGACACTGTCCAAAGGGGGTCCCCTGTTTTTCTGTGTATGTCTCTCCAATATCCCGTGTGGCTACGCACAACAACCAATGGGCTGAATCAAAAGGCATCAAGCGCAAGATCTGGGCAGACACATAGCCGTGGTTCTCTGAATTGAATGTGGTGTTTGACGTGTCAGCAGCGTGCTGCTGATCAAGCCATCAACACTCTTAACCCAACGGCAGAGTTGTCCACAACACCAAACGTGAAGCCTGGGAATCTGGATGGTTTTGCAATGGTGCTGGGGCTTTGGGCTCTCCAAGAAGACCTTTGCTGGGTTACCGGTGGGTTGCCAAATTTTAGGTGCAGAAACGAAAAATGCCGCGTGGATTTCCTTTGCTCGTGCACTGTTTCTAGGAACACTCTTCTCGCGTTATTCTTGTCTTGCTTGGACCGGCTTGTCACTGTTCTGCCACAAAAGTGCCGCTTGGGCCATCAGCTTAGCGCGTCATTCTGCTGAGCACGGCCTAGTACTCCGCTTTTGGGTGATATGTTTGGGAACAGTTCCAGATGGATAATCGTGTCTTCGGTGGGCGGGGAAACCTCCGCCACGAAGTTGTATTGAAACATAACCAGTAAGGGTGCAAGGTTACGTGTGATGTGGATCCTACGTATATACATGTCAATGTATGATACAACGAGCATGTGCTTGCATAAACAAGGACATACACATCATACACATGTACAGAACCCCTTGGTGGCCGTGTCTCCATCCAAGGGCGCCGCCCACCCCGCCTTCATCCACCACTAGCGCCAGCCGCTCGGCGGGCCTTGCGGTGCACGTGGCCGTGCGCTGCCGCCCGCCGAGATCTGGGGAGGTGGTGCAGATCTCGGCGGAGGATGCGGGGGACAAAACGGCGCTGAAGCTCAGCACGCGCGAGGCGAGCGGGGAACTGCAGGGCTCCATGTCCGTGATCTGCTTTCCAACTGGTTTCTCCTTCAAGCTAGCTGACAAGGGTACCCAAAAGCGCGTGCACGCACAAGAAATACATCTATATACATAATATGTAGATACAGATATAGTTGTGTCCCGTTTGAACATCAGCTTTCAGCCAGTTGGAGATTGCTTTCCGCTCGGTGGTGTGGTGTTTAAAGGGAAATATTGGGGGGCCCTGTTGTACCGCCGAAGGTGATAAAGCGCAGCGTAGTGAGAAACGCTTTGGAACGTTGGAGCCAGCCTTGAAGGGGAAGCCTTTCACCTCGTGCTTGTATGTCTGCCGTAGGGAGTGATCGATACTTTGGAAAATAACTTTTGGTGGGGCAACCATTGCCAGGTCGGAGCCCCAAAGCTCTTTCAAAAAGATCTTCTTTGGTGGACCCCTTCTTGTCTTTTTGGGCCATGCCAATTTGCAGGGAAGTACTGTTTCAGCCAGTCGCCCCTTCTCCTTGAAGTCTTTGAAACACTGATTTGTCTCAACATACAGCAACCTCGAAATGGTGCCTGGTGTTCCACATCTGTTGGATGTGGCCAGGCATACGGGACATCAAAAGCAACCTATTGCTTAGGAACTGGACGACGGGCCTTAGTCTGCTGCGGGAAGTCTCAGTTGACGTTGGAATGGAACCACCAAACTTCAGGGGCAAGGATGCTCCTCGATTTTGGCTTGCCCTAACAACCCAAGGGTACCAACTTAGTACCAGCCCCCTTGTACCCAGCAATGCCTTCGAAAAGCTTTCAGTTTTGCCGTTGGTTTCCCTTGAAACGAGCCCCGAAAAGGGTACCCACAGGAACAGGCGGACCCACCAGCCGTTTGCCCTCAGGGCACCTCCAGCGTGGAGGGTCGCACCTTTCGGTGCAACACCTACCTGAGCCCTGAGGCGTTGCAGGACGGGAAGATCGCTGATGCAAACTTCTTTTTTTTGTCTGTTTTTTTTTTCTCGATTTGCGTGGTTTTTCGTTGTACGGGCGACCAAAATAAGGCTGAACCGTTTAAAATGACCCTTTTGAGGGCCTCCTGCAATTGAAGAGCGGCTAAATGACCCGGATCCAGAGATATGAGTTTTGGTTGGGGGCAAAGACTGAGGTTAGACCTCCACGGTGTGGCCAACCCTACCCTTTCAGCGTAATCACCCTCTAAGTCCCATTTGGTTTGGTGAATTCCGCGTTGGCATCACCAGCGAAAGGGGTTCCCTCGATCAAGGTCACTAGAAAGGAATACCTTTCCAACAATGGGATTGGACAAGGCGCCAAAGGCAAAGAACATCGTCTTCCGAAGCACTCCTGTCCAGTAGGATGACTGAGAGTACCCGCCCCGCCCAGGATGATGTGGCCAAGCTGGCCGCGCCCTTGGTGCAGCACACCATGGAGGGGGGGCCCCTTGGATTTGTTTATCTGAGTGCTGGCTACGCGAGGGCTTTATGCTTTCGAAATATCTAGCCGGGGGTGTGGATGAGAGTGTATTTTACGTGGGGCGACGAGTGGTGGGTGGGGTGCGGTGCGTGTGATGTTGTGGTTTCTCGTGGTGTGGTGTTGTTTTGTGTTGTTTGTGGTGGTGAGTGGCGTCTTGTGTTGTGTTGCGGTCTTGTCTGCTCTGCTCCAGCAGCGCACCATGAGGAGATAGCATGGTCCGGTCTGTTTGCTTGTCTGGCTGTGTGTCTGTGCGTGTGTTCTGTGAGAGTCTTGCCCAACGTATGTCATCATTCTGTTTTGCAGAGATTATTATTCACCGTTGGACGCCGTAGCCAAATGGATGCTGGTTGTCTTGGTGTTGGTGACACGGCCGGATCAGCGTGCGTGCGTGCGTTGGGTGGGTGCGTGGGTGCGTGGGTGCGTGAATACGTGGGTGCGTGGGTGTGTGGGTGTGTGTGTGTGTGTGTCTCTGTGTGTGTCTCTGTGTGTGTCTCTGTGTGTGTCTCTGTGTGTGTGTGTGTCTCTGTGTGTGTGTGTCTCTGTGTGTGTCTCTGTGTGTGTGTGTCTCTGTGTCTGTGTTTGTGTCTGTGTGTTTGTGTGGGCGTCAGAGTCTTGTTTGTGAACGGTGAAGTTAGTTGTATCCTGTGGCAAACTGTTTCTGCAAGGAACAACAGGCCATACTGAATCTGTTGAACTTCTGAGTCAGACAGTCATGTACGCGTTTAAAGAGATTCACCAGTGAACGGCCGCTTTCAGCTTGTCAGTGTTTCACAATATGTGGGGCGAGTGCTACTTTCTTGGTAGCTACCGGACTCTTCTGGCCGTTTCTAGTCCAAGGTGCCAAATCTCCATCCCCCTGCTTCCCCCCAAAGAAATATCTCAGGGAATTGGCCGAGCTGAGGTTTGGGAGCATTCTTTGCCACGGCATCACCGGCAGTGGCAAGACCTACTGCATGTCCGGCAGCATGGAGGGGAACAATCCCTCCCTGGGTCTGGTTCATGGGGTGGGCCGACGAATCTTCGAGCACATCCGAGATCAGGCGGCTACCGGGAAGGCTCCTTGGTCTTCCAGTGAGAATCTTGGTGCCAGAGGTACCGGGCACCCTACGTACACTTAAAATCACTCAATGGTTCACTTCTGGAAATCTGGAAACTAGTGACATCCTGCACCATCGCCAATTATTGACAGTTTGGGGCTTCGCTTGCACCCTGAGACAACACCATACTGGCTCATGTCTGAGGACTCACTTCTTAGCAGTGCATTAGCCATGTTTGCTTAAGCGAAGTGAATTACACATTGGTTTGGCAATGCCACCCGCAGCTGAGGTTTTCTTGGTGGAAGCTTCATACGCCCAGATCTACTCCCCGGACAGACAAAGTGCCAGCGAGGGTGGGTCAAATGCACGGCTTTGATTTGACCAAGAACGCATGTGCTTTCACGCATGACTTTGTTTCCCATGGGTCTAAGACAATGGCTTCTCATTTACCAAGCGAACTGCGATGTCTGCTGGTGGCTTTTTGCTGGTGTTTGCCATGCCTGTGTTTCTATGGTAATCGGAGGCGGTTCGAACATCCTGTGCTCCAAAGATAGGTGTTTGGCGCAATCTGGCTATAGCGACAGACATACACGTAGAAACATTTTCCAAAAGTTTAGATCCAACACTTAGAAACAAACAAAAACAACGGTAATGCATGTTATACGCTTAGACACGCTGTTCAATCGTGGTGATTCTGATTCATATTCTCAGGGGGTCCAACAGATAGAATCGGCGGCAACACGTACCTGCTACGCGCAGGACGTTTCTAGGCGTTTCTCAAAATGTAGCTGCGTTTTCTAAGTTGGTCATCAGCGTGGCCCCGAGAGAGAGAGAGAGATCAGGGAAACCAACTAGCAGGGATACAGGGATACGGGAGAATTCCCCCTAAATGCACCTTGAAAAAGTTTGATATGGGAAATGGCGCCAAGGGAAATCCCCCCATATCCCCGCTCCCTCCGTATCCCCGCTTGTTCGTTTGTCCAAGAGAGAGAGAAGAGTAGACAAAGGAAGACGAACAAGAACAAAACAACTATATCAATTTGTGTCATCAAATAAACGTCACATAAACATATGGGTGTGGCTCAAAATTCAAGAGCCAGGGATACGCAGGTTTTAGTCTTTGGTTCCGTCTACCAAGGTACCATTTTGGTGCATTTGTTTGAGCCATATCCAAGGAGCGTTGGAGCTTTTCCCTTTCAATTTCCTATTCAAAAATGACTAGGTTTAAGCTTATTCCTCCAATTCTAAAATTGACCAAGTCTTGAACAAGTCTAAGTGTTGAGTTTGTTCCTGAACAGTCCGGAACAGCGAGTAGAAAACAAAAAACACCTTCTGGGGGCATCGCATAGAAACGCCAGCAGAATCTTTTCGCGAACAAATAGTCCAACAACAAAGTTGAGCAGCGCCCTGCAGTACCTTTGCTGAGAAGCAATTGAGGAAGCCCAACACACATCAAACATATCGTGAGCTCTCACCATCACCGTCTTTTGTAAATGACTGCGTTCGCAGACCATTTGGCGGAACTTTGTCATTGACTTTTTTGGTGAGAGTCGCGCTGAAGAGCCATATCGACGCTGCACAATAATTGCAGGGATGTATCACATCCAAGCAGCGTTGTGCTTATGTGTTGCGTTTGACAATGCCAATTAACGTTTGGTGTAGAGTAATTGAGTTGTAACAAGAGGCACACGTGCTCATGAGCTGCTGCTGGCTATGTCCGCCCACTGGTATGACCGTGTTATTGCAATTGGTTGGGTAATTCGTGCCCCAGAATGCTTGATTACACAGCGCGCCGTGTTCTACATGTGGCGCTAAGTTGCAAGTGTCTATCCTTACTGTACCTGAGTGTCAACAAATCGCCTAGCGAAGACATCAGGAGATTGTACAGTGGCCAACGTAGAATCCACGAAACCATGCCCAAGCTGTACAACAGAACTTGATGGTGGGATCTCTTCAGGTGGAAATGTGGCCGCATGTTTTGCTGGTTTAAGGCGTAAGGTTAATGCATTCTGGTTTCGTGGAAGAGAAAACCTGGACTTCAAACATGTTTAGAAGACATTTTTAGTGGTAAACATAATGCTTGGAATCTTTTTTGGGCTATCCACTTAGGAAGTGAGAACAAGTCTTTCCACAGGATGGCACGTCTGAGAAGATCATGGACTTGCTGGCGGATGCCGAAGATCTGGAGGTGAAGCCAGATCCCCGAAACCCTCAGTCCTACGTGTGCGCAGGCCTGCAGCGGGTTCCGATCAGTGGCTTGGCAGGCTATTTGGCCGTGGGTCAAAACCGATGGTACCATTTTGGGGTAGGTGCACCACCCATTTTAGTCTATAGTGGGGATTGGGATGTTCGCTGGGGGTACGGGGTTTTGACCCATGGCCAATTTGTGCCGGCGGAAGATATGGCCTTTTGCCCCTTTGGATGAGTTGTGGTTTGCCATTCGGAGCGAGAGGTTTTACATTGGGTTGACCCATTCGGCAATGCCCAATCCTTGGGTAGGGTGAGATTCGTTCAAGGGAAGCGGCTATGCACCGGATTCAGAGGGCAATTTTGCGGAACTTCGACTTTGCTGGACCCAGATGTGGTGAGCCGCCCAACGAACAACTCAAGTTCCTTTGCTCGGGGCTTCCCTGCGAAACTCCGAACACGGATCCCTGTAAGGAGGACAAAGGACCCAGCCAGAAACGATGTTTGTCCTCGCTTCTCCGAGGATCACACCATCTTTTTCTTTTTGACCTGTTTTCACCGAGGACGGCTTGTTTTTTTTTTTCCCCGCCCCAAAAAGAAAAACACAGGATCCCACAGCCTGTTGAGCCCTGTGACTCATCCGCAAAAGTCCCCGCCTGTTCCCGGCTGAGGATCCTTGGACGACATGCAGCAGCTGGTCTCCAAGGGCCGGCAGCGCTGCAGCGCCAAGGAGGCCGCCGGAGTGGAGGCCTCCAGGCCCGGAGTCGTGCGAAGCGCGAAAGCCATGCCCCGATTGGCAGCGCGCAAGTGAAGAGAGGCGAAGGGCCAAATAAGGCACACGGTGAATGACGCCAAATCGGAGGGTTGCCTTGGTTTCCTTGCAATATTGAGTTGGCATCCTCTCTGCAAAAATCTTTGGGGGAAGGCAAAAAGGTACAATTCCCTTCAGGTAAAGAGGACTTAACCAACATGGCAAGTGCCCTGTTTGGGGCTTTCAAGGCAAGCAAGGAAGCCGGCCTGGAGGATGGGGACTTCCACATCCTTTGAGTCAAACCCAAGGGTAAAATAAGGTGAATGACGTTGTAGGGTACGATTAAAGCAAATTTCCTCATGCATGATGGTAATTACTCTGCCCAAGTATTAGGTGGACAGCTCGCATCTCTGAGGTTTTAGGGGGGTTCTGGTCCTTTGTTGTTTGTCTCTTGTTGTTTCTTTGCCGTTCTGGTTCCACCTAGCTAAATTACACCTCATTCGGGCCGCAAAGCCAGGGTGAATGACGGTAAATCAGAGGGTTTCCTTGGGAAGCTAGATGGCACAATTCCCTGTGAAGAGGAGGACATAATCAAAATGGAGGAAGTGTGCCATCTACTTCAAACTGTAAGTGGGTGTTTCTGTGTTTTTTCTACCGTAGCCTGTTTGCGGCTATTTGTATCTGACTATTTGTTGAGCTAGCGAACAATTTGTTTTGTCAGGCTGTCTCGGTCAAGCTGACTATCTGTTGAGCTATCTATTTGTCAGGCTAGCTACATGTCGAGGTCTCTGCCTGAAGCTACTTGTGTGTCCAGCTATTTGTTCGTCGGGCCAGCTATCTGTCCAGCTATCCCATCTGTCAAGCTACCAGCTATCTATCAAGCTACATGTCTGCTTAGTTGTTGGGGTATCCATTTGTCGGACCATCTTTCTGTCAAGCAGTCTGCCTGTGGAGCTATGTATGCATCTGCCAAGCTATTGATCTGTTGGGGCTGTATCCACCTGCCACGCAAACTCATGATGATCCCGTCGAGTCAACTTTGTCGAGGTTTGTTGGAACCCTCCAAGTGCACATTTCTACAAACACAAGCCCTATGCGAGGAACCTGTATCATCTCTGCTTTGACTCAAACAAGTTGTTCCCCTACGATCTGTTCCCCAAGCAAATTTTGAGGATTGAGGGTTTCGCGGTCTTTTAGAAGGGGTTTCGCACAGACCTTGAGCCGTGCGGAGGTCCCACTGCATCCTCACCTTGTCAGTGGAGAGCCTCCTGGAGCAGCGGCTGGGCTGAGTGGATATGGTTTTCAACCCTCGAGTTGTCTTTGGTGCATTTTGCTTGGATGTTAGGACTTTAACTTTTTGCCAACTAATGGGTTTTCCATTCAACCACTAAAAGTTAAACTTGAAGCAGGGGAGCAGAAAGCAACCGAGTGGCTTTCCCTTGGCGGTTTCGGGGCCCGCGCAAATGGAGACAAAGAGAAATGGTTGGCGCCACTGAGCTGGGAGGTCGGCGCAGGGAAAGAGTCGTCTCATTTTTGGGGGCTGCACGTGGCTTCTCTGAGGAACAAAAAGCTTGCCAGGATTGGCCAGAAGCTGGGACTGATGGTCTGACATGTTTGCATGTCTCCGCCCCAAGACCGGCTTTCCTTTGGTTTCTATTGAATTCCCTGTTCAAAGAACACCACAAAGGTGCCTCCGGAAGTGACACCCAGGTTCGGATATAATAATATCCTTTAGTCTACGGTTCGTTTGGGATGACATGCGGGGACTGCGCGGAAATTCAGCCAGAGGACTCACAAATTGTCCCATGTCTTTTTCAGCAACCGGTACTATTCTGACCGTCGGATACATATACACATGTCTGAGTATTTGGGCAGTGTATACCGATGCTCATCTGGAGGGTAAGGCGAGCTCACCCATGTTGCTGCTAAGCTGCCCGCTGGTGAATGATGTTATACCTTGCCCAGGTTTGACTGCATGTTGCACCGCTCTTGCACCACACGAAGAAGCCAAGAAGAAGAAGAAGAAGAAGAAAAATAAGAAAGAAGAAGAAAGAAGAAGAAAGATAACAATAATAAGGATACATTACATGTTATAATATATGATGTATATATAACATGATACGTATGTGTATATATATATATATATACACACATACGTATATTTCCCTTTGCAATCCCCGGGTGCCCCTCGTATTTTCCCCCGGCGAGGTCATCGGCGCCGGAGGTGGCCAGGGGCAAGCTGGTGCTGGTGGACCTCGCGGGCTCCGAGGCCATGCTGAAGGCCCCTTCCGCGCCTCGGAGCAAAATCGATAAGAGGAGATCCGATCTGTAAGATGGCGAGCTCGCCCGCTTTTTTTTCCTTTGTTTTTCTCCCTTTGTTTTTCTCCCCTTTTTTTTCCCGAGCTCACCGTGGCAATGATCCTTCAGTTGGGGATCCGATTCTTATTTCAGGTTTTTGGAAGTATAGTAAAATTCGAAGATCCGATGGGGGAGGTGCGCGTTTGGAGCTTGGGAGATAAAGTTTGGGGGGGGGGCTTGTTGTAGGTGAGTGTTTTTTTTGATATACACGGGCGTGGATTGGCCTTATTGCATTTACCAGGGCTATGTCTTTTCCAACAGGTCGTCTATGGTCATGGCATGTTCTGTTTGAACGGTGCCCTTAGATCTCAAGTGAGGCCACAAGGGAATCAGCCATTTTGGGTGCCATATGATCCCAGAGTGCGAGCGGAATCCGATGCACCAGTCGAGACGCATGAAGGATATTTCGCGAGTCTTCGCTTAACCTTCATAGGCTGGCTACGCCAAATGGTTTTGGAGGGAACCAAGTTTTGGAACAATGGAGACTCCAGGAATTCGGACACGATTTCTCGAATCCTGAATGGGTATACCTGGATGCTGATTTTGTTTGCTTCTGCCAGGGGCCCAAATCAATGCACCAGTGTGGGGGGATGGTTTTGCCAAACAAGTGGGACAGCAATAGGCTCGTTTAGCCCCAAAATGGACAAGAACCGCTCAGACATGCCATTTATCTTCCCAACTGGTGAAACAAAACCAGCTTTGCAAGCCATAGTATTTGGCTTGCTGAAAAGGGCACTGCGAGAACCTGAATGATTTTACCTTTGCCAGGCAGTCAGTTGTTGAGATCCCGAGGCGCCCAACCGCATCTTATTTTTCCCCAGTTGTCAAAATCCCGTACCCCAGTGAACATCCCAATCCCCACTGAAATAGGTTCTAAAATGGGTGGTGCACCTACCCAAAATGGTACCAAAACGGTTTTGACCCACAGCCAGTTGAACAAATCAGCTCGAGCGCCCAAGGACGTGGCTCGCAGGCAGGCGCTGAGCATCAACCGCACGCTGGCCTCTTTGAGTTTGGCGCCTTGGTCGGTGAGGAGAGGCGGCGAGAGGTCAGCACCCTGAATGGTTTCCGCGGTTTTCTCAGTGTTTTTTCATGGGTTTCATGGGTTTTTGACGGGTTTTTCATAACCTTCCAAAGATGGGAGCCTGGAGTTCAAGTGGATACGTTTGACCTCCGTGACACCTGAAGCTTGCGACAAGCGCCGACGTAGAGCTTCCCTCTAGGGGTTGATTCCTTTTCCTTTTCCACCATCGATCTTTTCAAAAACCGGCTGTTTCCTCTGGTTTTTGATGGTTTCCTGAGAAGATTCGGATCCCTGGCAAGAATGGAAATGAAAGGTACCCCTCGAATCCCACGTCCTTCGCTCGCAGGCCTTTTTTCCCCACCCGACCCGCGAGACCGCGCGCGACCCGCGGTGCTGGCTCCGAGGCAGTGAACAGCAGCTCGCCTTCGCAGGTGAAGGGGTCCTCACTCACGCAGCTGCTGCGGGACTGCATCTCGAATGGCTAAACCACCTGGGCAGCGGGGTGGTTTGCGCATGTTTTTTTTCCGGGCCCCCCCTTTCTTTGGTGCATTTTGCTTGGATGTTAGGACGTTAACTTTTTGCAAACTAACGGGTTTTCCATTAAACCGCTAAAAGTTGAACTCTTAGCAAAGCAACCAAGATTCCACACCAGCATTCCTGGTGTTCAGTGGGTTTCACGCATTCCTGGTTTCGACCCACGAAACATGGAATTTAGCCCAAGTGTTCCAATTATCTTTGTACCGGGTCATTGGGAGAAGCAGCAGGAGAAGGACAAGAGGGGGAAGCACGTCTGGGGGGGGGGGAATGTCCTGGACATCAAGAGGACCGGGAGGTGTTGCCTCTGAGGTATTCTCCAATGGCCAGTGAATAAAACGGGATCTTTGGTTACGCTGCCTCCGGCACGCTTTCGGACTGCCTAGCTGGGCACATTCGGCATGGGCCCTTTGCTGCATTTGTTTGGGGTGGGTTCTCTTCCGTATCTTACTAACAAAACATGGTGTCAGTCTTTCTTATGACCACTGGACAAAAGTTCGCTTCAGAGGGTTCTGGAACACTTGGGAAGGTCTTTTGGGCAGCTGGTACCTTTCTTTGTGGTAGTTTTGGAGGGAAACCAAGGGGATGCCAATCCCCATTTGGGAGGGGGGTCCGTATCCCATTTTGAGATCAGATTGTAGCAAGGATTCTGAGGCCTACAGAAGCCTCCAGAACCATTGTGGACCCAACAGTCCATGGAGTTTGGGCACCGCTTCTACTTTTGCATCTCAGGCATGGGTGGCAGTGCGCGAACCCTGGTCATCGCCACCATCGGCCCGGAGTTGGATGACCTGGAAGAGACGGCGCCCTTGGCTTTTGATTCGATCTTTTGAGGTTGGTCAATTTTTGATCGACGCAACATACCAAGCGCTGAACCTTGAAATTCAGCGTTTTTTCCATGGTCTTTCGTGGTGGCTGGAGGCAAGCAACGACTCAAGCCTGCAAACATCCTTGGGTTTTGAGCCAGAATGGACGTGGATGTGCCTGAAACTCGGGGATTTCCGGCTTGGTTACTTCTGAAAGGAGGCCCACCATTTTGAGACAGACCCATGGTGTTTCCTGCATGGCCAGTGGGTGATTTACGGGTAGCAACTAAATGTTACAAGGGCTTGTTTGTGGTATAACTTTGAGCTAATTACCGTTCTTGGCTGGCCTTGAATCCTGGAGTAGGATAAGAACCTGCTTGAGGGTGGCACTTCCAGCAAGACCCGAGAAGACACATGACTGAACTGCAGATGAGTGAGTTGGACATGTGAGATCGTTTCTTGATTCTGCCGTGCCAAGTTGCTTCCAGAACCCTGGTGACTTTTTCCAAGGTGCTCAACATGTAGCCCTCATGGGTATGGACTTATTTGTTTGCCTTTTGACTAATTAACAGTTATTCCTACTTTCTTCCCTCAAACTCTACTGGTAACCTCTTCCAAACATCATGGAAGCTGGCAGCGGTGTTCGGAAGATGACTTTCCTCTTGGGGAATCCCCTGACCATTTTGGGAAGACTACTTTTTGGGAATCCCCCGGCTCGGAAGACTACTTTTTGGGAATGGGGGATACCAAAGCGCTTGCGGGAAAGGCCAAGACCCTGACCTACGCGCAGCAGATGATGACGAGCCTCACGGCGCGAGCTTCGGGCGCCGGCCTGCACCGACGCCGGACCGAAGAAAGAACGGGACATGCGAAGGGCCCAAAGGGATGGAAATCTGCAAACCGCGTTTGGAGGATCCGCATGAAACCACTCGGTTTGCTGGGCCTTGTGGGTGCTTTTCCAGTGCTTTCTGAGACTGACCAATCCAAGGGCCATTGAGTGTGTCCTGTGATGCAGTCAGAATTCCCTAAGAAGTTGGGTGTTGCTTGAAAACAACAAGATGGCCAGCCCAAATAGCAAGATCAGAATGAGGTGGTGTTGCAGAAAACCGCGCAACACAAAACAAAACAACGAGTAAGGCGTCATTGAGAGATTTCATGGCAAGGGGCGCACCGAAACACAAAAGCAAAGAAGAGTCCAAATTACGCCCATAACGCGTATCATGGCTTTGCCGTGTGAGCCTTTTGCCGTTTTTCCAGTTCTTTATCCCCTACTCTAAGGGTTGAAAGCATGGCAGGTGAGGACGAAGTAGAAAACCTACCCTGCTCAGCACGCATGCTTTTGCATCTCCTGCTTGACTGTTGAAGAGGTAAACGGCACGCGGCTTTTGTCTTGAAGCTGCTTTTGTCTGCAAGGGATGGCCGCCCCTTGATTGAGGTCACCGTGCCGTGTTTAAATCAGAACCAAACACGAGATGAAGCCATTTGACAGTGCGGTGGCATATCATTTAGTTTATGCTTTTTGTGTGCAGCTTGGATGCACAGGCCCGGCCAATGGAATATGCATATACGGTGGCTGGCACGTCAAGCTGAGTCCTCCTCAATCGACACGGCACTTTGACCTGTTTTTTTCAGCGTCTCCTTACTCATTGAGAAAGAGGACTAGGCTATCCTTACGACTGTTCTTGTAAAGTAGTGCTGAGTTGTGCCATTGTGTGGCCCTGCAAAACTGTGTCGCAATCTGCACGGCTTGGAGATTTCCCTCTTTTATTCGTGCTTAATCATTACGCGACCGGCGACGTTTGCATGTCAAAGCCGGGGAACCCCTAAGAGTGGGTCGTGTCCAAATAGCAGGGCTTCTGGCGTTCCAGGGCATTTTTTGCCTGTGAAACTGAAAGCTGGTGGGTCAACTTGTCCCACCATATTTCCCCTGCGGGGGTGAACCCGAGGCATCGATCAGGAACAGAGTGCCTTGATGCAGATGAAGGACCGGCACAACGAGTGCATCCGCATGCTCAGGGAGAAGGCGCGAGCGAGCCTTTGCGCGCGTCGTTTGGGGCGTTGCAGTCTCAACTTTGCTACCTTGGATTGACTCACTTCCAAAGAGCCTGGACGTTCACCTTCGGGACCATGTTAGGGGCAAAATAAACAGTTTGGACTTTGTGTGGGCAAATCCTATCAGCGAGTTGAAGCAGTTTGCTAATGAGTTGCTTTGGCTTGGTCCAGGGTCACGTGAAAAAGCATCCTTTTTGCTATGGTTGTCACCCAACTTGCAGCCGAATGGGAAACGGTGTCCTCTTGGAAGAGTGTTTTGTCCATGGCCGATATGCCAAGGTTTCCAATAGGTCAACTTATCGGGCTATGTTTAGCATGCCCCGAGTCCTGCGTGTTGTTCCGAAGGTAGGCGATATTGTCAGCAATGGGATCTGGTCTCAGGAGAGTTGTAGCGAGGGTTTTGGAGCACCTTGCACCGATTATTGTAGATGGATGTCGGGCGCTGCTCGCAAAACAAATGTTACTCGCTTCATGCAAACGAAGGCGAGGGGCGACGACCGGCCGTGAGGTGAGCGACTCCAGAGAAGAAGAGCAGGAGGAGCGCAGAAGGCGGGCCAAAGAGACACTGGGCAGCCGTGATTGTGCCAAAGACATAGCTCGTTTTAAGGTGTGGCTAGGGCTTTTGGCAACTTGCACTGGCCTCTCCATGGACGAAGTGATCTCAGCTAGGCGGAATCGGACTCACGCCGACGACGCTTGGGGAGGCTCGGTCAAGTCAATTGTTCAAATGTCAAGTACAAGTGCTTGCCCTGATGTGTTGACAAAATGGCTCGGGATGCACTTATACATATATATATATATATACTTTATCAGGTCAGAGAGAGGGTATCATCAAGTCTGAGCATCAAACGATAATGGTCCATGAGGGCGTCGTGTTTGTGACGATTGGTGTCTCCATGGATGTAGAAATGTAGATCGTGCGTATGTGCTGAGTTTGAAATGTAGATCATGCACGGAGAAACTTGGAAGCTGATCAAAATGTCAATACGGGCTTGGAGGGACTGCGTTGCAAGTCGCCTCCAGATGGCCAAGATCTATGCGTGCTGCGTGTGTAGTTCTGAATTTATCGTATGGCTTACAATGCCCTGAAAAGTGACATGGAGTCATATGAAGCCCCAAACAGAGTCTCCCAAACTCATGATCATATTCATATACAAATGCATACATGCTTTGGATTGCTTTGGGATCCATGATCTTCAAAGTCTCCACTTAATTGGCCTTCCCTTCCTCCTGACTAGGCTCCAGCAAGAGATGTCCGAGATCAACAACAGACTGCTGACAAAGGATTCTGCTGAGAAGACCCTGGAGGAAGCAGCATGTGGTAAGATGAAGGATGATTTATGAGGCAGCCCCATGCAGACTACGCATGTGTGATGGCCAGTCTGTGTTTGTACCCTGAGTTACAAAGGGAGCACAGACGTGTGGAGAGCAACTCCAAGTTAATTAACACGCATCAGGCTTGTTGTTTGTGTGCGCGAGCCACAGTAGATTGTTGCACCAGGGCTGTGAATGTATCGCCAAGCATTTGTCCCGCGGTGTGATGTTCCTGCAGGAGTTGAGGCAGCAGCAGTTCAGCAAGATGGATGAGATGAGCTTCTTGTCTGCTTACGGACCTAGGGCTGGAAGTGACCACATGGTTGGCCAATATGGACCCCTCTCTTGAGATGACGACAAGATGTCGGATGAGTTTGAAAGGATTTTAATGCTGGCAGGATTGTGCAAGAAAAAGGGACGGTCGGCTATGTTGTCGGCCAGTGGGGGGCAGAAACATGGCGAGCTGTCAGTTGCAAGGTTAGTTGTGGGCTACATGTCTTAGAAATTGCTGCAAAGCTGCGTAGTTGTTACATGCAAGCGACTACAATGCATGGCCATGATTCTCGCTGGAGTGCTTCGGCAAAGCCTGGAAAGAAGCGTAAAGCAAGTCTGAAGGCAGCTCGGGTGTTGTAAGCTAAAGGCCAGGGTGCTGTATTTCCTATTTGGACGGAACAGGCGAAGCAGTTGAATGCCCGACCCCTGAAAGCACTCTCCCCTGAAACAAATTTGGCAGGATCCGTACAGAAAGTTGCCCAAGACGAATTGGAGGCAGAACTGGACCTTGGTCTGCTTCAATCTTTGATGCTCTTCAGTTTTCTTTGTCTTGTTCTAGTCTTGGCGTAGTATTGGTTTGGTATTGATTAATGATCGCGCCGGCTCCTAGATTTCGTTGGGGTGAGTACTTGAGACTGACCACTTCCGGACATTTGGGTTTACATCTATGCTCGGCAGGCTCTGCAAGTGAAAGCTGAGCTGAGGAACCGAGATTTCTCAGGCCATGAGCGAGCAGATGGACCAGCTCAGAAAGCAATCGCAGTGCCATTGCCGGCATTTGGGTGGTTTTTTCGTGTTTGCAGATGTCAGAAATGACAGGCTGGTTACCTTTGGTTAAAGCAAGATGTATCTTGACTGAGTCATGAGTTGCATGCCCAAACTTAAATGCGATGCTTGCTTGAGGTTTCACCTTCGCTGGCGGTATTTTGCCGAAGGCCCCCCCCCGGTGTGAGGTTTCCCGATTGTTAGGCTCGTGTTGCGTTGTAAGAGCTGCAAGAGGACCTATCTGATATGTCCAGCGTTTTGAAGGAACTGATGTTCGGTATGGACGCAGTGCTACAGCTGTTTATGACCAAACAACTGCCAAGCTGTCCACGGCTAAGACGTGCAATTGTTGCGATTGGCAAGATCGATTCATCAACTTGGCGCCACGCGTCTCGATGATCCAAAGACGTTTTAGTTATAATTGGAAAGGAAACATTTGAGCAACATCATGCACTTGTTGCGTGGAGCAAGCACTCGCATGTTGCAGACATTTGTGCTGGTGTACGTTGAGCTGCAACCACCGTTTGGCAGCTCTCACGTCTTTATCCAGATTTCCCACCTTGAGATTGTTGATTGCTAGGGTTGACCTCGAAGCTTCTGGCCTGTTTCTATATGACCATTTCCACACTGACCAGCAAACATTCGATTCTTTGCACGGGGTCAAAGGCCTCAGCATATGTGCTACCAGCTGACTGCTTCGAGTCTTGATGAAATCGCAAAGAAATCACAGCCTATCTCTATCCAGGGGTGATGGGAATGAGCTTGAATCTCACTCAAAGATCGACTCCAACACGGGGAAACCCCATGTTCCTACTCGGGGCACCGGTTTCTGAGGCTGGAGCTGGATCAGCTGAAGGCCTCGGTGGAGAAGTCTCAGCAGGAGCAGGAGAGAGTGCAGCTTGGATTTGGACTGGTCGGTGGGTTGCCTGTCTGACAAAGGCGCGCTGGCCGTGGAACAAGGGCAGTGGACTGGTGGGTCGTTTGCCTGTGACAAAGGAGCGCTTTGTCGTGGAACAAGGGAACTGCAGCTCAGGAGGATTTTTGGAACACTTGGAGTGGGAGAGGAAGAAACGCCGGGGTGACAGGCAGGAGTTGCCGTTGTTTGACGCAACAAGCACATGAATAAACAGGGTAAACCATGAATCCTGTCATGTCGATCAAAGTGTGTTTGCAGGAGTGCCACAATCCTTTTGGCTCCATCGTGTGGGGTTTACATGTTGAATTTTGGAAGCTAGGCACGTAGAGTCGCTATGCTTTGTATCTATTTGCATCTGGTTTGCACCGAGCAGTTTCCCTGCGTGAGTTGGAGGTGTCGGGCAATTACGAGGCCAGGAGCGGCGTTAGGATTCTCCCCTGATAGAACGTTCAACTGGCTGTGGGTCAAAACCAATGGTATCATTTTGGGGTAGGTGCACCACCCATTTTAGTCTATTTTAGTTGGGATTGGGATGTTCACTGGGGGTACGATTTGGCTTTTGACCCATGGCCAACTCCCGCAGCGGGTCCGCCTGCTGACAGCCTAGGAAGCGCGAGGCGGAGGCTGGGCTTCAGCATCCGTTGAACGAGATGGGTTTGAGTACTGGCATTGGTCGTGAGTCAAGCAGCTGCACCTTTTCAAAGGACATTGCAGCAGTCTACTACTGATTTGGGGGGTAGCATGTTTGATCATATGGAGAAGCATGAGGCAATGGCAATTGTTCTGTGCAGGGTGCAACGCGGGAGGCATGCGAGGCATGCACACTTAATGCATGCTCACATGTGCTGAAAGCTCATATCTTCGATTGTTCTGCCACCATGCAGGGGAACCTCAAGCGGAAAACAGTCATCAGTTGGGGATTATCCAGCAACTGCAGCTTTTGGATGGAGTAGCCCTGGCGTTTGGTTCAACTACGCTTCAAGCTTGCAGAGATGCGCATTGAACGTTTATGCTGAGGGTTTCAGAGTTGTTTGTCGACAACCACGCACGGAAACTTGCAGTTGGGTCGGAATAGGGTGAAATCCATGGCGGCCGCCAGAACAATATCGCATTGTGTAGTAGGTTGTATTTTTTGTTTTTTTCCACTTGCAGAGCATTCAAGCGTACGCTGAAGTGTCCTACCAGCGACACGTAGATTCGCAGGCGAGGGTCAGAGATTTGTGGATGCCAGCATTTTGATGCGTGGTGAAGCTATGCACGCTACAACCACGTAGTTTGATTACCTTGACTGCACATTTGCACATCTTGTTTGCATGCTTGCTTGTGTCCCCCCCCCCTCTCAGACCTGAGATGACCACGGGCCATAGTGAAGGTGAATACATTATAGGCGGGGTATATCTCCACTTACATCCATGTGACTCCAGATGTCTTCATTTATTTCGCCAAGCTCCAGTTGCTTTCATAAACTCGAGGGCTGTCGTTTGAGTTGGCAAACCTGACACCTCCAGAAAGCGTTTGTTTGTCGTTCAATCAGCCTTCCAAGTCCAGAAGTTTGAAATTGAAATTTGTTTGTCCCCTTGGCAAAATCAAGGGTCACCCAGCAGTGTATGAATCATATGAACGAGGGGTGCAAAAGGTATGGGGATTTCTCAACATAGTGGCCCCCGCAAATGGCAAGCTTCCTGTTGCTTTCCCTCAACCAAAGAAGGATTTCCGGTATTAAATCAAAGTCTTGAATCAACAGCTAAAAATGTTTGCTTGAACACACTGTGCTGTGAGCTAAAACTAAAGATGTGGTACCGGGGACAGGGTGGCCAAGAGGAGCCCTGAGGTGCATGAGGCCGCGGTGGCAAAGCTGCAGGTGGGGCTGTGGCCATGCGTTGGTTGCTGTCAGGATGTTGTCCCGTGGATGGACGAAATCCATTTCGCACCACCTAAGAAACCATGAAACCACTGATTGTTGGTATTCACAGGGAATCAGACCATTCCAGGGCTTCTTAGGTGGTGCGAAATGGATTTCGTCCATCCACAGTATGACAACCTTATTGGAACGGAGGGGGACCCTAAGTGCGGTTCCTCTTGAAGGTATGCCGATCTTGCCCAACAAGTGCAACTTTGGTTGCAGCTGATATTGTTGCCAATGACAGACGGTGGTTCGGATGCAGTGTGTCCGGCCTACTTCAATTCTAGGTGGAAGACTAGTAGGGCTAAGTATGTCTGATTCTTCAAGTATTGCTTTTCGCAGTTGATTGTCAACAACAAATTAAGTATCCTTGTACTCAGGGAGACAATGTACTATGCATTGCTTGGGACCATCCAACAGCGATTCCTCCAAAGAGCATGTGTCGCTTCCCACCTCAGTTGAGTCCCAGACATCGCATGGGTCGTCTGCATATACTCTACGCCATTCTGCAAGTTCGCCGAACACCGTTCTTGACTTGGCTTAGGTCTGCAAAGGCTAGGATGATGTGATGGAGTTCTCAAGTTAGCCTTGTGTTTTCTTGATGGTGCCGTCTCACTTGACTTTCACTCTTTGACATCCATTTGTTGCCTGCATCACTGCTTCTCATAGTCAGAGCTACTCAAAATCCGCGGCAACACTGCGTGTTCGCTTTTGATTTCACAGGCGCGTGGGCCTGTTGCATCAAATCATTTGGTTGCCGATAGTATGATGGTTGCAACTGTGCTCTATTTGACATCCGGGTCCTTGCGCCAGGTATCCTAGGCATGTGTGAACACGTGGATTCGACCGGCTTCAGCTTCGGTTTGATTCAACAGCGGAATGCACCGATGTTTGCAAAAGGCCACCCAAGCCTGCACCGGTTTCCCCCCAGCCACGCGCTAAATCTATCAAGTGTGTTGCAAAGCACAGCCGCTTGAACCCTTCTCACTGAGGAACATTTGCCAACCCCGGAAGGACCCCAAAAACAGCAGTAGGGAAACCTTGGTTCATTCGGCCACCATTCTCAGTTACTGAGAAGGGCCAGTTGCGACAGCTTCACATGGCAGGTAACCCTGCAGGACGCTCAGCAGGCCAAGGCAGTCGCCGAGCAAGAGGCCAGCTCCCGGTGTGGGGAAGAACACACGGCAGCGCTTGCTATGGGCCGGAAAAAGGTGGCGTCACTTTTGGGGCGGAGTCTTTTTGCAGGGCCATGCGGTGGGGTGAATGCCTGGAAAGGTCAAACTCGGAAGGTCATAGACCACTTCTTGGGAATTTCAATTATGAAGGATTCCTATTCAGGCAACAAGGAGTTTTGGCCATGGCGCGAACGAATCTCTCATCGGAGATGCCCACCTGGGAGGGCCATACGGCCCTGTTATGTCAACCAATGTCTACATTGTATGTGGGACCTCAAAGCTGGTGCTTATAAGGAGCGGATGTGAATAAAGAAGCTGGAGTTCTTTGGGCCGAGAAGTGGCTTTTCTTTGCAATTCCGTGGGACGAGCCCCATAAATCTTTGGAGCTAGCGCAATGATGCAGAGTTTGAACAAACTTCTGAACTTGTGAGGATTGGGCGTCGGCGATATCCCAATCGACCCAAGGCTTGGCGGGATCATGACTTATGGCATACTCATTTCGGAGTACAATCACGGGACCCTACAGGTGTGGCTGCTGATCCTGCCGAAGCCCGTTGCAGTTTTTGCGGAGTAGGAACTCGTGGCAAGGTCAGCTGCTCTTTGGCCCCATTGCATATTGAGAGGCACCCACTCAAATGGGGAATCTGGAAAGGTGCTGGCTTGGAGAAACTTCATGCGAGTTTGAATATGGCTGGGAGGGTAGGCAACCGGTTTTCTCAGGCAAATCTTTTCCGTGTGCCGAAGATCGTGGCTACCCCGATCCGGTTGCCTGGTGAACGACCAGGCGGCGGCGCTGAAAGTGAACCTCGCCACAGCGGAGGAGCGCGCCAAGGGCCTGCAGTGCCGGCAGGAGGACGGAGACCGGGGGTATGTCCGTGGAAGTTTCTTGGATATGTTGGACTTGCAGATGGTGAGGGGGCCGGGGGGTCTATGTGCTGGAGGTTTCTTAAAATGTTGGACCCCCTTTTGGTTGGCATTTAGGAAAGTTAGGACTTAGGACACGAACAGGAGAGCAACCATTTTCGGGGACCGCTGCTTTGACAAACACCATGTTGCTTTTTGGTGATTTGAAACATCACCATTTGGGGCCTTGTTGCTTGGGTTTCGTTGTGGTGGGTAATGTTTAAAGGCGGCATTTTTGGCAGCCGAAAGAGAGTGGTGAAGTCCCCCATAGAACGCTGTTTAGAGTTGCTCGGCTTGCCAGAGTTGCGGAATAATCCACAACGACCGGGTTCCAAAAGAATTCTTGCGAAAAACGATCCCTGGGCAGGCTAGCGAGTGAATCCAGTTTGTTTGATGTATGCCGCTTCAATGCTGCTGCCTCTTGCACAAATGAGTATGCGGTGTAGCTTTTCACAACTGAGCGAGCGAGTTTTGAACAAGTGTTGCGTTTGACTCCAGAACGAGCATCGAGTCTCCAGTACCCTTTGAACATTGATCATGGCCCCAAAATCAGCAAATGGCGAACAGGAACGCCTTGCCACTCGTGTGTGTGTGTGTGTTGTGATATGATTATGGGGGCTTTGTTGCTGAGTGATTTTTCTGTGAATTTTAGGTGTTCTGAAATCTGGGAAGGATTTCGCGATGTCATTTAGCAGTGTATGTTTGCAGTAATTGCGTCAAAAGTTAGGCAGGGCTGTAAAGAAATTATTTTTGCTAGCCATGGCGAAGTCTTCTGGCAAGTTGCAGCACGCCGCCGACCAAAATAGAGGGTCGGTGGCCAGCAGGTCGGCAAAGTCTGCCAATGCAAAGGTTGGCGGCGGAGTTTGTGGATTCCTATTCGGCTGCGGCGGTGGATTTCTGGTTTGGGGCCGGCGACAGGTCCGGCGAAGAATGCGGCGAAAAACCGGCAAAGTTTTGTATTGATTTGAAATTCCACAGGCTCTCCACCGCAAACTTCACCGTGCTTCGTCACCCCGCTCACGTAAAGCCTGGCGCAGTTTTCCACCGCCGCAGATTCCTCCGCCAGACACCTCGCGATCGAAAATCCTCAACTTTCTGCGCTCAGGCTTACACAATCTAAGCTTCTTGCGGAAAGACCAGAGACAAGGGAGTCCAGCAGAAGGCCTTTGCCCAAATCTGCGCGCTGGCAGCACGTTTGCGCTGCAGCGCGGTAAGTTTGCATGATCACCTTTGCGGTGGCAGCCTTACTCATGATTACAGCATGCAAAGGGGAACTTGGAATGCAATATGATTGCAACACGCAAAGGGGAGCTTGGAATGCGGGCCTGCGTTGGGCGAATGCAAATTTGTCATGTCTGGCTGCGGGGCTTCGATTCGAGTCGACGGCTTGGTTTCCCAACATCGTCTCGAAAACTCCACCCGCAAACTGCGCTACACAAGTCTGGGGGTGGTCAGTCACAAATATGAGTTCGGCTCAACATGAGAGGATCTTTCAGAGGCTTGTAAACCCAACGGGTCCCCCCCCCAAAAAAAACAGAATCATAACGACAACAAATCCAAATATGTTGAAAAGGGCATCAAACATTGAGTGGCAATGTTCATGGCAGCACTGCGGGCCTCGGTCAATACATGCATTGCTGTTGGGCACCAATCCCAAGGGCTAGGCGTTGCCTCCCTGTGAACCGTGGTTTTTCCATTTCTCTCTGACGCGATTCTCCTTGAGCTGAGCAGGAACCTTCAGTAGACCAGCTGCATTGCTTATGTTTCGGTGCCAAGACCAGGTATTCAGTAGTTTTGCCCTGGCAATATGAGCAAGATGTGTACTCCGGCAAGCCTTTACGAGACCAAGAAAACCTAGATTGAAGATAGATGGTTCCTTTTTGTGAGCAACCCTTGATCCACAAGATGCGATGTTGAGCTTCCCTCCAGCTCCCAAGTCCTTGCTTCGATGCCTCCCGGCGAAACCGGAGGAGCTGTCGAAAGAGCGAGCTGAGTTCAATGAGGAGCGGAAGACGCTGAGGCCCGAACAGCAGCACGAACACCGGGGGTCCAAAACCCGATGCCCCGGGGACAGAAAGGGGTCAACCTACGTCCTCACAACACAAGACCCTTGAGGGAAAGCAGTGTTCTCCTGTCTCTTTTGCAACAAACCAGCCAGCAAGAAGCTCGCCATGTTTTACAGGTTTATTTTGAACAGGCGCAGGAGGGAATTGCGAAGATGATCGCTGGTCCTGAGGTGCGACAGCAAGCAGCAATGTCAGGACAAGACGCGAACCGAACTTGCCAGCACGCCCCCCAAAAGCCCAGCTGAAAAAACCAATCCACGCCAACAACAAAAAAGAAAAGCGAACCCGTTCGCTCCGGAAACTCCCCGGCCAGATTATTTTAGTGCTTCTGGGTGAATTACAACGACCCCACACGACCTCGCCCCAAATGGTGTGTATGCGGGGAATATCCCTCCCACCACCCTATTTCTATCATAATTCACATAGTTTGCTTGGCAGGCAGCAGGGGGAGCAGCAGTGGCAGCGCCTGGCCAAAGTCGAGGCGGATCTGTCCCAGTTCCGCTCCGAGGCGGAGGCGCGGGTTTGGGATCGAAGTTGGGTTGGGCTCATAGTTTTTTTGTTTAATAATTCTATTAAAAATAGATAACACCGGGGTGTAGATGGGTTTCATTCCATTTACCAGGGACACCCATCTGTTTTTCTAAAAGGACGCCTATGTTGGGCTGAGAAGATCTCTGCTTTCAGCCGAAACCAGAGCCCGGGTCTCGGGACCCAACAGCCTTTGACGCCCCTGGCACCCCGCCGGAACCGGCCGATGTCTGGGCAGGGACCCGGTGGCTTGCAGCTGTGGGGAATTTGTTTTGTTGGACGAATGCGACGGAGTCTGATTTCCAGAATGTGATTTGTACTCCCTCACGAATTCTTTTGCTGCCAACATAGATAAGGTGCGCCCCCGAAGAGCAAGCGTCGTATTCAATGGAGGGAGGTAATACTGGTGATTTAGGGATTGTGATACATGTCACACGTGCACGGGCCAAAAGTTAGTAGATAGCCCCGTTTAATTTTGGTATCGGAGTTTTATCAGCTGGACCGGTGAGATTGAGTGAATTTGAGTCGTTTATTTGTTGTACAGTTCAGGGGCCCGTTTTGGTAAAGCCAAGGGATATCGATAACATGTCCGAACCCGGTATTTGACTTGGCAGGTTTGCCACCTGACAAAGGTGGGCTGTGTTGGCTGCGAGCGTCAAGCGCAGAGGTCCATTTAGTTGTTATCCCCAGAGTGAGTAAATCCAAGGGGAAGCTGAGTTTTCACAAGGTTTTAGTATGCCTGAATGCCTTTTTGGGGAGGACACTGGAGTTCTGGTCCAGGGGCTTTGTGCTTGCTGGGCATGTATTTCTTCTTGCTTTTGCTGAGAGGCTCAGAGGAAAGAGATCGAGCGCCTGAACACTGCCCGGGAGGAGGAGCAAATCTCTTTTCACGCTGCCAGAATGGCTGTGGCAGCCTTGGGTAACCTCTTTGTTGTGTTTCATCGCCAGAATTGCCCGGCCTTCTTGCGTTTTTGCTATTGCCCACGGGTTTGTTTTAATCCCCCTGCCCCCAACGAAAAAGAGTCAACTTTTTGCTGAGGGTCAAAGTCGGGCCAAGGTTTGTTGTGCGTATTGACTTGGGCGTGCGTTGCTTCAGGGTACTTTTTTTGGCTGTTTTATAGGGGACACCAACCAGAACACCACCATTTGTTGGGACATACCCATTTTGTGTTTTTCTCCTTGATTTGTGGACACTCCAAATTGGTGTTTTCTTTCCTTTTGTTGCCCCTTACCACCCACAAAGGGGGACCCTAAAATAAACCCATGTGTTGCTGAGAAACCGCCGTGTGTTTTGTTAGGAGGGCAAGACCATCCGAGCGGAGCGCGAAGCTTGGCGGGCCCGGGAGCGAGACATGCAGGCGGAGGCAGGATGGGGATCAGGTCTCTGAGAGAGATTTCCACCTCGAAGCCACCCCCAGCGAAGGCAAATGCAAACCAAAACATATATTCAGAAATTATATTCATGTTATGTGTATAAATATGTATAGATATAATATACACATAACTGATGCGATGTGTGAAGCTTAATGTGAGATTTGCATAACATGTTGACCTCTGCATGACCTTTGTTTGCCTTGGGCAGTGGTGGGCCTTGTGCCATGTGGGCGCCCAGGCGCCCACCCCCCAATGAACCAGGGGCTACATAGCCCATTTGTAGCTCAAGGGATGCCAACGGGATGTTTTGGTTTTCCGGGTTCCCTTTTAGCACCCAGTTTGATTTACTGGTTTTATCCTGAGGCAGTGAGGCTTATATAAACCTTTCCACGCAGGCTAGAACCAACTGGGTTGCCGGGCGCTGCTGTAGCAAACACCTTTGCTTCCAAATGAGAAGCTCCACATGCCATTCGTTGTCGAAAAGTGGATCAAGCAGTGTGCTAGGATTGGGGCCTAGAATCATCCTAGAATCAAATATGTGGCACTCTCTCCGGGAGGGGGCGTGGCTGGCCAGCAGTTCCAGCAATTTCATACGTGTCAGAAGACATGGCATTTTGCTTAGGTTGAATGGTAAGAGAAGTGGTGTGCAACCTTCAAGCACTCGGAGATGTGGTCTTGACACATTGTCAATCTGATAGCTGAGTTTGAGAGTGTCACGTTCATGGCCTTGAATGTGAGAAAGTGAATGACTCGTGCTCAGCGACCTGCACACAAGCGCAGGTGTCAGACCTTCAGAAGAAGCTGGACGACATCAGAAAAGAGTCTGAGATACAGGCAGGTGGGAGTTCTAGAGACTGTCAGCAAAGGGAATGTGAGTTCAATGCCGTTGTTGATCATTATCTATTACTGTTCTAGGATTATATGTAGCTTATCTATTCATGGCTTATATACATAGTTAAGCTCAGTGTTGATGCACTTGTTTGCCACTTGGCACCATGCGGATGAATAGCTGCCTGAGCTGTGCTTGTGATCTTGGTCAGGTGACCGGGATGGGATTGAGATGATTTACAGTCGCATCACGCGCTTGTGCCCCAACCATCTTTGCGCAAACCTTGGGCAGGTCCATTTGTGCAAATTACAGCGACTTATGTAAAGCCTTTTTGTGACCTCACCCGCGATGAAAATCTTATCCGTGCGCGCAACATCTCCCCACGTGGTTCCATGACTGATGAATATACCTCTGATCGCGCCCCCTTCTTGTCCTGCTCAGGCAACCCGAAGTATGTACGGGCATGCTTCTTCTGATTGAGCAATCACGTCTTCCACGCCTTAAACAGCTGCAAGCCCTGCAACACTTGTCAGGGGCCTTGCCCAGATGCTTTGTTTTGACAAGTGTCGTGCTGGATGTCCGTGCGTTTGCTCGACAGCTCCAACTCCCCAACTCCCCCTTCCCATCTACCACACATGCGGCCAACCCAATCCATTTTGGACAAGACCTACTTGGGGCTACGGTTCTGCATGAACCCTTCGGTTGGTAAGGATTCCCACTAAGCGAGCCATCACCATGACCTGCATTGAGCAGTTTTGACCTTGGCATAGTCGGACCGTAGCCAAGTCCGAATGTGTCTCTCGCTCGAGGCCTTCAAGGTCTCAAAGGACCATGATGATAATGTCTCCAAGCACCCTGGCTGAGGGCCGGGAAGAACAGGGGGTGTTTCAGATGATACCAAAGCTATGCTGTGTCCTTGCTGGAGCACACATTTGACTGAGGTTTATCCAGAATAAAACGACTGGAATGCCTTGCAAGGCAAGACATGTACATGTCCACATGCTTCTTGCCATAGTTTCGCACTTCAGGAGCAAGCTGCAGAATGACATGAGCCGTCCGGTTGATGAGAACAGCATGATGAACTTGTCTGTGGCACAATTAAGCCGAGATTTCAGCCTTGAAAGAGCCCAACGGACTGCAAGCCAGGCTCGCACCCCATCCCTTGGTATGGAGCCATGCCTACCCACCTGGTGGTCCTCGCTTGAGCCTGCTGGTCAATCTTGATGAGGTGAAGTGCACTTTGACGTGCTGCTGAATTTGCAGAATTTCTGTATGGCCCGTTGGTTCATAGAATCAAGCGTTGGGTCTTTTACCAAGATATCCAGTTGCTTTCAAATTGATGACCCAGTTAATGGAACACGCAGGATCTCGCCAAACATGTAATATGTATGCCAGAATGGAGATACAAGTCAAGGATGTTAGAGGCTTTAGGACATCACACAAACCCCGTCTCGTCTTGGCAAATTGGTTCCTGAGCAGTTTCCTGGCGAGACCGGTCCGAGGCTGAAGGCTCAAATCGAGAAGCTAGAGGTCGAGGCAAGGATTCGAAGAGATCATTGCCGTGCACAGTTGCGAGTCAGCATCTTTGCACCAGAAACTGTGGGTTGTATGTTTTGGCTAATGTCTCCTGCTTTGTTTTGCATCCTGACGGATGACGATGCGTATGTGGCAAACCCGGCTGCGCTGGCGTGTTGACGCGGTGGAAGACGCGCGCAACCTGCTCATGCTACGCTGGCTTGTGGAGAGATGCCCAGACAGACCCCCATTACCGCAGAGCGACTTGTCGCGAACCTGGCTGCTGGCCAGAAAAGCCAGCCTTCAACAACTCTCTTAAGGCCACCGCGGAGTGACCCAGCTACACTCAGCTCCGCCCGTATATGCAACGGCGGCTTGCTGCTGGCAAGCCGCGGCGGCGTGAGATGGGCTGCCCTTTGTGTCGTCTACGCAAGGCCTCCAGCCAGTCAGCTTACTGCGCGCCACCATTTCTTCATGGCTACGCAAGCGGCTTGAGGGTAGCAAGCGCAAGCCTGTGGCGAAGCAACCACAGTGCATGGCGAAATTAAGTATTGGTACATTTATACAGATACACACACAGAGACAGTCTGGCTATGTGTCAAGCCAAACGCGGATTACGCGTGGGCCTACAAATCTTGTGAAGCGAAACCAACAATGCAAACGCTCGCAAAACCCTCTGAAAGGTTTTGATTCCTATTTTGACACGTGGGTGTCCAAGCCAGGGTTCTTCCTAGACCAACTTCTGGTTAGAAGCTCTAGTTTTCGATTAAACTGATGGTAGAGCCAGCAGCCCTCATGCACCCAAAATGGAGCGCCCAAACCAAGCCATCCACCTTCCACCAAATTAGCGTTTGAGGTCCCGCTCGTTTCAGACTGTGGGCCAGGCGAAGGCTCGTGAGGACAAACTCACGGAAGCGCAGAAGAACGTGGCGAACCTTGAGGCAGATGGGCACCCGAACGAGAGTCGAACTAAGGGGTCGATTTGGGCGAAAAGGAGCCCCCAAACGAGCTGTTTCGAGGGTCCAGTGCAACCGTATCCGCTGCGCAATTCATGACGTTGAGCGGGTGAAAGAGCTCGGGCCTCATGATGAAGGTCATGAGGAAGTCCTTGTTTCCAGCCTTACGATCAATTGTGCAGGTATCCTCCGGTCATGAGAGCCTCATAGTCGTGTCTCGGGCTGATACAGCAAAGGGCCCTCTCTCCATGATCCAGGTCCCCAGCAGATCTTAATTTGGAACACGTGCTCTCGATAACACGGGATGGAATTTGGCCGATATTTGTGAGCATGAAAGAATATGCGTCTGCAAGGACCCTGTACCATCTCGTGATGTTTTCAAGGTTATTGGGTTGGCAGTGCATCATTGCCGTCATTCCTCCCTTACACTGCACATGGTCAAGGGCACTTGGAGCTGTATCAAGCATGCCGTGCAATGGCAGGGTTTCGATATCTCAGAGACAAAAGCTATACTTGTTCAGACTTAGGCCCACAGCATAGGGAGCAGACAAGGGGGACTGATGTTTGCCACCGGTCAAGCAACTAAAACGGCCAGCATCAACTGTGCGTTCCTGCGTGCTTGCTGTCGGGCATAGTTGGGCCCTTAGGGTACACAGCCCTTTTCCTATTGGCCACCATGGACGTACTTCCCCGCCTTTTTTTCCCAATGATCCTTTTCATTTTCTGAAGATGGCTGGCCATTTCTCAAAACGATGTGTTGGAATCAACGTTTTAATCCACGAGCTTCCCAACCGCAAGCATATCCCCACCTGCAGGTAATGTAGGAGGCGTGCCAGGTCCCGAAAGGCATCCTCCCCATAGATTTTCCTTTTGTGGGAGCCAAAAGTAGCTGGGTTTCGGGCTGCTCAATGCGGGGATGTTTCATCCGATGCAGGAGGAGAGAACAATGGCTCTTCACCGCGAGGAGGCCATCAGGCGCGATATTTTTAAGGCCATCCACTCAGCCAGTGAGTTATGGTCACGGGCCGACCTGAATCGGCCTCCCAGTCTTTGATACTGTGGAACGTCCACTTCGCACCAGCTGGTAGATGGCATATCCCAGTTTTCACAGGGGTTCATCTATCCCAACTGGTGCAGGATTTAGCGCCCAGCACGGCTTTGGAAGGACTTCGCGATTCGAATCAATTTTAAGATGTTTGGCTCCCTCTTTCTGGAGTCCCCTCCAAGATAAGCCCATCCACAGAGGGTCCTTGCTTTAGGTGGAAACTGGCCCAACCAAAACGGGCAGATCCAACTGCAAAAGTTGTTTGTTCCCAGGGTCTATTCCTACCCTGACTATTTGTTAATCAGTCCGGGGACGAGGGTTAGCACCGCCTTGTTTTTTTGCTTTGCTTCAAGCAAACCCAAAAGCTCACCGGTGTGTTTTTTTGTTTGCGGTTGTCAATGGCATCCCTGAGCTTGTTTTGTTTCACCTGGGGTCTCTCAATACCTTTACCGGGGGAATCCAAAGCCTCGGAGAAAGCGAACCAACTCCCCGGAGGCAGTCCTCCTCGGCGGAGATCCGAAAGTGGCAGGCGTCTCCGAGCTGTGGTGTCTCCTTTTGGACGTGTTAGGTGATTCAATTTATATGGTTCCATTGGGGTTTTATGTGGGTGTGTTAGGGCTACCCTTTTTTTGTTTGGTTTAAAAATGGAACCCAATCATCATGAAATTGTCCCCTACTTGGACATACGCATACAAACCGTTATTGCCATGTTTGTAGTATCTGCTCAGTTTCCACCACTGAGTTGTGTCCTGACGCCCATTCTTTCCAGTCTCTCAAGCATGTCAAGCCGAGGACGAAGCAGAGATACGTTTCTTTTGCTCCTAGTCCTTGAATTGCAACTTCTAAACCCCTCCTGTAGTTGTGCAACATTAATGACGCTTTCAGACTGGTGCTCACATTACGGCATTCTGCTCTGGCTCCGGACAATGACAATATGTCTTCACTGTTCTTGGCAAGTTGTTGTTTTTCGCTTGGTTTTTTGGCTCTGTTGATTTTCAGCGGGGTCTGCAAAATCAAAGTGCTTTGCAACCATGCCAAGGATAGTGAAGCTGGTTGATGTGCTTGGTCTAGTAGGGGATATTTGTGTTTTCGGCCGGGGCCTTCCCTGCGGCTTGCTCGAAGCTGGGCTTCCACAGGAGGAGCTGGAGCAGACCAAGCAAAGCGAGCAGGAGCTCATGCGGATGCTGGAAGAGGCACGGTATCCGCGTTTTGGCTGAAGCCAAGATAATTTAGAGACCTACCGTCCCACCAGCTAACCTGGAAGTGCACAGAGCCCTGTAGAAAGACTACTTCCATGTTAGTTGGTGGGAGGGTAAGGGCCATGCCGCTTTTGTGATTGCTCATTTGAAAATATGTTGGACAACCAAAGCGAAGGTTCCAAGGCATCCAACAGTTGGTGATGACTCACACTATGGGCAGACGGACGCGCAGCACTGCACACTCAAGCTGTCCGGTGGAACCTGTTGAGTGCGTCGTATCTATTCTGTTTCATAGTTTTGTGTCCCGCTCAGATGTTTGAAACATGGATGCACATTGGAGGTTGACGGCATCATTGCTTCTGTCCAGCACTCAAGCGGGCACGGGGTGTGCGCCGGGTTGATCATTTGACAAGCGTCCATGCCTAGCTTCATTTCAGGCCAGCTGGACATGTTGGTATTGTCAACATAGGATTTGTATGTGATACCATGCTCATAGCAGGTGCCACTGACAACATGTTTCAACATGGTTTGCCGTAAGTGCCCCACACAACTATTCCCAGGAGCAAGTGGTTGTGCCATGAAGCAAGCCTCAATGGGCTTGTTGGGTTGCTCTTGGCTTTTAATATGTTGTGTGGATGCTCTGTTGTTTGTTTCCCCCCTTCACCAACTAGCACACCTTGTTTTTGCAAAGACCACCCCAGGTTCCATTGATTTGGGGCTGCTTGAATCACCTTAGCCGAAGTTACGGCTCAGCCTTGGGTTGCTGTCTTTTGGCGTCTCCGCATGGACACCTATGGGAGGACTCCCTTAGACAAATCCATGTGGGGAGGGTCTTGGCTGCCTTGGCCTATGCCGAGAGCAAAAAAGTTAGCACTCCAGATAAATGGCCGAATCTTGAGAGTTACCACCTGGGTTCTTGGACATCGTTTGCACAGATGTCCACGGGATTCCCGAAAGTGATACTCTGTCTGGATCTGTCCGGTCTCAGTTCACAAGATTTTACAAGGGGCTGAGTTTCCAGATAGCGAATCATTTCAGTGGTGGGTGACTCTCCATCCCCAGGATTTAAAACAGAGAGGAAGCTCCGATGTTCATAGGCCATGTTGCCAAGTGGACATGAATCCACACTCGTCATGATGTCCACCAAAAGGCTCCACCAAAAACAAACTTACCATGACACTTTTCCCGGGTCGTTTCAGCTGAGGGCAACCAGTAAGTCTTCCAGCACTGGCTCCCGCTGCGGCTGTTGGCCATGGCGGTATTCGCATAGATTGGTTCAACACTCGCTGTGATTGTGTTAAGCCAAACGACTCCTTCAGTGCTTGCAGAATGAAATGCGTCATTCAGAGCAACATAGAGGGCAGGGTATGGCAGTGTAAGACCTCAAAGTGCGACTGGGGGAAACCAATCCTCCCAGGTAAGGTTCTTAGAACCCAGGTCGGGGTTCTTTGAAAGGGTCTCAGAACCTTGCTTGGGGTGGCCCGAATGCCTCTTCTTTGGTGTTCAGTAAACTTTGAGAGTGGTCAACTTCAGTTAGCTATGGTGGGCGGAGCAGCGCGCCCCATGCCATGTCGTTTCACCTACAAGCTAATTTTCGGAGCCTCGGACCGAAAAGAAGCCCAAACGGAAGGGTCGCAGGTATTGGCGAGTTGTGCAAAGAGGAAATTGGTTGTTTGTGCAGAGCCCAAGTGTTGATGCTAAGTGGTTGAGTTGGTATCATGGCCAATTTCGAAAGGTGGGTCATGGGCATGATGGGCATGGGTCAGATGCATTTTGATGCTTGCAACATGTTGGTGTCCGACATTTGCACCGCTTGCCTGGAGTCGTGTTGCCATCGCAGCCAGGTGAGCTTGTCGCCGTCTGAGCCATGGCTCAAACATGTAAAAGAAGCGATGCCAAGATGTCTCTTGTGGAAATCCAACACCTGGGCATCTTCTCCGAAGCTTGATTGGTGAGTTCTTATGAACAGTCAAACGATCACATGATGAGATCAACACTTGGAAACCTAGGCCAAGTGGGCGAGCTTTGCGATGATTTCTTCGATGCCAGCATCACTAGCGCAGACATCCGTAGAAATCAGATGCGAATGACTCCGCATCCAGAGAAAGAATTGGTGACCCCGCCGGGGCACCAGGCATTGAGCAGCTGGGTTTGTTCCGACGTGGAGGTTGCATTTGGGACGAAAGGTTATGCAGTTATGCATGTGCAGACATAGGCAGCAGGTTTGCCTTGAACCCCCCAAGCTTTGACTTTAAAAAGGTTGGCACCGTCAATCCGCATACAGATCCTTCATGTTATCAGTGTAGCTGTTTGCAAGACGCAAGTTTATTGGATCATCCGATTGCTTCTGAAAGAGTCCCTCAAAAACCCATTTGTGGAGCCAGGCAGTGAGCAGAGCTGGCATGGAGAACTTGCATCGTTGGACACACTTCTAAAGATGACTGCCCCCGACCACTTTTGGAGGTGAACCAAGCCAAGCTGCAAAACTTTGAAAGGTCAAGAAGAGATTGGACGCCCCACTCAGCAATTCACCAGCAGAGAATAGTCATTGATCGTCGTTGCCGTTGCATGTCAGGTGGGGTCACTGTAAGTATCTGCGACTTACGAGCAAGTTGTTGTCGTAATGGTTGGGGGATCACGACCAGGCTCAAGGAATGACATGCGGCCACCAGTGTTTGTGATTTACACTTCGATATGATGAGTTTTGAGTATTAGCTGCAACCGTAACCAGCCTATTTGGCAGTCGCTCTGACTCGCATCATAGCGGGCAATTCATTGTTGGCAGGTGTTTGTTGGAGGATGTCTTGCTTGTCAATTAATATTGGATACGCGTAGGCACAGCTGCCTCCAGGTGTTGCTTGTGTTGACAAAGAGAGGTTGAAAGAAAAGGTTTCATTCATCTTTAGTCTGCTCAAAGTTGAAGGCTGAAAACGCGAACTGTCAGCTGTCACTCCTGCAGCCCCACATGCGATACATCCGGAAAATTGTGCTGCGACAAGTTCCCGGTTTGGATGAAGGTAAAATATAGAAACATAGTCTTCTTTCGCCCATACTTGTGCATTGGGACAATCCTCCTTTTAGCAAAAACACATGACTATTTTAGTGGTTGATTTTGCTCTTCTGAAGCATCCTTTGGCATGACCGCCCCCTGTTGCCCATGTTTGCCTGTGCCATTTGTAAGCTTTGCGATTGAGAGCATTGTTTGCCTCAGGCCAAATGGTCTCTCCAAGAGGTTGCAGTCTGAGGCATGGAGGGATTTCGAGTGCCGAGTCGGCTTCTGTATGGACATATACAATATTGGTTGGGCAAACTATCGCAACCTCAGGGAGCATGACCACACATGATGATGAATCCTATTGCAGGTTGCTAAAACATCATACTTTACGCAGATGCAGTGCGTTCCCTTCGGTTTCTATTTTTTAACAGGGATACCACCAAAACAGGACACGCACAATATGGAAAGTGCGGCTTCCCATGTCTTCCCCACTGGCGCGGGGCGGGGAAATGGATACCCGCTTCTGGTTGGCTATAACAGGGCAACCAAAAGCAAAGCAACCATGCCGGGTGGGTCAAGAATGGGACATTATTATTACTATTAGTATTATTAAATTATTATTAGTTATTTATTGTTTCTGGGGGGTCCGGAACAGAAGCAGTTCAAGTCTTGGACAATTGTGCCGAGTGAGCACTTGTGTCATGAGTGCTTTATTTAGTGTCATGGCCACGTAAAGGGGTAAAGAGACCTTGTGTGAGGGTTTAGAGGGACATCGGCTTCTTGCAGCAAGCCAATCGACACTAACGGTGAGGCAAATGTAAGGCAAATGTTGGTCGAGCTATTTGGAGAGGAAGGGGGTCTGCTCATTTTCCTCGCCTCCTTGGCGTTGCATCTCCGCCAGGATTCGACGCCAACTCCTTGGAAGCGGCCATGCTTTAGGCCGAGGTGCCAGGCTTAACTCAGCTTTGCTCTGTTGTCCCTTTGCCCTTCTGGTTTTTCTTCACGTGCTCTTTCAAGCAGCGAACAGTTGACAAGTTGAGCAGCGATTGGGCCCTGGGCGCTTTTCAGCAGAATCGGCATGAAGCGGCTTGAACAAAAGTGGTATAAATGCATGCGATCCCTGCTCGCCCACATAAATTGATATTTAGGCAGAACGCACATTCAAAGGGTAGGGGTTTCCAATGGTTTCCATTTCCCGGAGCCGTTGTGCAGCTGCCGTGCCTTTTCGCAGCTCTATCGATGAATTGAAGAGCGGACTCCAATAGCTAGATCGCGGAGAACCTGGCTGATGTTCGGCTCACATTTTGCCTTTCAACATCTTTTAACTTTTGGAGATCCACTGTTTCTCCACTCACTACCAAGCTGGTTGGCTACAGGGGGACCAGGGTTTCTCTAATTGACCTTATAGCCGTTTGGCTTGGTCAGTTTATATTTAATTGTGGCCCCGCAGGCTTAGCCTTCTACTTCACTTGTTTGGCCAAGTGAGTTTCCGGTCTCGTGCTTGATTTGTGCGGATTTCACTGGGAAGTGGCTCTGTTGCTGTGATGTGCCCGAGTGCAAAATTGCCGCCAGAAAATGTCAAGGCCGGTGGGGCCCAACTTGCTTTGTGATGCTGAAGCCCACCCAGAGTCCTTTGCCAAGCCAAGATTCGTCATGATACAAGAGCAAACGGACAGCATGACAAGGGCAGGGTTCAAGGGTAGGCCCAAGCAGTTGGATGTTGCAATGTCGGGCATGCGATTGAACTGTGCGTTTAGAAAGATCACTTTGAGCCTCGACTCTCGAGTCGCTCTTTGATACTTGGCCAAGCAAGTTCTTAGGCTCTTTCCGACTAGCTAAGAAGGCCGAAGCTTCTGCTTGTTGTTCAACCAGTTCTGATGGCCACAAAACAACCCCCTGACGCATTGGTTTGATATGTCCTACGTTTGGGGCAAGGCTGGTTTCGTATGTCAAAGAATGCAAGACCAACGGCCTTCACACCCTGACTGACAAGTTGCTATGTTCTGTGCGCGGCTCATCGATCTGTTATTTTCCACGCTATGCCTTTGAACAGGCAGCCAACAAAATCGATTGGATTTCCAGGGTTGTGTGGAGTGATGCTGCGACCTACCTTCGTGTGGTTTGCCCTGGCAACAAACCAGGATTTTTGTCTCTTGCCCGGAAAACAAGCTGCACTTCAAGCAAGTGCATGTATATTCGCAACCAATTCTACTTATGTGTTCCCTATGTGTAAGGAACTTGGCATTGACCGAAGCTTTTGTCTTCCTGATCACTGCTGTCAGCTGCTTATGTGTCGAGGCGCGACGAGGCCGCAGCTTGCTGAACAGAGAGGGGGAGAGAGCCATTCGACGATGATGATGATGATGATGAGGAGGAGGAGGATGATGTTGATGAACTCTTAATTGCATCAGCCAGTTGCCAAATGTCAACCTTAGCCAGTTTGACATTCTGAACTGATTGGCAAACAGATGAGCAACTGACAAATGCTGGTAGGTTTTCAGTTTGGGGGGGCATATGCGGCACACCCAGGAAACATGCAATATCTTTGGCTCAAATAGTCATGGGGGCCGGGAAAAAGGAGGGGGGAGGGGAGGAGGGAGCCCAAAAAAGCCCAAAATAAGGCCTTGTTAAGGCCTTGTTAAGGACTTATTAGGGGCTTTGGGCTCCCTCCTCCCCTCCCTATTAAATAGTGTGCGCAAACAAAGGTCGCGAAGTGGGCCGAGAGACACTCAGAGGCTCAGAGCAATTTTCAGGCTGACTCGGGGGTATCTTTTTTCTGGAGGGTACGCCTTTTTTGGGGTGGCTTTTTTAAACGGGAGCTACAAAACACCACCATTTTTTGGTTTTGTGGGTGGATGCTTCATGGGTCCTCTAACAAAGAGCCCATTATCCCGCAAAATGACCCCAAACAATGCTCAACAATAATTAGAGAATATTGAGTTCGGAACCCACGCCGGTACCATGAAACTAGCCATAGCAGATGCTCACTTGCTTCTGCACAGAGCTTCCTAACATGACCACAGGGTCGGTTCCGCACAAGGTTTCTCAGAGGAAGAATCGTCTAATGTTTCTATAGAAAGTCTTGGACAACATCTCCGGGGAAGGATCTTTGCAGGATCCGTGGATCGGATATGTTGATAGGAATCTCTTGGCAATATCTGCATGCAGGATCTCCAAGAGAATCCTCTACAAGTTCTCTCTTCAACATCTGAACCATGGCACCCTCTACAAGATGTATCGACGAGAAACCTTTCTTTCACACATGCGAAGTCCGCAGAGGGTGCACACATCCACCACTGGAGCCGTAGGGAGAGCACAGCGAGCACCCTGATCGAGCACCCTGCCTTGCCCCTGTGCAAGAGCCCTTTAGTGTAGCGACTTGTTTTAGGGAAATGCTCACTCGCGCGAGATGGCTGCCAACCGGTCAGATCCGGTCAGACAAATCCGTTGTGAACAGCCGAGGAACAAGCGCGACGCCAGGTCTACGACGAAAAAGCACGTTGCCCCCCTAAGTGCGTGGTGAAGCAAATCTGGCTGGCGCGTCACGGCGCCAATCTCTTCGACTTTTGCGCAGGATCTCTTCGCAAGACCCTTGATAGAATCCATTGTCAAGATCTATGTGGTGAATCTCTGGACAGGGCCTCTTGATAGGATCTCTTGACGATATTTTGTGTGCAGGATTGTATGAGAGGATCCTCCATATGTTATATTGTCGTTCTCCGTCCAGGATCTGTAGAGAGCACCCTCTACAATTAGGCTCTACAAGATCTCTTGCATGAGAGTCTGCGCAGGTCCTGCCGCACCACAGCAAGAGCGATTTCGAGCTGCTTGAGTCTGCGCAAAAATGGCTCTCCATGATCAGTTTCGCACCGCACTACAATGAGAGCGATCCGAGCTACCCAAAGTCCGCAGAGGGCTCATTTTCCATGTTCAAGGTTCGCACCTCGCTGCAACGAGAGCGATCTGACACTGTGACAGCGATTTAACACAACCAAAGTCTGCAGAAGGCTCACTTCAGATGTTAAAAATTCGCACCGCGCCACATCCAGGGCGATCCGACCCGCCCAAAGTCCGCAGAGGGTTCACCTTCGATGTTCAAAGCCGCGCCACGGCGGCAGCGATTTCGCGCACCCAAAGTCTGCAGAGGGAGCGAGCTTTCAGCCTTGTGGACACCAGCCTTCCCTTGAGAAGCGTCGCCATGTTGGACCATGGTTTGGCCATGGCGATGGACAATGTTTTTTACAAGACCATGCTTCATTCCCATTAAGAAACACGACTGAACAGGTGGGGCTCCCCTTGTTGGATGCTAAGAAGAAACCAATTTTAAGGGCCCCTAATTCCCCCAGGTGTTGTAGGAGCCCAAGTTGCAGGATGGCTGGAAGTTGGCCGAAGCCATGCCGGGGCTGGAGCCCAAGCTGCACACCCTCGATCAGCCAAATCTATCGAGGCATTTGGGGGTGTTTTTGTGCTGCTACCCTTTTTGGGGGTTGGTTTAAAGACCAAAAGGAAACCAACCATTCTTCGGGGGTGCCACGTATTTGTCAACCACTTCCCTTTCCCGATATTCTTCGGCAAAAACCCGCCTTTTTGTGGAGTGCGGTTCAATTTCACACTCAATGCGTCCATTAGGATTAAACATTGGGCACGAAATAAAGACAAGCCAAGTCAAGTGGAAACTCAAGTTTTATATTCAAAGGAGGTTCCAGCAATACCAAATAATTGGACAGGACCTGAAGATATTAGTTTTGACACTTCCTTTGTTAGGGGAAGCCTTTACTAATTCCAATTTTCTAATTTATCGGCGTCGTAGCCGTGGCAATGGCAGCCATGACAGCAACTGTTCCCCCACACTGTGAGACTTGGACTTGGGAGGCCGGGTCGAAGTTGCCGAAACTAGGGCCGTTTGTAGCCCCTTGAATAGCGGCAAGCGGCACTAGGGCTTGGAGCCAGGTTTTGTGAAAGCCCTCATTTGGACCAAATTGAAACATTTGAGAGCTGGTCCTTGCCGCGGGGAACTACCTTATAAAATTAATGTTGAACTGCACAAAATTAATTTGGGAGATGACTTTACTTTTGGAGAAGGTTCCTGTGCACTTGCATGTGTGTGGCGTTGGTGGTGTGGTACAGCTTGTGCTAACTTGTGCAAGCCAGGAGGAACATGTGCAAACCGCTGTTTGAAAAGGGCGGCTTTCCAGGACTTTCAGATTGAGTTCCTCAGCGCCAACAACAGATGGGTGTTCCTTCGTGTCACTGGGGGTGCTTCTCATATCTCCTGTGCAGCTTTTTGCACGTGTCATGGCTGAAATCGGGAGCGGCTCAGGTTCCCAGCTGGAACAGCCCTTGATCCTGGAGATGACGCTTTTGTCATCGGGACCGGGCTCTCAGCGTTTCGGTCTTTCGGGGATGACAGTTAGTTATCACATGTGTTGCACTTGAACTCTGCCATGCTTGTTGAGCCAAAGTCAAAGCCGCGATCTTGGCGGCCTGCATGAGGACCCACCCTACATCGCCAACCACAGACAGCACAATGGACCTACCTTTGAAGCGATTCCCTTGCAGCTGTCTGCTCGTATAGGTCGCGAAATGTGGATTGGTATCGCTTACTCTCCTGACACTGATCATGGTGCAAGGAAATATTTCTAGGGAATCGGAAGAACTACTACCAGGGGTGCAGGAGGAATAGAAATATTTGATATTTCCTCAGGAATATTACGAATATTACTAGGGGTGCAGGAACCCACCCGCGTGTTACATGCAAAGCGGCCTGAGGAACAAAGCTTTGGGCCAGCTGGATGGGCAGGACTGCATTCTTCAGAGGGCGGCGCTGGCTCCGTTACCCAAAGCGAGGCTACCGACGCTGGGCAAAGCGAAGGCGATCAACAGCATCAATGCAAGAATGCCCTTCTAAAAGCAAACACAGAACCCTTGAATAGTTTCCATGGCTGTGTTTTTTGTTTTTTCTGTTTCTGTTTGCAGGATAGTTGATGGAACTAAGAGAAACTGTTGGGTGTATGTCAAGCAGTTGCCGCCGAAGGTTGGTGCCAGAGACAGCCTGCCATGCGCATTGTGTTAGCTTGCTTGCCCCACCAAAGCGTCTCACGCCAGGCCGGAGACACTGAAGAAGACGAAGTCGAAGGCAACAACGGTGTACGTCACAGCTGCGGTTTGTTTGGAGGGTGCCCTTGTCAGGTTGGCTTGAGAACCACAGGAAACCACCAGGTTTCCCGATCCCGCTGTTTTGACACACACACACACACACACACGCACACACACACACACCCATAGGGCAATAGCAGATGTTCACGTGACCTTCTGATTTGTGTTGCCTTCCAACCACTATACTAGTACCAACTTGAACAAACAGGCAGAATGCTGCCCTTGTCATCCGTCTACTTGCACGACACGAACCCACATATACCCACATTTCTATGCTGGTCACACCGCAATGTTCTGCTGCTGTCGTTTGATATTTCTAGCTGCCTGAGCAGCCTGCTGCCTAGCTTGCTTGATGTTTCCTTTTCGGAGCCTATGTTCTGAAATAGCCTTCTTCACGAAATCAGAAGCGGATGGGTAGTTGTTATTTTTCAGACCCCCTCCAAAACTGCCTACTTCGCGGGTCTCCGAACTGGCCTTTTTCGTGACAGATGGGCCCGGGATTGCCTCAGGTAGCAGTGATGCCGGCAGTGTGGTTGGGCACCCAAGCTTTCGTCCGCCTGTGGTTTTGGGGATTTACTCGGAACAATTTCACAAAAATGGCGAGCTCACATAGGAACCATGCAGCAACGCAGTTTCCAGCCGCGCCCCTTTTTTCATTTTGTCCAGACTTTTCGTTTCGAATCAACTGTCGGAAATGTGGCGGGTTGTGTTTCCGCTCATTGGGCATGCAACCTGGGAGGTTTCAACTTAGCTTTCCTGCCCGCCTGCCCGAGCACTTCAAGACACCACTTACGGAAACGGCGCGACTCTTCAACCTTGGGAAGGGCGCTATTCAGGCGATTTCGGCACGGATTGGAAGAATTTCACGAATCGGACATGCTCCCAGCCCGATCACTGCAACGGAAGCCCATGGCCCCGAAGGTTGCCTCCCAGCTTTCGAGGCCTTTGGGAACGCCCCGTCGGCCTCAAATTTGCTCCCCGAAATCACGACCTTAAGACTGGATGTCACCTTTTGATAGCTCACATAGCTCACCTAGGTCCTCAGTAGTGCCCTTCTCTCCCCTTTTTTAGTTGGGAGGGTTCCCCTAAAATCGACAGAAAAAACTGGGTACCCTAACCCCAACCTCTGAAATCTGGAGGACCTGGTCACTAAGCAAAATCCCTCCACGGCGTATGGCGCTTGTACCCTGAGGCGCTGAGTGAGGGCCTGGAGCGGCTCCTTTGGCACGGCTCCCGGAGAGCCAGCGAGAGGCGCTCGCGCGCTGCCGGACTCGCTGCCGTGCTGCCGTGGTTCATCAGGGGTCCTTTCGTGGGTGTATAGAAATATATATATATATATATATATACAGATATGGTCAGACCCCCCCATGATCTACCTGTTGTGTCTTGAAATATTTTAACTATTTCGTATCATACTCATTTTTAGTGCTAGACTGCCTGGTGTCGTGGATTATATATATATATAGCAAATAGGGTTTCGGAGCCCTGTCCTTTTGGTGTCAACCCTACCTAAAAACGGTAGCCTCAAAAATACAACTCTGCCAAAGAGCAGTTCGTGTACTGAAGAGTTGCGATTTCCGAGGCTGAAAGTACAGAGAACACAAATCACTGTAAACCCAAAAGGAGTTTAAAAGCGATAGCCCAAGAAGGGGCCATCAGAAAGCAACAAGGTTTCTAGTTTTGCAACCTCATGTATTTTAAGGCGGACCATGCAATTGAACTGTTCAGCTCCCGGCAAAGATGCAAAGTCAAGCAACAGGGCCCCTCAGAACCTCCCAACGACGCTCGGAAAAAGCGTCCACGAACAAGCAGTGGCGACATTTTCAAGTACGAGTTGTGTTTGTTGTCGGTGGACCTGGATCAAACCAGTCTGCAGCAAAGTAGCCACTTTCCAAGAAGCAAAGGTAGCCGCCGTACAATGTTAAAGGGGAGCGGGCTGAAGTGGACATCCGTTTGTGATTCCACTGTTCCTTTGCGGGGACTACATAGAAAGACACCCTCCACCCCACCAGCCCTGGAGGTACTGTGGATGGACAAAACCCTGCACCAGTTGGGATGAATGAAGCCCTGGGACAAAGCACAATTTTGTCCATTCTTGGTAGATGGGTGTTCATTCTCAGGTCGGACGACGAGGACTGCTCGCGACAGCGGGGAGGGCACATGTGAATCCGACTGCCATTTTCTGGGTCTAGTGGAGAGGCAGGATTTAAGGATGATAGTTTGCGGTGCTTCTGGCTTGCCATATCGGAAGATTGTACAATAAAAGGATACGACACAAGCGAGGGTTCTTTACAAGTTTTATGCCCGGTTCCGGAATCCAGCAAATGGGGATGTCGCTGAACTGCCAGGTTCCTTGCGCAGAAGAGCACCGCGGCATGATGTCAATGATGTGTTGAACCTGAACCGCACACTTCTGGCGGACTGTTTAGCAAAGTAACGGAGAACTCCCAATTTGCATCGAATGTGTTTGGACATTGACATGAGGATTACTCACATGCCTATGATCACATGAACCTGGATATAAGAGGCCCTGAAAGGCAGTGCAAATTCCAGGAGCACGTGGAAGCGGATTCTGGTCTGATAAAACTGAGGCTTGGCCCTTGGTTCGAGTGAGAAGCTCATGGAGTGGAACCAATGGGTGCAGCGTATCCATGGAAGGAGCCACCTGAACGTGCGAAGCAAGGCTGGCAATTGGGCAAAGCTGAAAACATGTTTTGGACTAGGGCCCATGGGCGGAGGGGGTGAACACCAGCCCTTTCACGTTTGAAGCGATTGGATGTGTTTGAAGGGAGCCACCTTGACCAAGACTGCGCCGCTTGATCTGCAAGATAGCTGTCACCACAGGCATGTTGGAGTTTCTTTGATGAGTCTAGGAGGCACCTTCTGGGTGACACGTTGCTGCCTTGGCGTACATGGAAGGGAACTCGATGAAACGTCGCGCGTAGAAAGATACTGGCTTTTGTTGAACACTGGCCAGCAGAAGGAAATCATTCATTCCACAGGAAAGCCAAGTTCGTATCAGAACTCGCATTGTCAAGGGTTCTCACTTGAGATCAACGCCGTTGTTTGTGACATTGAAGAATGCGGCGACAATTTCCTGGCCTTGGGTATTGAAGGGCTTTGCGGGCGCCAACCCCAGGTTCTTGAACCCGTGACACCCGCAATACTCACACAATACCTTGCATCCTGAGGGAATTTATTAGGCGGTGTTACCATGAACGAGGTATGCGACCCAGATGGTGAGTCGATCTATCCCAATGCCGGGCTTGTCTCGCTTGCCTTATACCTTAGCAGCGGGCCAAGAGAATCTTCCGAGAATTGTTTGACAAGCAGACGGGCCTGTTCAAAGGTAAACTGATGCTCAGTCTACGCAAGAAGGGCGCGGTTTAAACAGCAGCAGTAGCATGTGCAAGCAACGCGTTGGCGCCACAGGGAGTTGGTGACCCTAACTGTACAACTTTCTTCAAGCAGACTTGATGGTTTTAGCCGAGCTCGGAGAAGTTTGCGCTGTCGCCGATTGCTGCTTTTGTTTCTTGTTTTTTTTTCCCCGCAGTCGCCTTACCATCACTTGCTTGTGTCTTTTTGAGGTTGGTTTCGACAGCAATCCAGGAGCAAACCACATATTTTCGCATTATATGAGTCAAACCTAGGATTGTATGACACTATGTGGTTGATTACATGACCCATCGAACCACTAGTTTTGAGACCAGCCCTGCCAAAGTGCAGTGTTGCGGGTTGGATTCAGTCTAAGTCACGGCCTCGAGCGCATGGTTTCTCGGCTTCTCTTGCCAGGCATCGCCTGTGACTCGCTCCTTGGCGTCAGGCAATGCATTGCAAGAAAGCCCCCAGTGAGCTTGACTGCAACACGCAGTGTTTGAACTGGGCTGTTCAAAGGCAAATGGCAAACGGCTTTTTTCTTGGTTCTTGGGGTTCCTGAAATATTTGGTCTCCTTGCGCAGGATAAGAGTTGTTGCAGGGATCATTGTCCCTGCTCTTCTTGAATTTGTGCCACCTCAACTTGAACAGGTTGTGCAACACATTGAGTTTGTGGCGCATAACCAGGTGGTCAAGGTGTTCAAGACGGAGTCACGTGAACTAAGCAGTGGGGACGTGGGGACGTGGGATGGGGAAACGGCGATTTGTAGGTTGGTTTACCCAGGTCCTGCCCATCGCCCAAAGTCGTTTTTCCTAACGCCTTTCAACTGGTCCCCGAATGACTTGTCGCACAGATTTGATCTTGGCATAGTGTTTGTCTCTACATGAAGGAACCCCAAAAAGCCCGTTTGTCCTTTGTTTTCTGCAGAAAACCTCCCAAAAAAGGTGTTGCACCATCGACATTTAGATGCCTTTTTTGTCAGTGGGTGTCCCAATAAAATTGGCCGTGGCCCGCCAAAAGACGCTCCCTTTATCCACGGTGTCGTTGGGCAGTACCGTGAACCTTGGTTGCTTGTTGACACCTTCTACCTTTGAACTTAAGCAATTGTTTTTAGCTTTGCGCCGTGGAATCTTTAACTTTCTCTAGGCAAAAGGGCGAGCTCAGCTTTTCGCAGTGGCAATGGCGCATCGGCTAAGGCTGGTGCCAGTTCCGCAGCTCACCACAGAGACCCTCAGGCGGACGACGTTGGAGCACTTTTCGGTGGGAAACCAAAGGAACCCGCCCATGTGCGAGTGCCCTTCAGAGCCAAACCATATTATGCTATGGTTGGAACACGCATAATAAAAAAGAGACTTTCTTGAAACTTGGGTATGTGCATGTGTGGATGCTCAGGGGCAGATCGCTTGCGGTCTGTGCGGTTTGGGTAGCGTAAACTAATTATGAATTGTCCTTGCTGTAGTTAGTTGACTCAACCAGTTGCATTTGTTTTCCATGTTGGTTCATCGCTTCTCAGCAAGCTTGCGTCGTACGTCCGTCTCTAAAGCGTCATCCCTCTTTCTGTCGTGCCGCCTGTTCTTTTGTCTTGCTCTTTGACGGCGCTATGCATGCTCAGCGTGTTGAGAAGCACAGCTCAAAGCAATTGATGGCAACACTGCGCATTCAGGATGCTCCAAAGCGGTTGAAGAGCTTGTCCCTGGCCAGACTCAAGTCACTCAGTGCAAATCTTCGTGAAGCACCGAAAATGGGCTTAAACGAGTACAATGACGGGGCATCTTAAATGGTTCCATGTTGGTGGGATCGAGGGTAAGTTGCGTGGGTTGTTGAACTCAGTGGCTCCATTTGATCATTTCCCCCAACTTGGTGCCACAGTGTTCGGAGACCGCGCGTATTTGCCCCTACTTGCGGCTGGTCAGGCGCCTGCCCAGCTTGACTTTGGCAATCCAAGACGCGCCGCAGGCGTGGGGGTGTTGGGACGGCATCAAGCATCTTTGATTCCGGAGGTTGCGTTCACAGAAGAGCACAGCAGACCTGGAACTGAGACCTTTTGCAGCTGACAAACGGCGGTTGCACATAGGCAGCGGTCGTCAACAGAGCACTAGGCCATGTCAAGTCCAGCATGTTGTGCCTTGCAATTGGGAATCTCTTTGTCTTCGGGGTTCAGACAGTGGACATCATCAGATATCACAAGCAGACCATTGGGAGAGACCTCACAGTAATAATGGCATTCCCATGTAAGCATTGAGTGTTCCTTTGAGCACAGCCCTGAATCAATAATCAACATGTAAGTCACATTGTTCATGGTTTCAGGGGACCAGGAAAAAACAACAGGGCGATAGGTTCCCCGTGATGTTCCCGTGCGGTGGCAAACCACTTCTGTGTGGCTTGTTTAAGCCAACTTTGGTGCTACCCTTCAGGCTCCGGAAAAGCTGCCGGATTCGCTGGAGCTGGCACCGGTGGTTGCGTACGGGCGGAGCAGAAAGCCTGGGTCCTTGTCGACTTGGCCCAAGGGGCGCTTTTGCTCGGATCTTCGACCTTCGACTTCTTGAAGGGGGAGATGTGTATCTTTTGAATTTCAACCCAGAAAATGTCAATCTGTTGCGTTTAGAGAACAGTAGCCACCAGGTAGAAGGGTTCTCTATGTCGGCAATGTGTTTTCAAGGGCCCTTCAATGGTGGTTGATTGAATTGGATCCAAAGGGAAACCTTCCTTTTTTGGGGGTCCCCATTGTTCCCTGCAGTTGGTGCGCTTTTGATCATTCTCTTCATGGTGGCCGCGATGAGCGACTGCACACTGAGTACGCACCTAGTAAGTACCGAACAAGCGTACATGGTGGTAGAACAAGAACACAGGTATGCCCAGCTTTGATGTGGTGGCAAGGGTTCCATGGCAAACTTTGTCAGGCAATGTGTTCGTGTACACAAAAGTCATGCTCAGAGGAAGTCCGCCTGCATGCTAGATAGCACTCAGATTTACGTTTTGTGGCAACATGAGGCATCCCTTCACATGTCAAAGGTGTGTGTTGGAGTCCTGTTCAGAGGAACCGGCAAGGGGCCCCCTTTTGCTACATACCCGATAGAGCATACAAGGGCATCCGACCTGCTACACATGATATTGGCATGTGCGTTGAGCGGCAAGAACAGCCGTGATGTACTGGGGACAAACGTGGAACTAACCTGCGGAGTGACGTGATTTGAAGATATTGTTTATTGGAAGTAGTGGGCATGTGTTTTTTCTTGTTTTTTGTTGTTAATCATGATGGGCGTTGAAATGCATGCAACTTGACCCCACTCTTGTTTACCCTTTTTCCAGTAATCATGCATGCGAATTGAAGGCCTGTTTAAGATATGTTCAGATACAGACCGCCTGGAAATCGCGCATGTCTACTTTCAGATGTGCTGAAAAGAGTGAATGTTGCTATATCACCAAAAACAAATCCTGGAAGTTCCTTCTCCTCGGAACCGGCGGGATGCACAAGGGGCTTGCTTGGCTGAGCGTTTTCGAGCCCAGGCGCGGAGGCGATTCCATCAAGACGATCCAGGCAGAGATTCTTGCCCTTTCAAATCGGAGAACCACTTGTGAAGGGGGCGGGGCGGGGTGAAAATTCCTTGGGATCCTTTGTCACAAGTTTGGGGAGCTTTTCAATTAAAGGTTGTCTCGAAGCGAGAGGACCCTGGGATGGTTTTCCCATGAAAGCAATCCAAGCAAAGGGTAGCCTACAAAAAACACATCTGGAAGCATTTGTCTCTAGGCGTCATGCAAGTTCCAGCATGGTATTATCTTGTTCCTGTTCAATGCAACGGCTGCCCCAAAATTCCAATACGTACATTTCAGCTAAGAATGCACATGAAGTCTTCGAATTGCTTGGGTTAGGAAGACTACCTGTACTGGGTTTGCTTTTTCAACACTGCCACGATTTGCTCGAAACAGGGAGGTTTGGTCAGTGCAACTGGCATGATTGGCTGGGTACCCGCAGCTTGCAGCTGAACTGCGTCAATTCATTCTATCGCAAGGTTGCCTCAGCTTGCTCACGAGGTTAAGGTTTCCTTCACGACATGGGAGTCGTCCGAAAAGCTCCTTGTATTGATATATGAACAGGAAGGCCATTTGGTCTTATGCATTACCCCGAGAAGGCGTGTTGCAGAAGAAGGAGTTTCAGACCAGCGCCGCAGTATTTTGAGTATTTGTCAAATCTAATGACTCCTTTCAAAATGGTTGGTTTGATGTTAGCCCTTTTAAATCCGTTCCCAAAAGGGGTCCTAGTTGGGACAGCAGACAGACAGACAAACAGGCAAGCAGACCGGCAGGAAGACAGACAGACTGACCGACCGACCGACCGAGACAGGGACAGAGACAGAGAATGACACAGACAGAAGCAGAGGCAGAAGCAGAGACAGAGACGGACGGACAGGCAGGCAGGCAGAGAGACAGACACGGGCAAACGAGACCATATTCCTCAGAAATGGCTGTGGGTCAAAACCAATACTACCATTTTGAGGTAGGTGCACCACCCATTTTAGTCTATTTCAGTGGTTGGATTGGGATGTTCACTGGGGGTGCGATTTGGATTTTGGCCCATGGCCAAATCATTCCCAGCATCTCGCCACAGGCAGTGCAAGCTTCTTCGCTGCCTCCTTTGGCCTTGCCACCGCTGGGGCTCCTAGATCTCTCGTCGTTGTTGCCGAACATGGCTGCCGCCTACCCAAACCTGTACCCTAATGGAAAACGGCATGTTCCTTTTGTGTAGTGGCTACATTGTCCCAGGCCTTCTTTTGGCGACGTTTAGCTCAGCTATCCCCCAAAAGTTGGGCAAACGGTTTTCACGTGTCACGGTTGCAGCTTGTCCATTTGCAAGAAGACTTGTCGATTCACAATTTGTCCTCTTTCACAAGCACACCATGCCCGAAGAAAACCTAGCAAGCTGCGTGCGCAGGCCTGCTGTTCGCCGGCTGGGGGGGTGGCCATTCACTTTTTCTTCTCACGGTTAACTTCAGTTATTTCACGGTACCGAATGCCTGAAGAAAAAGGCCCTGCTTTGGGCATTGCTCGACGCCTGACTCAACATTTTGGCAAGTCAACTGCCTATGGAAGTGTGGTGCATGATTGGCACGTTCGTAATTAATGCTTGTCCAAATCGAGTACAACTTGTTCATACCGGGCAAGTTAAATTCGACCACGCAAGGCTACTGTAGTGGTGACAAGAGTGATTGTTTTTTCGGGAAGTGGTTCGGGGGTGTGGGGAAGGCCATCTTAGATTTTGGCTGCGCAAGCGCACCCTGGTCAACAAAAAGAAGAACCGGGATGAGTTCGTTGCTTGGAGCATCCTCAGATGGTACTGAAGACCCAGAGAAATGGGCTGGCAGTTGAAAGGAACGATGGCTGAAATGAAGGGGAACCAACCCCTAGAGTTGCTCAAAATTGAGGACCTTCCCAAAAGGGAAAAGGACATAGCGTACACCTCCCAAATTGGCAACAGAGAATGCGGGCTGACGCACCCAAGTGCAAAGTCAGTTGGGGAGACAATTAGAATCCGTGGCCATAGAGGTGTTGAATAGAAATAGGGTCCCCTCCAGGCTAGTTTTCAGTCTCCTTTGATTTCCATTTCAAACTTAGGGGTTCTCGATTTTGAGACAGGTTCAGTCCTCGAATTTGAAGTAGTCTATACTCAATTTAGGGGTCGGGAAACGGACCACGCACTTTGCACCACACCAACTGGGACTTGCTAGTTTTCCCATGCTCTCTACGACGGACTCACGGCCGGCCATAAATTTCACGAGCTCCTTTTGGATGGTTGTTGGAACGACATGAGAGAATGCTATTGGAAACCAAGCGTTCGTAGGGGTCTTTTGGTTTTGCCTGAATGTATTGTGTCAAACAAAATTTGGGTCTGCAAGAGGTTTGATCCCTTTACGCTATGGAAGCCACGACTTTGGGATGATCACTAGGGACCGCGATAGTGTCCATTCAGATTTGAACCATTTGCCTGAAGCTGTGGTCGATTTTCTGGTCTCCTCTCAATCAGACTCACGTCTGTTTTCAAGGCCGGACTCCAGCCTTCATGCCCACTGTATTGAGACTTGTTTGGTCTGGACTCGGCGGGACTTTACTCTGTTGCCCAGTGGTGCCCTTTTTGTTCCCTTTTTTGGGTAAGGGTTCCCCTTTTATCTCAACCAACACAAAAGGGTGCCCTTTGCTCCCATGGCCACTGGGCATCTGAGTTTAGGCCGAACACACCCAACAGTTTGCTTCAACACTGCCCTTTGTTGAGTACACCGGGCACTTTCCAAGCTGCATCTTGGAATTCATCCCTACGGCAGACATGGCAGAGGGGCGCATGGCCCACTGACCCACTCCTGGATCTTTCAGCCACTGATACATCAAGCGACCTAACAGGGTACAAAGCTATGTTTCTCGCTCACACGAGGGTATCATATGAGCTAAGAAGCTAAGAACAAAATACATATATATATATATAGATGAGAGTTGGATGCTGTGTTTTTTTCTTTGATTGATTCTACTTCACAGCTTGAAAGGCACTTGACTCGAGGCCTTAGGCAGGGATAAATCGCCCCAATGCCAAAGTTCCCTAAAGGCATCATATGTGTTCCAGACAGACCAAAGGGAGTTGGTCTGAATGGAGCGGCCAGCGCTGACCAATAGGAGAGTTGGCAGCAAGATTTATGATTTGTATTTCTCTCTTTTTGCCGCGTTGCTTCTACTTTGTTGGAGTCCACACACACAGTCACGCAAGAACCATAGACGTACCCTAACCTTCGACAATTATGGCATTTGGCAGGAAGATGTGGGGACTATTTTCCTTTTGTGGGGGACCTTCCCGTCCACTCCCATGAGCACGTTGGAAACAGGGTAGTTGTTCAGGGCTCCTTATAGTGTGCAATTCCTGTCAAACATCACCTCTCGCTGTTAAGGATTCTCTTCTAAATATTTCTTTTGTATGTAGCCTTCTACCGGAACCCTGTTCAACAAGTCAAGTTGCAGCGAGGCCGGAACCACTTACTGCCTTGCCGCCTTTGAGTGTGCTGCTTGAGGCATGGCTTTCGGGAGTGTGGAGGTTGACGTAGCTTGAGCGAAGACCTTCGACCACATGCTTGCCATGCACCATCTAGAACAGTCATCGTTTTTTAGGCAGTCTATGAAGGCACTTCAGTGCTGTTTACATCAGCCACCCCAACTCAACCCCACCCAACCACCCCGTTCACCAACAACTCCACACCCCAACTCCACCACAACTCCCCCCGCCCCAAGGTGCCCCTGAACCCTAAACCCTAAACTGTCATCTCTCGCCGAGAGGGATTGCATGGTCATTAGCTCTCATTGTGTCCGGACCTTCATTGAGTGCCTTTTGTGCTGGCGCAAGCCAGTGAAGCAGGGTTGGCATGCTCAGATAGCAATCTTCGATCCACCAGGGCCCTCGACCGGGCGTGGCTCAAACCCTGCAAGGCCGGCCGCGCCTCCTTTAGGGCAGCAAGAGAAGCAGCAAGCCGTGCTGCGCCTGAGGCGAGGTGTGCGATTGGTTGGCTTGAACCCAAAGTGCACCGAAAAAAAGCGGCCCATGCCCCGAAAATGGGAAAAAACAAAACGAGTCTGTTTCTCAGTTGCTCAGGTCGCAGTTTTTGCAGACAACGTGTTCCTTGATTTGACGGCAAGCTCCGTTTACGCAGTATGTCATGTGCGTGTGAATGTGATTGGTTGGTATGTGATTGGTTGGTATGTGATTGGTATGTGCTTTACTTGGACTCAGTACGGATGGTGATCAACCTCAATTTAAGCACTATCGTGAGCATTCGTGTGAAGGGAACCATGACCGTGGCCCACATACCAGGATTGAGCATGGCACATGTGCTATCATCCTGCCAGATGGCAAGCCTGCAAAACGTGTTGCTGCCTTGGCAAAAACAAATTTGACATTCATGGGCAAAGCAGGTGGACGGCCTAAAGGCCTGCGGCTTGTCTCAGCGACAGGGAAGGTACCGGGCGGCAAGGTCAATCTAGTGCGAGCCACATTTCAGCCAAGATCCTTGCCACAGTTTCGTGAGTTTAGCACATGAAGCGCTTGTACTGCGAAGCATTTCCGCGGCTCGAGCCTCGGGGCGGTTGTGATGTTTAGTTGGTGATGTTAGGGCTGCCTCTGAGAGGAGTCAGGCAAAAAGGCGTTTTATTGGACAGACCATTGCTTCCTGTTACGATACCTGAAGATCCCATCGATTCAAAAACGGCAAGCGAAGCAAACATCTACAGGCCACTGATTTCAAATGTTGCTCATGTAGCTCTGCAACTGCTGCACCTTGGAACAGAAAGCATGGTACTGGGGGTTGGGGCTTCGTGCAAGCCATGTGCTGGGAGTTGCAGGGTGTTGACCCAGATGGCCATTCTGTGGCTGTTTTGTTGCTGGATGCGAACCTTGCCATTGCAATGCAATCCTTGATGCAGTTTGCTGCCTTCAGTCAACACTCAATGGACTGATGGCAGTCTTTGCTTGCATCAGGTTAGACTCCGGAGTAGCTCCTTGCTCGTGAGGGAAAGACCCAGCGCACTTGGAACTAATGTCTAAGTATCAGTGTTGCCCTGGTGGGGGATGGATTTCTCTAGTTGAGACAAACAGCATAGGCTACAGATAATGGAGCCAATTTGAACAGCGTAGCCTTAGCCGCTACCATTCTGAGCAATCATGAGTGCACTTGAACTCAAGACTAGAACCTTCCTGAAGGACATACAGTAGCCCATGTGCGACATGTTCAACACTCAGTCAGTCATTCGCCTGAGGTTGATCGACAGATTTGATGCTCATGTGTGTTTTGCGTTTGCGTGAGCGAGTCTAGATGCAAGCGCTGAGCCCTTGTGCCATGTCAAAGTGTTGGGAGCGATTTGTTTAAATCAGGGCAGGCGTGATAGTTGTAGACTTTGCCAATGACCCCCTAAGACAAACATCTTCTTGGTCTTATGTTTGCAAGCCCTTCCGAGGGCGGGCATTTTTTTGTCACTGACCCAGCACTAGAATATGCTTGGCCAGCGAACTAACTGATTGCGAAGCTGGAAAGGTGGTTCAAGGAGCATGGGATGATGTATGTTTTAACCTTTGTTTCTGATGGTCATGATGCAGTTTGGTTTGATAGTGGCCCACATCCCCATGGTAATTACTGATGCCTTCGTACTTATTAGCACGGTTCTCATGGAGCTCAAGAACCCTCCACGGAAAGCTACATAAAGGAAGCAGCACTCTACCATGCGGGCGACCTCACCCATGAACGTTTCTTTTGGGGATCCTTTTTCCAGGTTTTTTCGACTTCTAAGAGTTCACCTAAGTACAACTTTTTGGCTTTGGCTTCAATCAAGCAGGGCGCCAGGAGAAAGCGACACGTTTTCGGTTTCGTGTTTGGCTGAGGTCACGTAGCTGGGCCAACTCCCTGCACAGAGTTGCAGCATGGCAAAGGCGCGCCGAAACTGGATGCGGGGCACTGGGACTATTTGGCCGAAAGTAGCGGTTGGATGCCAAATAGCGCAGAATCAGTTCCCTTTCCAAAAACCCAAAACGGATGCCCGTGATGTTTCATTTTGCCCAATGGACGGATGAGAAAGCTTGTTTTGTGTTCCAGACCCTCTACTTGACACTTAGGCTGAGTTGACCCGTTCCGCTAATTAGCCGGGTTGTTGGGAACACTGACCCTTGTGTTTCCTCCAAATGACACCCCTAGTTGATTCAGGCTATGACTGCTGATGTTTCTGAAGGCTCAACAGCCTCTGTTGCATTGTGCAGGTACATGTCAATGCCAGTACCCTTTTGGGATGCCTTTGAAGGAACGCCAATGGCATTTGGCCTTTGTTGTGTCCTTTTTGAAGAGACCCTTTCACCTTGTAAATCAACAGGTGAGACAACCCCACCCTACTTGTCTTATTCAGGCGTAGTCCCGCTGAGGCCGCCGAGCCAGCTGAGAAGCCGAAGGAAAAGCCGCTCGGCGATATGTCGAAGGTGAGTTCGTGCTTTTGTGAGGGTACCCGTTTTGGGGTTTGTTTCAAGGGAAACCAATAGGATTTCAACTCGTTTTTGGGGGGCCCTTGTTCTGAGACATACCTATGTGGCAAGTAAGGCCGATGCAGGCGATGGTTTGGGAATGGCTGTTGGCAGGATGCGAGAAATGACATGGGGTCCAAATGGTTTGGTTTGCTTCACAGACAGATGGAGCTTCGATATTTCCTGGCAAGTGGCTGCGAAGAACACCAGGCCCTACAAGCGGCCCATTGACAGAACAGCCTGTAGATATTGTCAATGTTGGCGCCGGGATGGAGGGGCCATGAGTCTTTTTGCTAATGGCCAGCAAGATTGTTGCTTTCGATTGCAAAGCAGCACAAGACAAAGCCAGTTTGACGGGCTGGCAAGGGCTTGTCAGAAGTGACATTTTTGTTTTGACGTGACTTGAGCGAAGCAAGTGCACATTGTCAGAGAATCTGCGAGGCCGTCAGTCGAGGATTGTAGCTGCGCTTGGTGCAAAAGAGTGGCAACCAAGAGGCTTCAAGCTTCACCCTTGTTTATCAGAATCGAATGGCTGTGTTTGGATGCAAGGACTTTTGGGTCTAAGATTCCCACAAGGGAATAAACGGGCGTGACATTGATATGAGCTCCGGCGAATTTGGCAAATAGCTGTTGCCTCAGCTACGCGGTTGTGGCACTTCTAATTTTTAAGAGTTTTCTATGACATGCAATGCAATCGGTTTGCCCTGGCCTCTGCGTGCTTCTCCGGTTTCTTGACATGATAGTTGTTGGGAAGCTCAATTTCAGTGGTCAGTTAGCTCGCACAAGTTTGGGGCAATTCACTTAGAAAGTCCTTCCAGGTGGGCAGATTCAGGGGAACTCATTGGCTTATGCTGAGGGCAGCCCCTGCTGTGGATCCGAATCTGAAGCCCAGCGCAGCTTGGCGAATCTTCTGCGAGAGTTGATTTCTTTCGGGCACCTTAGGTAATGATGTGTTGTCCATGCTTGCCTGTGGGACTTGTCAGTGCTAGCCGTTAGCAATGGGCAAGGTGTTTTTGTTGAAACTCAAAGTTGAAACGGTTTCAAGTCAAGCTCTGCAAAAGTGCGGCGGCCGACCGTTTTTGAGTTCCGACACAGACCAGACAATGGCACTTAAACGAACTAGTATTTCTGTGACCTAAGAGCGCACGCATCGATTGGCCTGGTAGTGCTTGCAAGTAGCTTAGATCAATCCTTCAGAATAGCAGTCCATCCGACAAGCTGCCCACCATTTTTGCGTGGTGAACTTTTGCCTAGATGTAGTTGTTTGTTTTTACTGGGGTGAAGTCGCACATTGGACGGCTGGCATTGAGAAGTTGCCCAGCTTTGGCTGAACATGTGACCGTGGCAACGGAGGATGACAAATGTGTGGTTCCTGAAGAAGCAATAAAGTTGTTGTGTGGTTAAAATGCGTGCATAGTCCAAGCCCTTCCATCCGACTTCACCTCTAGGGTTTGGCACACTGCAAGTGCACAGCCCTAAAACGTTGTCAAGCTCGCAATCTTTCCTGAACCTTTTATGCACCAGGCATCAGCTGTCGGACTTCCCGTCCCACCAAATGTTCCCCTTAAATGATGTTATTGCTTTGATCTGAATCACATCCCCATGAATCACTGTGAGTGATTCAGACTCCATATTCCAGTTTCCACTAGACCCGCCAGGTCCGTACATAGAGAAACCCAGTCTACACCCAAAAAAACATATACATATATATATATACATATATATATATATGGTACAAACCCATGGCCGCGTTTCCATGTTCCCAAGTTCCCGATCCGCCCGTTCGGAGCTTCCGGTTTCCCTTTTGCGCGGATCGGCAGGAGTCCCAGGGCTCCAAGGAGCACGGCACCGGGGAGTGCAAACCTTGCGCCTGGTACTGGAAGCCCCAGGGCTGCCGCAACGGCAAGGACCCCAAGGGACCCGAAGGGACCCGAAGGGACCCGAGGCAACCGGGCGATGAATTCTCAGACCTCTGGCCCGTGGACAGAAAACCAAAAAACGCGAGTCTCGGATGGAGCCTGTGCTAAAGGATTTGCCAAGCATGGTGTAAGCACCAGATTCGATGGGATCCATGCATCGATAGTCACGTGGCCTTGGTGGCAGAAAACATATAGGCGGCTCCTCAATGAATCTGATGGCTGCGATATGTTTTGGGGCCTCCCTTCAAACACCGGGATCAGTTTTAGGTCGCCTCCGATGTCACGAAACAAGCGGCAACGTACAGCAGGCCTTAAGGAGATCCACCCTTTCGAAAAGGGTCTAATATAGTGGGATCCGTTTTGCAACTGCTTTACATAAGGTTCACCAAATAGGAGGCCATAGTCAAACATATCATTCTTGGCAGCAAAAACTGAGGAAATGTAGCCCTGAGAGAATGTGCTGCATCACTTGCCTTGTGGCAGTGCCAGGATTGCGCTCACTGCCACATGTGCGAGAAGGACGAGCTCAAGAATCGGCGGCTGAGCGTGAAGCATCACCTCTTTCCGGTTTGGCGGGGCAGGCGATGTTTGTTTTTGTTTTCTCTGCAAACGCAGACCTCTGGTGGGGGTCCTGTTCCTTCTGGCAACAGGTTTCAAAGTACATCAAAGTACCCCAAAAGCGGGCACCTAGACTATGGGCACTGGTGGTCCGGGGTAAAGCAAGCGGTTTGGCCAGCAAGCCTGAATCATGTCGGCCCCCTGTTCCTTGTATCCTGATAAATCCACTCTTGCGCATAGTGGAGGGCACTGATCGGGAGCCGGGTGGTTGTTGCCTCAAGGACCATTTGTACGCCTGCCGTACCCCTAATGCCGTTTAACTGATCCTCACGAATAACGTATTTATATACACATTATGTACATAGAGGTACATATTCAAGAGAGAGAGAGAGAGAGAGAGAGTCTCGCCAAGAAGTGGATATGGTTTCCCTGGAACTTGGGGTACACCTCTCAATTTTGTGGGCCCCAATATTCCTTAGCTCAAGTACGCCGCACCCCACACTGCGCTCTTCCCCTCAGGAAAAAGCGGAAGGCCAGCAACAAGAAGCCTTCCGATCGAAAGCGGGACTCGGATCGACGGCGCTCCTACACCCCCGAGCGGCGCCGGGATCCTGAGCCCAACGGTGATAGCTACCGCGCCTACTATGAGCGTGCCTATGGCACGCCTCCCCCACATCCGCAGCCCAGCTGTATATGTTCTTTGGTGGGTAAGATGGGTGCCATCTTTGGGCAGCTTGTGCTTTGTTTTGTTGTTCCGTGCGGGTTTCCGGCGCTTCCGGCCGAAAGCAACCAACGAGCAGTAGCCGTGGCTTTTTGTTTTTGCGCTGGCCACTGGCGCCACACGGATCAGGTACTACTACCCTCCTCCAGGCGGATATCCTCCTCCGGGCTACGGCTACCCGCCGCCCGCCTACGGATATTATCCACCGCCGGCCTTCGCGGGGTACCCGCCGGCCTACGGATACCCGCCGCCGGCGATGGCGCATCCCACACCATATGAACGGCCTGCAGCTCGGGACAGGCAGGGCCCAAAGTCGAGGAAGGTCATGACATGTCATTCCCGTTTCTTCCAGATGATCACGAGCTCACCTGGTAGAACGAGCTCCATGATGAAGCTTGCAGCACCACAATATGATTCAAAGGGCTGTTTTGCCCGTCAGGTCCTCCAGCCGCAGCCGCTCGGGCCGCTCGGGCAGTGGCAGCCCGAGCCCGAGCCCGAAGCGGAGGCGCGACTAAGCCTTCGAGGACACTGGGGCTGTTCCAGTGGCTTGCTTTCCTTTGGCTTTGCCTTTGCTTTGGGGAATGTGTCACCTTTGTTTTGCCAAGAAGGGGTTTCCATGTTTTTCCTATGGCCACTAGAGGTCTGGGTTTGTCATCGTACAGGAGAGCCATGGCTTTCATTTGGTTTGCTTGGCGTTTGCATGGCACTGACTATGAGAGTCTTTGTTTTGCGTATGGCAGTAGCAGTGGAGCTGGTTGCTTTGAGCCTTCAGTTGGCCAACAGGAAGAACATTGGGCAGGGTGGCTTCCTTGTGAGTAGATCATCCGTGCTGTTTGTGGAACTCCCCGGCCAATTTACCCGATGAGTGGTGTCAATGGAGCGGCGAAGCAAAGCAGCCGACTGGAAGCCGCGAGATCGCAGTTGGCCGCCAGGAGTTTGATGCTGAAGTCCGATCAAGCGATGAGCGAGCAGTGACTTGTTGCCTCGCTGGTGACCGGTCACGCAGGGACAAGCAATCAAATCTGAGAAGTTGTTTGTTGACCTTTCAAAGCATTGTAGCGGTAGAACCCAAGACTTGATCAGGGCACCTCCGTCACTATAAGATGCATGGCAGCATGAAGAAGCCTCCAAACGTCCAGGACAGGCTAAACGTGCAGCAGCTCCATCGGTTCCCGGTTGCAATTATCCAGCGCGTTACCTGCTGACCAGCGCCTTTGATTGAGGAGATAGCTTGCACCATATTGTTTGCAGAATACTTTCATGATTAGGGCTTCCCGTAGAGGTGATTTCAGGTTCCTTTCAGCAATAGGGCACAGATGGAAGAAATGCTTCCACTGCCCAAGTGGCGTGCAGAGGCGGGGAAAAGGCTGTGAATGCAGCGTGCAAAAAGGGAAGTTGAAGCGCATGCTGTCCTTTGCCGGCAGCGTTAGTTGGCAACCAAGTGCCAATGACAGAATGATAGCCAGCGACATCAACCAGAACTCTGGAACGGAAGCAGTTTGTCAAAACCGGCTGGGCCATTCAGCCACGCATGTTGGTTTCCCTCCAAACGGGTACCTGCAAGAAATCGAAGGCCCTACCCGTTTTGACCTGGGAACCTCCTTTTGGGAGCTGGGGATTTCGGACGGAGTTCGACCGCAGGTTCCTGCGCCATCAGCCTGGCTGTATCCTTCGCGCCCGTATCCCTCGCACGCCTGGCAGTGGGACCGGGGCCACCGGGGGACAGAGGGCTGGGGAAGTGGCGGAAGCTGGAACATCTGGAACAAGAGTAGGCCATAGCGTGTTTGCTTTCACAGCTGTTGGTGTGAGGCCAAATTGAGCTACCCTTCAAACGATTGTTCCCTCAGCAAATCAAAGGCAGTCCTCCTTGACTAATCTGACACGGTTGATACGGTGGCCGCTGGCAACGCGGAAAAGGTTAACGCAAGGAACTGCTGTCGCCAGTCTTGGCAAACATTTTGGCACGACCTCGCTCAGCCAGTAGATTGCCTGGTTGCCCATTTTGCATTGTAAAGTCTGCTATGTCTGTATGGTTCTGCTTATGTATATTTATCATGATTTCAATAGGTCAGCTTTTCCATTAGCCTTTCCGCGAGTATAATATAGTGTCATTACCTCATCACCTACCGCCGTGGAAGCTTTTTGGCGATATGCTGCACACCAGGAGCTGTTGAAGGTAGCGCAGATATTGTTTCCGAGCGAGCCAAGTTCTTCGTGCAACGCTGCAGTGTTCTCGTGTTTCGTGCTTTCTGCTTTTTGCTGCTGCTTGTGACGCCGATTTGGCTGAAGTTGAAACAGACATGTGCTGTGCAGCTACTGGGATGCGGGCAGGAACTGTGTTTTGCTGCCTGCAGGATAGCCCTGATCCATCTCCAAGGCAGGCATTTCCGGGCGATGCGACAAGGGTGGCTACTGTCAAAAAGGCTGCAAGGGTTCATGTGTTGACCAGTGTTGACCTGATCACTTATGTGGCATTTCACTTGATGATACATCCAGACACCTTGCATGGAACCACTGGATAAGTTTGTCAGCACCGAGGATTCCCTTGTGCCCAAAGTTGGTGGCTTCAGCTAGCTGGGCGGCATGCCGACTATGCGCAAGGCAATGCCAAGCGCCTCGCGCGATTCCCATGTCTAAATCTTGATTCCTGATTAAAACTGCGCAGTCGCAAGCCTTTCCCTTTGTCTAGCTACCGTTACCTATACAAGAAGACATGGGGTACTAGTTAAATCTTCGGACAACTGGGGACAGTTTGGGAAGTGTCTATACATTGTATCTGACTTCTCCCTGCCAGCCCCGACCATGCTATTGTGTGTAGCCTGGGCGCGCCCGGCTGCAAGTGCTGAGGTTACCTACAATTGTGCTTTCCTATTTCTCCGTGACTTGCACATAGTCATATATATATAGTAGGTCAAACGCACCAAACCAAAATCCATGGGGGGGTGCTATATCTATATATATATATACATGAAGCGATGTTGTTTTTCAAACACTTTCATGTTCGAGTTTGGGGGCTGTCGTTCGCAACGGCTTTTGCAGGCAGGGAGACCCTGGCTTCCTCAACTATGCGCGAAGTGCGCTGGAGCGATTCAGGCGGGTGGTGACGTCTTCTAGTTTGTTGCTTAGTCTTGCAGCTACTGCAGGTCCATTCCATATCATTCAAATGGCAAACTGCCATAGCTCTTGTAGCGCTTGTGGTTTCAGTGGCCAGATTTGAAAGGCTTTTAGGTCATCAGGCCCAGCTGGGATGCCAAGTCGCAGTTGGCCCGGGCCAGTCGTGCAGGACGTCCGGGGAAGAGGCGGAAGCATTGAAGGGGTCAGATGCGATGCCGCTGCAGAGGTGCGGGAAGGGCTTCAGCCGAGCACCGCGTCAAGGGCTGTCCAATATTTGAGCCCTGCTTGTCCATAACCGGCATGAAGCCAGAGCCAACCAGTCGGTTCGATTCCTGACTCATTACCATGCTGTTGTTTTGATTAGTATGCTTTTGTCAAAGAGTGTTTGTGCTCCCAGTCTCGGGAAGTGCATGCTTCTTTGGACTGCAAGCATCCTGCTGGCTGGTCTCCAGGTACAAGAAGGAGCAACCTTGAGGAGCGCGGCAAATGTTGATTCTTTGAGCAGACTGTTTCTCTCTGTGTGTGTTGACCAAATGTGATGGAGCAGCTGTCACAATGAACTGAATCTGCTTTGGTTTTTGGTAATAAGACTCGCAATGTTGGATAGATGCTTGTTGGGGGCATGGGGTGTTGTTCATCAAAGTTGCTTTGTTTCTGAGACTTGAGGGCCCGCTTGACAAGTGAATACAGATTGGCATTGTGACCAAGTTTGATTGGCCCCAGGTGGAACAGTATATTCACATTTGCGCAAACTGCAATCCCTTTAAGTGTCTCATGTTTGGCAAACCTTCCGTGTCAAATGACATCGTGAACTGTGACCTGCAGATATTTTGATGCTGATTCTTACGGCTGCTTGTCAAACCTAGGAATCCTTCCAAAGACGGTTGGTTTCATGTTGGTTCTTGTCAACTCAGCCCCAGAAGGAACGTCACTACTTACTTTTGCCTATTTGCGTCTCGGACAGTACTCAAGCACGCACATAGTTGACAATCATGTGGCACTCCTGGTCTGAACGTTTTCAAGAGCTCAAACAGTGATGTGGTACCCAGAAGCAACACTGACTCACTAGATTCAAATAGCTGTTCCAGCCAAATAGCTGTTCCAGCCAACCAAAAGCTTTTCATGGAACCTGATTGAGTGTGTTTGTGTTTGGTGCTGTTCACCGGGAAACCAAAAGAAAACCGAAGCCCATGCTGCAGGCTTTGGAGAACCCTTTCCATGGGAAAGGACCTCTTTGCGGTTGGGCTGGCAGACGACCAATGTACAGGTTTCTATCGCGGGAACCATGACCGTTGGCGGAAATATGACCATGGCATACATGCCAAACACAACGTAAGCCGCAGTTCGGCCTTTGGACAAGGCCTTCTTGGTGCCAGAAAGGCCTTTTGAGACAGGTTCCAGCTTGCACTGTGAGCATCCAAAAGGAACCTTGTTAGAGCCTATTTTAATGGTAAACGCTGCGCGTTGCCTGCAAGCAGCAGAGCTGGTCAAGTGGCGATTCAGGCATGCATAGGTTCTTGCGTCGTTGGACCAATTGATGTCATGGGCCCACAGGAATCCCCGAGGCAAGGGCAAGGCGATGCACAGGACCAGGAGTGAGTCATGGAGCCAGCAGACAGGGCGGGCTGGGCTGGGCCTTGCTTGGGTTGGTTGGTGGAGGGCCTGGGCTGGCTGGGCTGAGCCTCGCGGTTGCTGGTTGGGGCGAGTCTCAGGCACTGGGCTGGGCCAAGGCGAGTCTCTAGTCTCAGACAGGTCAGGGTTGAGACAAGGCTGGTTCAGCGAGTCGCAAAAATTTGGCCAGCCGGCTGGCGGGCTTTGACTGGGCGGGCTGGGCTGAGCCTTGCTTGGGTGGGTTGCTGGTTGGCTGTTTTGCTAGTCCCAGACACGTCAGACAGGCCTGGCGTCGGCGTGCGGGGCCGAAGATTGCCTTTAGGATATGAGATCTGAGCGCCCTTGAAGTGGGTGGTCCTACCTGTATTGAAAAGGGGTAGCAAGGGCTATATAAACCTGTACGGGCTCAAAACCAAACTTTAATGGGTTTTGTATGAACGTGTGGGCCACAAAGCCCTTCAAAAACCTTTGTAAAACCAGCCGTCAACAGGGCCACCGCATTTCCTCCTAATCATGAGCAGGAGTTATCCTAACCCTTGAAACACGCAATACTCCTAGCAACAAAAGGCTCTGCCCCTGGCCATGTTGGGGCCTCGCTCGCGCGCGCTGGGAGCTTTCCATGCAGGTATCAGCTCCGGGTGGCCTTCCTGCTGCATCCCTTGTCCCCGCTCTCCCGGCTGCTGGTGGCCGGCAGCCCAGGTTTTTCCTTTTTGGGACACCCCCAAAGCGGTGCCACCAATGGTGTCCCTCGAAAGAAAAGCCAAAAAGTACCCAGGTGGTGGTGGCCCCTGAAAGAAGCGAAGCTCAGCTCCTGAGATCCTGGACTTGAATCTTTTGAGAGGACCAAATTTTAATGTTAAATTCCAACAAAAATGGACTTTTGTTTTTTGCCATCCACGGAAGTGAGGAAAGGGTACCCTCACAAGAACACCCCTGCGGCTTGGACCGGAAGTCTGCGGGCGCTCAAAAATATGGGGGGCTGGTGACTGGTGTGTCTTTGTTTGAGGGTACCCAGGGAAGTTAGGGCGAAACCCAGTTTGAGCGTTCCATGACCCACTTCCAATGCCAGACCTAGCTGTATTTCTACTTGGTTGTTCTTTTCCTAACATGTTCCCTTTGAACCAGCACTTAAATGTTCTTTTTCCGACAGGCCAACCCCCCCAGCTGTTTGGGGCTCAAGCCCAGTTTGAGGCTTCCATATGCCACTCGATCCCCGGAGGTCCACGCCACCGGCTCCGGCAAGACGCGCACGGTGCTCGCCGCCGCGGACTCGCCAAGCTCTCAGAGAGCCCTCTTGAAACCTCCCCGAGGCAGTCCTCAACGTGGTCCTTTAGACTTTTTGCAAGAGGTGTCTAGCGAAAAAAAATGAAGCATAAAAGATTCCCTTAATCCCTTTAAATACTAAAAAAGCAGGTAAACCAAACAAAAACAAGACTCGCTTTGACAGAAGGATGGCCTTTGCCTTTGGAACTCTCTTTAAGCCGGAGGCTTCCGGGCATCGCCATGTCACACTTACAATGCCTTGCTGTGGTTTGGCAAGTTCTCGATGCGTCTTATAAGGCAGTGCCCTAGATGGTAGCTTTCCCTGTTTTTCTTGAGCACATATGGGGTCTGGTAGAACCTTCAACCAGATTATGGGGGATGGTCGCGATGGATTCCAATCTGTTTGTCCTGCGACATCACCCAAAGTTGCCTTCCCACTTTTAGTCTCGACGATTGGAACATTCTCAAACATGTATGGTGAACAAGGCAACATTTGTTTATGCGGTGTCCACGAAAGGGTCCCCGGAAAGATCTCTCCCATGAGAGTGCTTTGAAGGTAGGTCGGTGCCAAGAGTCATGGAGAAGGGTCAAACATCTCTGTGTTTCATGGAGGGAGGAGTTATTGTGTCATGTCAGTCAAGTTTTCTTGATTGTATTATTTTCCCAGGCTGAACATGTGCGTCAGCTGTTTTGGGGGAAGGCTGTGGCTACTCTGGATGGACGCCGTCAATGATTTGCGTGCCAACACTTGTAGTGCCAATACTGGGCCAGGCTTGAATCCGTTCCTTGAGTAATCATGTATGCAACCTTTGTCGGAAAGGATTAGATTTGGTCCATCAGTGGGTTGCTTCACTCTCACTGGTTCGGAATCTGCACGCTCACGCTGACTTGCCCGCCCCACACGCGGTAGCTGCTCTTGCGACTCGCCCTATGCTGCGATACCCTCGGACACCCCGCCTACGTCCTGCATGCCCGGGAGTAATAGGAACATTGCTTTATGTTTAAAGTAGGGCATGAGAGCTTTGTTTGGAGCAGGGGCTTAGTTCTCAACCAGAAGCAAACTACATCTAGCAATGCAAGGCCAAGTCGTCCAACAGACTTACTTTGTTTGCCTAAAGGTAAAGCGGAATGTGGTTGTTGTCTCTGTATGTGAGTGTGCGGTGTTGTGTGTGTGTGGTGAATTTTGTGTGCGTGTGTGTGCATTTGTTCAGACATGATATTATATATGTCAAATGTATACATGATACCCAAGCGTATTACCTACTTACTTCTGTACAGCCGTCTCCATACAAGAAGGCAGGCTTATCCAATGGACAACCCGGAGCATGTTGCCAAGGTTCTACCGTTCTGGCAAAGCAACATGCCTCTTCTTTCCAGAGGAAGCTGTGAAGGAGAATTTCTATCAGGACAGCAGCGACGGCCTGTGATTGCATTCAGAGAGGCATGCAAAGGCCCAGGTGCCAGGACAACTATATAATGGTATGGAGAAGGCAAATTTCCTACGTGACTCAATCAAATGGGAGCATGTCACTTTGTTTGTTTGTTTGTTGTTTGTTTGTTTGTTTGTTTGTTTGTTTGTTTGTTTTTGATAGACTTCGTGTAGACAATCGTTGGAGAGTTGATTTCGTTCCTTGGAAACACCATTGAATCTTATGAAGTCGAACAACGACATTCCACTTAGCTAATACCGTTGTGGATGTTCCACGGATCAAGAGGCAGTAGCGGTGCCATCACTGGCTCAAACATTGTGTAAAGCTGATCCCTCATGTTTCACACCGCCATCATTCTGCGTCTCAAGGGATGCATTGGTTCTGCTCAGGGGGAATGGTGCACATGGATATGGCATGGGCTACAGGTATCTATGGCTGCCGTGAGCTTGTTGGGCTTCCCCGACCGTGTCACGAACTCCAGGATTCTGACAAGCGGTCCCTGTGAAATGGGTCTAGATGGAAACAAAGTGCAATCGGATCCGGGTTTGGCCGCTGCACTTTGTGAATGTATGTGTGCTCAACAGAGACCCCAACTCGTGACACAGGGCCTTGCTTTAAGGAGATCCTGAAATTTCCGGGCGCTTGGCGGGACTTCTTCTGCGCCTGCTGTGATGTGCCGAACTGGCGGCAGAGGCAAGTCGCTGCCATGTGCCGTTGTGTTTGCAGTTGGCTCGCGAGCCTATGGTTTGGCCGGGGGGAGGGGGGTGGTCTTTTGTTGTTTTTTGAATTCACTGGTGGAGCAATTAAACCTCTATGCCCAGCAAGAGGATGTTCATATAAAATGTGTTGTTTGGATAAACCAACTTGTTTGTTTCCTCCCAAACAATACACATGGCTGGTCGGGAGCAAACGGCTTTTCGATTAAACCTGCAAAAGGTTAGGCCTGTTAATCAGGGGAAGAGCAACTCAGCAAAAAGACACATGTTTCGGGAGGCGTCTCAAAAGAACACTGCCAAACTGCATTTCAGAGTGTGCACCTACGCCCCAATCTGGCAGAACAACGTATTTGCTGATTTTGCAGAGTCTTACACATCATGTGGGATGCATGATTTGCAATCCTGCCGCATTTGGTGGTTTGCTGGTATCTTGCAAGACACGCGGAGAACAAGTTGGACATGAATGACAGCTCTGGACATACAACCATATGATGTTTCCTCAGGTATGCTGATGCAACAATTCTGTCTACTAAAGAGAGCTCGCCACGGTATTGGTGCCAGGCTTGCAGCTTGGGCGCGTTAAAGCAAGCAAAATGGCTGCTTATTTAGCCCACCATCTTCCAACATTTCGACTGCCTCTCGCTGCACTGCAGAAGATCATGGACCCCTCATGCTCGTCACCTGTCTCCAAGGAATGTCGTGGAGGTACCATGTCTGGAGGGTTTTCGTGGAGATCAAGGACGGTTTTTGGTGCCAAGCCATGAACCAAAATACGCACTTTTCTGGCTCCAAGGAAAAAACTAGGAGATCATGCTGCAGTGTTGTTTATTGGGGGCTTCCTGTTTAGAGACCACTTCCGCAGCTTCTGGACCGTGAATTGTTTGCTTTACTTTTGCAGGAAACAAGAACGTCTGGGCATGTCTGGCCAATCCACTCGGGGAGTGAGACAACTTCTCATGGCGCCTTTACACGGGTTGCCCGAGGCGGCACCGCTCCTGGTGGCCGGAGGAAGTGGCCCAGTATAGCCCCGCAGAGGCACAGGGCGCGAGCGTCGGAACGGCGGGTTTGTGGCGCATTCCCAAGATGAAGCTCTGGAGGAGGTTCCAATTGTTTTACACGTAGCGTGCATTTTTTGTGATGGCAGATGACCATTAACATGGATCACGAGCCGTTGTCGAAATGTGGATGTTTTACAGATTCCCGACTATATAACTAGCTCAACTGTGTCATTTGCAACATGGATGAAGCTTTCCTGCTGGAAAACTGAGCTCAAGACTGGATCTCAAGAATTACAGGTCTCATCTCCAAGACTTTGCTGAAATTCGCATGTCGTGTCTTCGACAGGTTGTCACGAAAGCATAGCAAAGGGTGCGTCCGAAATGCGTGTGGCCTGTTTAGTTGGTCGTACTTCGCGCAAAGGCGTTTGTGTTGCACGGATCGTGCACGGGCGCACACACACACACACACACCCACACCCACACCCACACAAGCACCCACGCGCGCACGCAAGCACCCACACGCACACACACAAACCACACAAGCACAATCCACACCCACACCTACACCCCCACCCACACCACGCGCACGCACGCACATACGCACGCACCCACGCACGCAAGCACCTACACACACAAACACATGCGCGTCGAGAGCTTGTGCGCAACTTACACTTGCACAAGGCAGACTTGCTTAGACTCTGCACGTGCAGAGCGCATACTTGCTCGGCAGACTTGTGCAGCAGATGTGTGAAGCAGGCGTGGGAACCGCACTTGTTCGTTGTTGTTTTTTTTCTCACAGAAAGTGGCAGCAGACATGCTAAAATTGCCTTCATCTCCACAGGTTGCTTTGGCGCTGTGCCCTCTTCTATTTCTAGCTGTTGGGTGTGTGTGTGTGTGTGTGTGTGTGTGTGTGTGTGTGTGTGTGTGTGTGTGTGTGTGTGTGTGTGTGTGTGTGTGTGTGTGTGTGTGTGTGTGTGTGTGTGTGTGTGTGTGTGTGTGTGTGTTTTACCAGTTTCTCAGGCGGGGTATCTTGACCGCTTGGATGGTTGCTGTTCGTCTATGCGTGCGATCCATCATGGTCGTGGGAAAATGTGTTTTTATGGAAACTTGTTGTGATACTAAGGAAACACACACAAACAAAGAACACCCTTTCAAATCACAAAGTAGCCGGGATGGGAATCCAACCTTGGTAGGTGAATTTCCAACAACCATGGACTGGCTTCATCGACGTTATTGGTTTGTTTGTGGCTAGAAAATGTTTCATTGGGTTCTCGAGCAATTCGTTGTGAGAATCAAACTCCCAGCCAATTGTGGCCTTTCGGTTGCAAGAACTCCATGGGTTCAGCGCCGGCGCTGGTCTTCGACCAGGTAGAGGCGTGTCTGGGCATGGAGCGGAAGATCCGCCTGGGCTGTATCGCTGGCAGCTTCATTGAGGCGATGTTCCCGGGTCTGAGACATCAACTTTCCTCTAGTTAATGGTTTGGATTGGCGGTTCGGAGGTCAGGGGTGGTTTCTCTTTTGCCCTCTGCGAGAACCAGGGGTTCAACTCCCCAAACCACCAAATTCCAAACAGCCAACTGCGGGTTACCTCCAGACAGGGTTCCCTATATGCGTCAAGATAGGGACCTCCAACATGGTGGCTTTTCTTTGGTGTCCCCCATCAATGGTATCTTGAAAAGGCACACACCCATGTCAATGTCCCGTTTGGTTCGTTTAATCATGGCCAACTTAACGTGAGCTTCCTTTTTGTGGGGTGAGGTTGAAAGAGGCAATGGGAACCTCGTAAGAAACCACACTAGCATCATCTTCCAATTTTCGGCAGTTGTTTCCTTAGATTGGTCCTGGCTCGGGGGTGGCTCTTCGCGGTCGTTTGTTGACATAGGACCCTTCGCTTTGGGGGAAACACCCGGGTTTATTGGTTGAATAGGGCATGTGTGCGTGTTTTTTGTTTTGAGGGCATCCTTCACTTTTTGAACTCAAGCCTTCCGCGCGCAGCACTCAGCCTCTCAGTTCACCGCGCTCCGGCGGCATTCGGCTTCTGGGTTGTGCCTCGGCACACAACTGGGAGAAATCTTGTCAACTGGCATGCACATTCAATGGGCACAGCGATTCTGTATAACGTTTTTATTGGCTCCTTCTGCGACCCAGCCAGGTGTTCCCTTGCATTGTGGCAATACAATCAGATGTGGAGAAGAGGGCGAGGTTGATCTAGTTGATATGTGACCCAAAACGGCGCAGCCACAGCCCTTGCTATCAATTTTACTAGCCCACCCCTCTATCCTGCTAGGCCAGCGCGGACGTGAGTGTGACACGACAAACAGAGTCTCGATCAAACTTCTGCTGAGTATCATCAGGTCCCAAGCCCGCTTGATCACTCTGCGGGTTTGTCTCAAAGTCGGGCACGGAACCTCTAAAATGGCCGTGCTTCCTTTGTTTTCTCTCCAATACAACACCACAAAGAGCACCAACTGCCAAAAGACTAAGCCTTGCCTTTTTGATCGGACCCTTCTTGGTAGGTTTTGTTGCAAGTGCCTTTTTGATTGGACCCTTGGCAAGTTTTGCAAAACCAACCGGATACCCAACCCAGGTGGCCCCAAACACGCAGGAGTGGTCCAGACTGCACCCGGATGTGCCGCCTCCCCTGGCTCCTCTGAGAGCCTTCAAGTACACCGCCGCGGGCGGCTCGCGCGGAGGACTCCCTCGAAGTCGAACGAAAGCAACGGCCGGGGGGTTCGGGGTTCGGGTCCGAGAAAATGAAGCGGGCGTTTTATTTGCGTTTTATTTGCGTTTTAGTGTAGACCGTGATGTTCTCCTTCCCAGTGCCCTAAGGCTTAGGCCTTGCAGAAAACCATGGGCTGCCTTGTCTTCACTCACAGGATGGAAGAGGAACGGCGAGTTTGAGCCCTCCAGGATGGACAGTGTGCCGGGGATCCTCAGACCATTGGACTGGGTTCAGGAAATAATCAGTTTTTCAGAGTTGCTTATCTTGTGTGCGGATGCCATTTTGTTAGTAGCTTAGGACAGGGAGGTCTAAATTATCATTGTGGTTAGCAGATTTCCGGGAACGCGCCACAAACGAGGGGTTTTGCCAGAAGCATGTGTCCAGTGGCAACCTCTGCGAATCTCGCTGGAGAGTTCACATTTTTGCCAGGAGCTGTAATCTGAGGATCTGTATTGGCAATTAGTATTTTGCAGTCCTCGGTATTCACAGGGGACTGCGAATGCCATGTAGCAAATGAGGCGTTGAGCGACAAAAGCTTGAACAAGGATATCAGCTCATAATGTCATAGCGTGACTTGTTGCACGTAGCGTGAAGCACCGGGCATCAGACAGCAATAGCTCTACTATGACAAGTTGATCTTGTTGCGGGGTTGCAATGCTTCTGCACCAAGTTTCCAGCATTCACTGGGCAGTTCTTTGGTGCGTTGGCCTACAAACCTTTTGACACTTGTTGGTTTCCCTTCCTGAACGAGCGCACTCCAAACTGAGCACGCCCGAAGGTTTCGCTTCGGCTTCGATGGGAAGAACCCCATGAGCAACAAGAACCTGGTCTTTGACGAGGTTCACAACATGCTGGCGCTCCCCAGGCCGGACCCGCGTAGACCCGCGTCTAGTGGCGTGTGATCAGTTTCAAGTTAATCCGAGGGACGGTGCTAGGGGCTTGGTTGGGTGGGAGTTGCAGTTGTTTAGAGTGCTACTGTTTCAATCCTGGCTGTTGCGGGAAGTTTGCAAACATCAGATATTCAACAACGCGTGTGACAAGCCAATTTGTTTCAGGGACGGCCAGATTCGGCCAGTCAATGCCCAAGGAGTGCATTATAGCAAATTGGTGTGCCAAATGAGTAACGATGTTCAACGTGTTGAACAAACACTCATTTTTTGCAAATCAGAGTGACCTAGTTTGACTCAGAAATTATTGTGGATTTGAAATGCAGGATTCGCTTGGTGGCTGCAAGGATATCCAGGCATGCGTATGCATCGCCCAGAGTTTTGGAGCGACTGCTTACCCATTTTGCTCAGCCGGTTATGTTTGTACATTATGCCTTACAGGGAAGAGTGTTCACCGATCACCGATCCCCACCCCCCCTCAGAAATCAATGTACAATAGAGGGACCTTCATCTTTGAGAAAACATATGGAGGACGTGGGTACGCGTGTCCATGATATTTGACTCTTGGATCAAATACACACTTGACACCATGATCTGGAAGCGTTGCCATGATTCTTTTAGTACAGCCGTTGTCCACTTGGTACACAGATAGAATACAGCCACACCTTCGACGCCCGTGGCAGGTGGAAGGGCAACTACTGGAAGGCCTGGCCGGGAACGACCTGCATGCGCAAATTACATGCTTCAAATCGCAGAAAAGGTAATTTCTATGTTGCTGATATCAACTGTGGAAATGATCTCGTTTGTGAGGCATTCATCATTTTTGACCACCATCGTTTTCGAGTTGTTTGTCCCTTTCGCAAAACCTGTGCACTTGCACCAGCTAAAAGTAATCGTCTCTGTCGATGAACTGTTGGAGATGTTCACTACTTGTTTGCTCTCAGAAAGACCGACGCCTGTTTTTTCCCTCAAGCGCCCGGTCTTCATGTGGCAGTCACTCACTTGTCTAAAGGCGAGAATCAAGTCCAATCCACGAGGGATGTGCCTTTGGACTTGGCCACGGTTATCCCGATGCAGACTCTTGTGTCTCTCTGGGTCTTCTGCGCAGGAACCGTTGCGGAGGTTGCGCAAGGTGGGGCAGGTTTCGTTTGGTTCAGTCGACCCAAGGGGTTAGAAGATTGGGACTGCTGACGACAAGTGTTGCCCTGTCTCCAACTGTTTACCTTTATTCCGAGCTTTTGGGAGTAACCCTTTCCTGTTTGAAATTGGCAGAAATCTAAAGACGGCTGGCGTGATGTGTCCCTTTGTGATTTGGAAGGCTGGCTGCGATGATGTGTCCCTTTGTGTTTTGGAAGGTTGGCTGCGTTTGATTTTTTGGGCTGGGCTAGCAATTTCAAGCTTGCAACCAGCCATGACAAGTGATTCAACCAATCCGGAGAGCACACTCATTCCAAAGAGCCTGGCCGCAGAAATCCACAATGAATCAAAGCCATTGCCGAGCCGTGCTTTATTTTGAGAGGTCCTAGCCCGAAAACCCTCGCACCCAATGAGAGGAGTAGCAGTGTTGCTCCAATCAAAGTCTGCATAGGAGCGGACATTGGAGGTGTGATATGGTCAATTTCATTTGTTTCTCCTTCCAACTGGGCACCTCAACTGGGCACCAGCCAGAAACTGGCAAGGCCATGTAAGCCAAAGAGGGCAGAGGAAACTATGCCATGCCTTGTCAAAAAAACAACTGGGCACCCAGCGGATGCAGCTTGGGGAACTTGGCCACGGTTCCGCATCTTTGGGTTGAAGACAGCCTCGCTGCGAGCGAGGCCGTGGCATCCTGTCACGGCTCCACTCTGGACCGGGCACCTAGAGACCGGGCTCAGATCCGTGCTGCACCACTTTGCGGATGTTCACCATGCTGCAAAGAAGCAAAGGGAGCAAAAGAAGCGAGACTGAGAGAGAGAGAGAGAGATAAAAGCAACAAAGTAGCGAACCGTTTGACACTTTGTGCCGCCCCCTATTGTTTCCTTTCTGTGTTATTCGTTGCTTTGTTTGTTCCTTCCCATAATCTTGAGTGCCTTTCTGCCACACCATTTGTTTGACGTCCTTCTGTTGGTCATTCTTTGTCTGCCGCTGATCAGGGTTAGGCGAACTTGTGGTTGACTCAGGTTTAAGCCGCTCACCTGCTTCTGGTTTTCCTTCAAAGGCCGTGGTGCCAAAGAACCGAACCATCCGATCTTCTTCGAAGATGCAAGCCCTGCGCTGCAAATCGCAGTGCCCCACGTGGTGTGGAACAATACAAACTGCCTGGCCTAATGCCGCCCAAGGCTCAACACACACACACACACACACACACGCACATATATAGATACATAAATATGTATAAGTAGCAGCTGTTCACACCCTGCCACGTAAGCCGCTACATAATCATGTGTGCGACTTGCGAAACCATCTTTTGGTAAGTGTCATCATATGATACGTATGATGGCTCTCTGATCGGGAAAACCACGAGCAATATTGACCACAGGTTGCTTGATCAACAGCTGTGTTCGCAACTTAAATTTTGCGCGCAGGGACGCATATGTGAGTCTGCGGGAACGGACAAAGGGCTCCAAAAGAGCTTGTTGACTGTGCGGGTAACACGATTGCAGCAAAGAACAGGTGCCCAAACAATTGCACGACATGCAAATGTTGGGCAAGTGCATGAAAGCGCATGGAGCCTTCAGCATCCTTCAGCATCAGTTTTCTTGCCTGCGCAAGCCTGGTGTACATCAAATGGTACACCTAGAGCATCCCTCAATGAGAGGGTACACAAAATCCACGGCCTTGTTACAAAGGGTAGGGTATGTAGCAGGGTATGCAACAGGGCACATCATGGGATATGTAAGCCATGCCCGGCTCTTCTCATCCACTCGAACAATCACGAAAAACCATATTCCTGGACCGTATTTGTCAGATACTGTCAGTGGCTATGCTGAACTAGTAATAGCAATCATACGGCCAACAAGGGTTGCATCTGAGAATGTCAAACCATACTGTGCAGCTCAGATTCCACCTTCACATGCAATGGGGCTAGAAAGGATCAATTCGTTGCCCAAGCCCGGCGATTCAAATTATCTTCAATTGGATAAAATGAATTAGCGATAGATACTTTGTGACAAATCATTTAGTATTAACCAGGCTCCCGCCTGCTGCCGCCGACCCTCGGCGCATTAAGGGAAAAGTCACAAGGACCGGTCCTGAAACACGTCCGCAAACCCAGGGACCACTTATAAGATCCTCTACGACCACAAACAAGGATTAACGGAAAAGTCAGAAATAGGGCAGCTAGTCCGTTAATTACCGCTTGGGCCGGCTTGCGCCCAAGTCACTTCGAGTTGGCCCGGGAGCAGTCGCCTCTCCCGGGGTCGCCCTGAAACTGGCCCTCCCGAAGTTGACCACAAACAAGGATTAACGGAAAAGTCAGAAATAGGGCAGCTAGTCCGTTAATTACCACTTGGGCCGGCTTGCGCCCAAGTCACTTCGAGTTGGCCGGGAGCAGCTGGACCCGGTCGCCGGCAGCAGGCTGGTCCCAGTCTGGCGCGGTTTGACTTGACGTATTGGACTCTCTTGCAGAATAGATCCAGGGATCCTCTACTACCACAAGGACGTCAGTAAGACCAGTCCCAGGACCAAACCCCGGTCCTGGGACTGGTCCCAGGACCGGTCCCAGGACCTGGTCCCAGGACCGGTCCTGGGACTGGTCCCGGGACCGGTCTTGGGACCGGTCCCGGACCGTTGGCAGGACCGGTTTTGGCTGATTAGAAGTTTTCTGAAACAGCAGAACCACTGGTCCAGGACTGGTCCCAGGACCGTCCCGGGACCGGTCCTGGGAATTGACTTTTTGTGGGTTCGGGTGTGTTTATGCAGGGACTATCATTGATTCCAATCTGCCGACCCTCTGCCTCCCGTCCCAGCCTCCTGCAGAGGGGACCGGCGTGGGATGCAACTGGAAGTGATTGGAATCAATGATAGTCCCTGGGGGACACGCCCGAACCCACAAAAAGTGGATTCCCAGGACCGGTCCCGGACCGGTCCCGGCACCGGTCCTGGGACGTCCTGGGACCAGTCCTGGGACCGGTCCTGGGACTGGTCCTGGGACCCTGGTTCTGCTGTTTCAGATTACTTGTAGTCAGCCAAAACCGGTCCTGGGACTGGTCCCGGGACCGGTCCCAGGTCCTGGGACTGGTCCCAGGACCAGTGCCACAACAGGGGTTTGGTCCCAAAACTGGTCTCAGAACCAGTCGGACCAGTCCTGGGACCGGTCCTGGGTGACAGGACCAGTCCTGGGACCGGGATCAAGTCCTGGTGTGACCGCTGGTATTGGGTCCCAATTCAAACTGCTGTGCTGCCACCTCAAACCGCTCCAGACACGTTTGCGGACTGGCACCCAGGACACTGGACAGGGTCCCAGGTCGTCACTCCCTGCGACCAAACCGGCCCGTGCGGTTATTGACGTCCTTGTGGTAGTAGAGGATCCCTGGATCTATTCTGCAAGAGAGTCCAATACGTCAAGTCAAACCGCGCCAGACTGGGACCAGCCTGAAGTCCCGGTCCCTGCCGGCGACCGGTCCAGGGCAACTTCGGGCCCGGCCAACTCGAAGTGACTTGGGCGCAAGCCGGCCCAAGCGGCAATTAACGGACTAGCTGCCCTATTTCTGACTTTTCCGTTAATCCTTGTTTGTGGTCAACTTCGGGAGGGCCAGTTTCAGGGCGACCCCGGGAGAGGCGACTGCTCCCGGGCCAACTCGAAGTGACTTGGGCGCAAGCCGGCCCAAGCGGTAATTAACGGACTAGCTGCCCTATTTCTGACTTTTCCGTTAATCCTTGTTTGTGGTCGTAGAGGATCTTATAAGTGGTCCCTGGGTTTGCGGACGTGTTTCAGGACCGGTCCTTGTGACTTTTCCCTTAATGCGCCGAGGGTCGGCGGCAGCAGGCGGGAGCCTGGTTGGTCACTTCCAGTTGCATCCCACGCCGGTCCCCTCTGCAGGAGGCTGGGACGGGAGGCAGAGGGTCGGCGGATTTATTCCACATTGTTGTCGCTCTCTTAAATTAATAAAAGTCTGACGTAGATTGACTGCCATTCAGATGGCCAGAGAATCGCCTTTTGAGGTCTTCCTTACCGGCAGCCCTGTGCAGACGGACGCAGAAGACGGCCAGCGCCTGCTGCCCTGCCGGCGGCAGCTTCAGTGTTCCGTTGCCTGCAGCCAGACTGAAACCCAGACTGTTTGGTTCCCCAAATGCAATGTGCTTAAGTCTACCTCGGGGGTAAGCAACAATTCAACGCTTTCAGTGTAGAGCAAGGCAAACCGGGGAGCACCCTTCGTGGTAGAAAAGGGAGGGGCTTTCAATCTTCTATGTTGTAGTGGGACAACACATCATTTTGCCAGTTCTGCTCATTTAGGTTGCACGGTGCTTATGTCTTCTGTCAGCAAGAACCTGCGAAGCAGGGCCTCATCTGAACCTGTCTCGGAACTTCTCAGAACCCCCTGCAAGATTGAATGTGTGGGCCCTAAGAGCCCTTTCCAACTGCTAAGTTGTCCTAGGAACCTCTCATTTGATTCACGGTTCTTTGGGCTCGAGACGGGTTTGGATTGAGTTGAGTGCGAAGAGATGCTTCGAGTGAGTGTCTCACTCCCCAGCGGCTGTGGTGAGACCTTATCGTGTCCGGAACTCTCCACGGTTGGCGACTTGAAACGCTTGGCCGAAACGTCCTTGGGAAAAACGTCTCTGAAACTGGTCACGGCTGAGGGACATGTCCTGAACCTGAGCGACTCGTTGCAAGCGGCTGGTATCCGAGAAGGGCAACACCTGGCTGCCATTGCAACTGTAGAGGAACCAAAACTGGCAGCGACATTATTTGCTTTCGCGGCCTACAGAGGTGACCGGGTCGTGACCTGGGGTGATCCATGGTGTGGGTCTGAGAGTGCTCATGTTGAGGATGAGCTCAGGAATATCGTGCAAGTTCAGGCTACAGGTGATGCTTTTGCAGCTGTCTTGGCCGATGGATCAGTCGTCACCTGGGGTGAGACTGACCATGGTGGCGACACCTATGAAGTTCAAGATCAGCTGAAGGATGTGAAACAAGTTGAGGCTACTCAAGATGCATTTGCCGCCATCCTGGCCGATGGATCAGTCGTCACCTGGGGCCATTCACGCTTAGGTGGCAACAGCTCTGCAGTTCAAGATCAGCTGAGGAATGTGCAGCAAGTTCAGGCCACACTTCGTGCATTTGCCGCCATCTTGGCCGATGGATCAGTGGTCACCTGGGGCGATCCAGACAACGGTGGTGACAGCTCGGCAGTCCAAGATCAGCTAAGGAACGTAGAGCAAGTTCAGTCCACAAATGATGCATTTGCTGCTATCTTGGCCGATGGATCGGTCGTCACCTGGGGTGAGCCTAAACACGGTGGTGACAGCTCTGCAGTCCAAGATCGGTTGAGGAACGTGCAGCGAGTTCAATCCAACCGGGGGCGTGGTGATGGTAGGGAAGGTGCATTTGCTGCCGTCTTGGCCGATGGATCAGTGGTCACCTGGGGCGATCGACGCTTTAGTGGTGACAGCTCGGCAGTCCAAGATCAGCTGAGGAACGTAGAGCAAGTTCAGGCCACAAGCGATGCATTTGCTGCCATTTTGGCTGATGGATCAGTCGTCACCTGGGGGACTTCAAGCGAAGGTGGTGACAGCTCTGCAGTTCAAGATCGGCTGCAGAACGTGCAGCAAATTCAGGCCACATGCGGTGCATTTGCCGCCATCTTGGCCGATGGATCAGTCGTCACCTGGGGCGATGCAGATGCAGGTGGTGATAGTTCTGCAGTTCAAGATAAGCTGCGGAACGTGCAGCAAGTTCGGGCCACACTTCGTGCATTTGCCGCCATCTTGGCCGATGGATCAGTGGTCACCTGGGGCGATCCAGATGCAGGTGGTGACAGCTCTGCAGTTGAAAGCCAGCTTTCGCTCTTGTAGTCTACTGCAATGCAATGATGTTGAGCATGGGCAGGTGCAAGTGACGTTCTCAATCGCAACAGCCGTTATTGATGCCGCAAAAGAAGGGACAGCAAAGCGCCTTATTTTTTGTTTTGTGTCTTACTGCTGTAGCTTTGCTATAGCCTTGTCGCGTCGGTCCTGAAAGCAAAAGCTGGATCACCAGCACCAACACCACCACATACCACCACCAATACCAACAGCAACAATAGCAGCAAACACGAACGACACCGAGATATTCACTGGGAACCAGGGGGATTGCTCCCTATCGCCGGATGTGCCAGGCGAGTGCTGAAGGGGAAGGAGCACAGTGACAAGGGACCAGAGGGCTGGCTTGGATCCTGAGACCTCGAGCCACACGGGGTCCATTTTCGGCAGTAAAGAATGCCTGGAATCCGCAAAGTTGGATTTCAATGCCAACGATCCTGCTGGCTTCTACGGTGTGTGCTAGTTTTGAAGGGGGGCGCTAGCGTTTGAGATGGGATCTCCAAAGCCTTGGCAGAAGTTAGTCGGATCAAACCACGAAACTGAGGTTTCCCAAATTTGTTGTTGGCTGTTGATCGTGATCGTTGCATGGCATCGTGTCAGGGCGAACTGGTTGATGCCACTTCAAGGAAGTCGAGCAACCCCCAACAGTGTGCAACAGCCTTCTTGAGAGGGTCCCTTGATTCCCCTGGTAGATTATCTAATGTTGGACCGCGATTTGCCAGCTGGGCAAGCTGCCACCCGGGCAAACGGCCACTTGGGCAAACATGGGCAAACTGTTAAATGTCGTGCCGGTATGCAGCGCCACCGATTGCAAAGAAGTCTCTGGGAGCATCAACGGGCTCCCGAAATCTGCTTGAAGAAGAGGATAAAGTAGTAAACTCGATTTTATATATCTAGCCATGTACTGTATTTCAGAAGACTTAAAGTGTGAACATGGCTAGGGTCACCTAGGGTCCACTCAGTTCCTTTTGAGCCATGTTTGGATTCCCATTTCATCGGCTGCTTTGGGGGGGCTCCATAAACTCAACATGAGCTGGGGCACTCACCTGCAGCAGTTCCCATATGGAGCTGCAGGTGGTTGATCCGTTCAAAGGCAATCCTTAGTCATTTCCTGAGCCTACCACGAGGCTGGATGTGCACATGGAGCGCCCTGCGGAGCACTTTCCAAAGGCTCTGCAGAGCACTTGAAGCACTTGACTTCAAGAACATCTGCATTCGTGCAAGCAAACTCGACATCGATCCTTTGTTTGTTTGTTTGTTTCTTTGTTTGTTTGTTTGTTTGTTTTCAGAGCCCTACTTTTGGGGCACTGTGTGTTGGGAAGGTCCCACAGCCCAAATTGGATGGTTCTCCGGTTCGAAAGGGCCGTTGCGGCCTTGGGCGAGTCACGGCGAAAGATTGTGTGCGTACTCTGCAAAGTGCGTGGCATAAATTCAGCACGTTGCGTTTGTGCAGTAGAGAGAATATGGGTCAGAGAGTTGCAGTGGTTCAAATGCCATAAATTCGACATCGATACAGGAGTCAGAGAGTTGCAGTGGGTTCAAATCAATCATTGCCGAAGCCCGTATGCTCCCGTGGCTAAGACACATAACCCTTACACGCCAAAAGAGCCTTCTGACCAGGTGTACCCACAAGGAGTGCCAGACCGGCCTTTGTGCACGAAGCTCAGACACTGCCAACATTAGAAGTCACTCACATGGCTGCGGGGTTCCTATGAGCCCGCAAGCTTCCTCACGGAAAGACCTTTAGGTCGGACACCGTATGAATGAAATGAATGAATGAATGAATGAATGAATGAATGAATTGAATTGAATTGAATTGAATGGAATGGAATGGAATGGAATGGAATGGAATGGAATGGAATGGAATGGAATGAATGAAGGAATGAATGAATGAAATGAAATGAAATGAAGTCAAATTAATGAAATGAATGAAATGAATGAAATGGATGAAATGGAATGAAATGAATGAAATGGAATGAAATGAATGAAATGAATGCATGAATGAATGAATGAATGAATGAATCAATGAATGAATGAATGAATGAATGAATGAATGAATGAATGAATGAATGAATGAATGAATGAATGAAATTAATGAATTAATGGAATGGAATGGAAAGGAATGGAATGGAATGAAATGAAATGAAATTGAAATGAAATGAAATGAATGAATGCATGCATGCATGCATGGATGGATGGATGGATGGATGGATGAATGGATGAATGGATGAATGGATGAATGGATGAATGGATGAATGGATGAATGGATGAATGAATGGAATGAAATGAAATGAATAAAATGAATGAATGAAGGAATGAATTCATGAATGAATGAATGAATGAAGGAAGGAAGGAATTAATGAATGAATGAATGAAATGGAATGAATGAAATGAAATGAATGAAATGGAATGAATGAAATGGAATGAATGAATGCATGAATGAATGAGTGAATGGATGGATGGAATGGAATGGAATGGAATGGAATGGAATGGAATGGAATGGAATGGAATGGAATGGAATGGAATGAAATGGAATGAAATGAAATGAAATGAAATGAATGAAATGAAATGAAATGAATGAATGAATGAATGAATGAATGAAATGAAATGAAATGAAATGAAATGAAATGAATGAAATGAATGAATGAATGAATGAATGAAATGAATGAAATGAATGACTGAATGACTGAATGAATGAATGAATGAATGAATGAATGAATTCATGAATTCATGAATTCATGAATTCATGAGTTGAATGAATGAATTAATGAATGAAGGAATGAATGAATGAATGAATGAATGCATGAATGAATGAATGAATGAATGAAATGAATGAAATGAATGAAATGAATGAAATGAATGAAATGAATGAAATGTGTGATTAGCCATGGTTTATTTCATCACCAGGGATGTCGCGGTAGTGACTGACCTGTGGTGTTTGGCTCAAGTTTTGGATCCGGCGCGCCTCGGATGAGCGTCGCCGGGCCCTCACGTCGACCGCCTTCGTGTCGGAGGAGAAAGAGACTTCGGCCCGGGGTAGGTTGGTGGGGATCGCCCGTGCGGTTCATCGTCGATCTAGGTTGCGGGTATCCTTTTCTTGTTTGGTTTGTTTTCCTTTGGTTGTTGTTCTCTGGTGTGTGGGAAACCCTGATCTTTGGGACCGGGGATTGGTTTGCTTTTGGGGAACCTTTCTTTTGTGGCTTGTTTACCCCAACTTACCCATTGCCTGGGCACAGGCTCGTGCCCGAATCACAGGTTATCAGCCGTAGGACTTTCCTACGCGCTTGAGACCATCAACTACAAGCTCTATGTCGACCCCACGATCTCGCAGGAGTGTCGTGGATGAGGAGGCCATCCTAGGTGGCCTCCGCTCAGGTGAGGACCTGCCGGACTATGACTACGAGGATTTCGAAGCAGGTTCAACAGGTCAGGACCGCAGGGGTGAAGATCCCGGTAGGGATACACCCAGGGGCCGTGGCAGGTACGCCGACGATGGAGACGATCGTATTTTCCGCCAGGCCACTGATGACGAGCGGACACGAAGGGTTTACTCCGGTAGGAGTGGCTCTGAATCAGGTCACAGGCGTGGACATTTTGACTTCACCAGCATGGCGATGGACATGGCCCGCCCTCATTCGGATGACCCGGAGGCCATGCCGATTCGACCTCCGAGATCTCTTGTTCCAGGTGAGTCGCAGGTCTCGGATGAGTTTGAGAGTAGGCCGCAGGGACCAGGAACTATGGTTCTGGTTCCGGGAGGTATCCCGGGCCGATCCACTGGTTCTCAGAATCCAGGTCAGTTTGATGAGCACGAGGAGCGGAAATTCACGGACTTCGGATACGATGATCTGTTGAGATCAACCGCAGGTTGGGGCAGTAGCTCAAAGCAGGGGTCTGATGCCGGTAGGCCCAACCCTAATACTGCCAAATCTGAGTCTTATGATGGCGAAGATTACAATTTTGCGGATGAGGAGGAGAGCCATTCGCGCCGAGATGCAGGCAGCCGTGAGACTGCAAGGACTAATCCCGCCGCTGCCAAGTTTGAGGTCGATGATGATGATGAGTATGCCGCGTTTGCGGATCGCCGTGATGAGGAGGAGGACCAACCACGACGAAATGCTAGGATCCGTGATGCTGCGAGGCCCAGGAGCCTCTCTCGTGGAGCCGTCAGGGACCTTCGTGTTGACAGGGACGCCAGAAGCGAGAGAGAGAGAGCCAGGGAAAGTCGGGAAGTTCTTCGGGGATTGGAGGCCATTCATGACCGCGAGGGACCGGTAGGTCCCCCGGCTATTGGTGATTCCCCGAATGTTCCCCCCTTTCCCAACATCACATTTGGAGGTCCGTTGAGTCAGAGAGACGTGAGCTCGAACCGGGTTACTGGTTCACCGAGGATCACTGAGCGGGCTGCCGATGTTGTTAGGACAGGTGCCAGAGATGGTCGGCTTGCCGATGCACTCGGGATCGAAGATCGTCCGTCGATCGCTAGCCCGTTAGGGCGAGATACCAGTGATCTTGAAACTCTGAGGTCAAGCAACGAGTTCACACCTCAATGGGGTTCGACTGCCAGGGAACGTAGTGTTTCTGCAAAGAGACCGCCACCTCTCGCCGCTGAGACCGATAGGTCAAAGGCGAGGAGGGCTAGCCCCTCACCAATGGATTCAACTCCGCAGGATGAGGAGATGCCCGATCCCGCTGATGTTCACATCCACTCCACCCCCGAGTCACGTGCATCCAACATTGATCCTCGATCTGGCGATAGCCGGAGAAGGGGATCTACCCCGAGTAGACCATCCAGGATTGATGATTGTCCCGTGGATGACCCCGGAAGACATGCCGGGGCTAGTGGGGCTCCTGAGAGGATCGAGATATCGACTCCTCCCGCCCTCAGATCCCAGTCTTCCGGCGAATCAGCTGACGCTAGGGCGAAGGAGGTGTTCGATTTGCACATCCAGGAGATGCTCGAGAGAGGTGAGGTTTCCGGCTCAGTCGCGAAGGCGTTCCACATCTTTGCTGACCAAATCAGGGTACTGAACGGTCAGGTGAGTTCCATGCGAAGGGAATGGAGCGACGAGAGTCAACGGACAAAGGACAAGGTCGATCGCCTGGCAGCTGAGGTTGCGACCCAATCTGATGCCGGGAGGATGCGAATGATAGTTCAACGGTTCGCAAGGGAAGTTATTCCCGATAGCAAGGCCATTATGAGGCAAGCCATCGATGAGCAAGCCGAGGTCGTGGAGCAGAGGATTAACCTATTGTCCCACGAGGTCCATGAATCTGTCAGGGACAATGAGGCATCGACTGATCGGCTTCGCCTGATGATTCAGGAAAATAGTGAGGCTGCCCGCAGAAGCCATGCTGCTTCTGAGGACGAGACCCTTAAGGATTTGGACAAGCTTGAGAAACGGATGTTCTCGGTAGAGAAAACCGTTGGGATGCGGACACCGGCAGGTGTATGGAACCCGAATCCTGTCGCGAATCTGTCCGATAGGGCCAGCAGCAGTGTGGTTGACGCGAATTTCAGGGAGTTAAACCTGAAGATTGAGGAAGCTCTCCTTGAACACGAGAAGTTTGCTAAGTGGGCCTCTGAATCTATTGAAGGGGTCAAAGAAGAGCACACTCGTCTTGTTAATCGAGTGTCTAGACTGCAGAGTGGAAGGGGTTCTCAGGAGGTCGATAGACCATCAGGGCATGATTCCCCGCAGGACTGGCATGAGGCTGTTGACGAGATCAATCGGAAGATGCAGGATCTGGCTCGAGGAATTCAACGTCAACGTCGGGATCATGACGACATCATTTCGAGGTTTGAAACCGTGAAGTCACATGTTGAACAGTATGAAGCGAGATCGGCAATTGTGAATCGGGTCGTTGATGGCATCCAAGGACAGATCCGTAATCTTCCTGCCAGCAGTGACCAAGTGCAGCCTGCCGTTAGGCGAGAGCTCGGCACATTCCGGAGTACACTTGAAGGTGTTATGCGGAGAGTCAGCGCTATCGATGGTAACGTGCGTAACCTTAGCGCCGCGAACAACAGAATCATGTCCCAGCTCTTTGAAATGGAGGGTCAATTTGACGAGGCTGCTGGCATCATTCAGGGTGTCCAGCAGATTAATGAAGCTCCTCCACAACCCAGAGAAAGACGGAATGTTGGTTACCATGCATTTGCGGGGCAAGGACATAGGATCAGGTCACCGACGCCTACACCAGGGGAAGGTGACGGCCGGGGTACTGGCCTGCCGGTGAGACCAGGCGGAGGTGTTGTTTTGCCTGATCATGTTTTGCCGAATGTGCCCGATAGGGTCGATCCTTCTCGCGCAGACAGGCATCCCATCTATCCCGTTAGGGAGAGGTCCGACAGCAGGAGCAGGAGGGTTCGGGGGTTGCCTGACAGGTCGCATTCGCCACCGGAGCGTGCAAGGGGTGGTCCCCGCGCGCGCGCAAGGGGGGACGTTTCTATTTCCCCCAATAGGGATACGGGTAGGAATAGGAGCCCGAGGCCTGCTGCCGTCCCCGATAGGGGATCTGAGGCCCGGAGTCGACAACCCAGGGGGGAGAGGCCGATCCGCGATAGCGGGAGCGTCTCTCCGAATTTTGATAGGCCAATCCGCGATAGCGGGAACGTCTCTCCGAACTCAGGTCGTCATTCAGGAGGTGGTG